CTAGATCAGAGTATCTTTATAGCCCTCTAAGGTTTATCAGCTATCCCTTAATTAAATAGTTTTATAACTTTTTAAGTGCTTTCTATAAAATTAAGTAAATAAATTAATAGGGAATAAATAGATCCCCTATTAATCATACTACTTTTTATTAGTAATATCCGTAATTCTTATAAGTAAAAATAACGCGATATATTAATATCTCACTTCGTAAATTATTTTATTCTTATTAAGAGACTAGACATCTTCCAAGGGCTTTGCAGTACTACATATTTCCCTAACGAACCGATTTCTTCTTCATATTAGACTACTGAAACTATAACTACTAGCTTATATTGGGAATTGTCGATTCCGGCCATGGTTTATGCTAGTAATGAGCTATAACGGCTACTATCATGATTTGGTATTTAAGAAATCGTATAAGGACTAGCTCAAGGTAGAGTTTCTTATATAAAGGAAAATTCTTAACTCGGTAATTTATTTCAGATTATCTAAATCGTGTATTCTTTGGTCGTCACTATTTCTACTTATATATCGTAACTTTCAACAGCTTATACGTACTAAATTACATAGTTAGGACATGAATTTATAATATAACTAAGATAGATTATATTATTAATCTCTAATAAGTGGGTTAAATAATTAAAATATTATGATAGTAGTGTAATTCAGAATTAAACCCTAGTCAGTTTACTGAATATCTTCTACTATCTTAAAAAGAGGATGTTTAACTATTCAACTAAAAAGTATCGCTACTTTTATGTATTAGGCTTATATATGAATGTACTACTCTTCTTATTTTGTACAAATTCTATAATCCTGCCGCCTTATATTGATGTTAGGCAGAGATATTTATTACTAAAGTGAGATAGATAACTAAATTTGAAGAAAACCTCGTTCATACGCCGAGTAATACCCATAGAAAGTAAGATAAGCTAGTTCTTATAAGGAGAGAAAGAGTACTTACTTATATGCTGTTTTTCAAAACCTAGTGCTATTTAGCACTCGGTATAAAGGGAGTAGAAGCACGACCTATTGTTATTTCTCTACCCTTTAAACCTATCTTATTTCTTCTCGTATCCCCTCTGACTCTGTTTCTCTCTATAAACCCTTGCTCCGCCCTATATCCTATATTAATAGGATTAGACGCGATTTCCATTCTCTAGCCTATATTACTATTTCATATTCGTCATACGCTGATAGTGCTAGATAAATCTAGGACTATATAATATAGTAAGGGTCTCTCTACCCTTAACTATATCGTACAATTGCTATTACGACCTATTAGGAGGGCTTAGTAGGTTATATACCGAACTAAAAGGTTACTATAACTATAGTTAGGTAGTTAGCTCTCCTACTATATTAAGTAGCGTACTCGGTTAGGCTATAACGTATCCGGCAAGCGAGTGGCCATCTCCAAAGCACATAGTGAATGCGATATATTACAATTCTATATCTCAACACCGGCTGCCTATAGGAACTTCTTCTTTTATCCTCTTCATTTTCTTATGATATCTAGTATGTTTAGGAAGTTATAAGAAATTTAATGATTCATTGACTACGGAATATATATTTCCAGATTTTAGTAACGTAATTTTCGGTAACTTTTGAAATAATGATAATATAGTCTTGCACTCTCTTTGAAATTGATATATGCTACTAGAAATGTTTATCGATGCCTCCATATTTTTAAGGAGCGAGTTACTTATTCTGATTAAATTTTCGAGCATCTATCTACATATAACTTTAATACTAATCGATTGGTAGAGTTACTCTACTACTTAAAGCGTTAGATTTCAAGTAATACGTTTATAACCCTCTGATTTCTTTATTAACGTATATCCTTTATAGTCTTATATATGATATTCTTTACTAGATAGTAGAGCTGTTGCAGCCCTCCTATATATCTCTTAATTCGTAGGTAAATTCCTAAAATTCACTAGAACTAGAGTTTCCTTTGAGCAATTTTAGCTATTAAACTCGCTTTTACTAAAGAATATATATCACTATCGGTAAGTATACGGAAGCTATTATCTATAATTATATAATAATATTTTAATCCCCCCTAATTCCTTTTATGCTACTAGTTAAATATTGAAGTTCTCTCGAACTTTTAAATATATATTTAATAGAAAATACCTCATCTTCCGAATAATATAAAGAAATAGAAACCACTAAGATCTTTAATATAATGTTGTTTTAGGAGGCCCAATAAAAATAGCGACTTAACTAAAAGAACTAGATATAGAAGTTACAATAGTATATTAATTTATTTAAACTCTAGGTCGGAATATCATCGGTTTGATATGCGCTTAGTTATGTTAAATTAAGTAGTATTGGTAAAATAATAAAATCAAGGCCGTCATCTACGTATTGAATATTCTCTCTCTCTCTCTCTCTCTCTATACTCACTTGTAAGTACTGTAAAACTGTAAAAAGTTAACGTTGAACTATTACCCTACATTATACGAAACGATACTTAAAGTATTATATTCATATCTTAATATAAATAATCTATACCAGCCCTTGAGATATAATAATAATAAGACTAGGCATATTTAAAGATAAGTGATCACTCACCTAATTTTAATATTATTATAGATTCTTTTATATTGAGGGCTACGCATGAATGATATTAATTTAAACATAACTCTGCATACCGATTTAAGTATATTTCTTAATAGTTTCTAGATTATAGATTTTCTAAACCTATATAAAAACTACCTTTAAAGATTTAATTTTATATCTAGTATCTATAGTTTATAATAGTAATCTAATATTAAATATATATTTATTTGCTAGGAAAATAGGTTAAACTCAAAATAAATAATAAAAAAATGTACTCTATGTTATCACTAATTTATTGAAACTTATTCAACTAAGAACTAAATATTAAATATAGTAATCATAAACTAACTAATTATATATAAAAGTAATTTCGTATATACAGAAATACTAACTAGTCTTTCCAGCTTATAGGCTAATAGAGTACACTACTAATGTTACTAAGAAAAAATATTAATTTATTTCTTATATATTAAATTATATCGCCTTGATTAAGTATCATAACTTTAGGACTATAAAGAGAATTGTATAGACTAAACCCTCTTTATTAACGTAAAATAGCTTTGATGCTTCTTACTCAAAGATATAATACGATATCTATTAGAATTAGTAACTTAGAGTTTGATAGGACTACACCAAATTAAGTATACGGTAGCTACTCGTTACGTGGCTTAATATAGTGGGAGAGTATCGTAGCCAAGAACATTAGTAGTTATACCTTTTAGTTCGGTGTACACCTCACTAAGCTCCCCTAGTAGGTCGTATTAATATCTACACTAAGCAATATATAGATATGACTAGTAAAAGATAAATATTTTGAGACAATTGTTTATTGATAAATAGCGATAATTTATTTGTATAGAAGCCTAATATCGAAAGTAAGTTACCTCTTAGTCGATTATTGAGCTCAAGATTTACCATTTAACCACTGACCTCATATAATTCGTTAGTATAATAACTAGGTCAGTCCTTGTTGATTGGCTTAATAGGGTTAGTAGTAATCCTTCAAGGCTTCCTAACTAGATTTCTTAACACTCTTAGCTAACGTAAGTAGTGGTTAGTTTAGAGACTTTTACTAAGATATCAACTATTAGACTAGTGAATATTCTTTATCTAATACTGTTTAAGTCGTCAGAAATAACAGAAAATAATACACCCGGGATACGCCATAACTTATAGTTAATAAATTAGGGGCATCCTCGTGCTAGGGGGAGTGAAGGGTGTGATCTTATAAAAACCCTAGGCTATTTGAAATGCTCATAGATTATATGGTTCGCTAGCCTTTAACTTTCGCATGGATGAAATGAAAGTCATTGTCACTAGGGAAAGGCTCTCAAAAATATCGAGCTACACTAGACCTACTATGCTATGATGGAATTTGACCGTGGATAGTATCACCTATGACACTTGAACTCAATTCTAATCAATATACTATATATAATCCGCCGCCCCGGGGTTTTTGTTTGCTAGCAGGGTTATCATAAACCTTCCCCCTCACATTAGCCAATTCTACGCCCAGGGCTTCCAGCCTGACCCCATCATTACCATTATTGCGGTGGATTTGATTATTATCATTGGATTTGGTTGGACCTCACAAGGTCTACTTCACCCCCATGTGCGAGGACCACCTCCCAACTAGGTCAGTTGGGAGCCTTGGGAGCCTGACCACTGCCAGGTGAATCCTGTCATTACTACTACATGGTCCTGTCATACTAATCAACAGGGCCTGAGTCCCTATGCTGACAGGATGTGAGGCCAGCAGTTGGGAATCAGCGTTCAGTTTGTTCTCTATATTTCGATACCATCGGATTCTATGTCGCTTACCCATCTAAACCCCCGGAGTAGCGTAGTCTCTCACACCATGCTAGTTCTGGACTAGGTGTACATTTCCTCTATAGGACATATCAAATGTCCAATTATGAGGGCATTTACCTTATATCGTTGTAGATAATATATGAGCTAGATGTAACCCTAGCTGGCTATATCGGCAAAACCATCGGTGTTGCGGGCTTATCCAACCTTATGTTCAGCCCCAAAAGATCCGATGAGAATGGGTATCGTCGTACGTATCTAAATTGGGCCTGGTAGTTTGTTTCTGCCAATAAGATACCTTCTGTATCCCTCGGCTACATTGTTGTGTACAAGATCTTTGACTTGCTCAAGGACTCACGGATTAGAGCCCTATTATGATTACTAGATCGCATAGGAGGAGCCCGTGGAATGAAGCAGAGAGGCCAATGGCCATCCCATTAAAGATCTAAGTTATTGCTTGAAAGGACATCAAGGTTGTATTAAATACATTATCACATTTGATAAGCCATCCATAAGATGGTATCATGAGCCTCAACGAATGCCTGTTGTCAGCTAGACAACAAATCGAATCAGGCCAAGAGGGGCAAGAGGGGGAAAAAAAAGAATAGAAGCAACAAAAGTTTGCTTTACTGCGCCTTGGTTGAGACCTTGGCCTTGTTCTCCCTCCGGCGCTTCAGAGCATCGGGGGTATACTCGGTGTCAAGAACGTAATCCCACCAGCGGAAGCTGCTGGCATAGTTGCCAATGAACTTCTCATGGTGAAGATCATGATGATCAGCACCAGCCCAGAAAGGAAGGAAGTGGTGAAGACTCCAGGGGAACTCATAGCCGCTGTGTGCATCGATGGCCTGGAAGAGGCGCAGCACAATCCAGATGTACATAGTGAGAATGTGCAAATCACCAGTCATAGCACACCAGAGGATAGGACAGCCGACCGTTCCAAAGCCTAGGATCATCACTTCAATGGGAGACGCGTATTCCGCAGCCAAGCCGAAGGGAGCCGAGTATTGATGGTGAATCTTATGAATCGCCTTGTAAAGAGGGCCCCAGTGAAGAGCGCGGTGGGAGAAGTAATGCCAAGTATCTTCCATCACGAAGAAAATCGCAATCTGGTACGCCATGGTCCAAAGGGTGGGGAATGGGATTGAGGTGGAGAGACCGCAGAATTGGGCCATAGGGTGGAAGAGCCTAAACGTTGTCAGATGAGACTTTGTGGTCATAGGATCCGAGTCGCTTACCAAATCTGAGGCAATTCGACAGTGAAGTGACTGAGAAGCACAAACTTCGCGCAGTCCCACTGCTCACGGAGCGAGGGAATTTTGTTCTGCATGGTGTTAAAAAATGAACAGCATGTTGTTGGAATGAGCAGATCACTTACTCCTTGAATCTTGTAGCGATTGAACAGGCCCAGGGTATCAATAAAAATCCAGGGAAGTGATCGACCAAAGTACACTGCCTCGTGCATCACGAACGACATGATGCCTGTGGCGAGGACATCATTCTGCATCCAGGCATACCAGGCAGCCCACAGCCTCTCGGCCACATTCAGCTGGGTGTTGTATTTGGAGATTTCGTCGAATTGGCCCCAGTACGTCCCTGAGGACAAGACCGTTGAGTTCCTAGAACAAGAAAGTCAGGGGGGGTGGGCAAGATAAGAATGAACCCAGGGGAGAAAGCGTACATAGTGTTGTATTTCCAATGAGATAAAAAGGGAGTCAAAAAAGTGAAGAGGGGAAAAAGGAAGTTCTCAACCGATCCTTATAAAGAAGGAATATAAAAGGGGGGGAAAAGTGAAAGACAAGACCAAGAATCCCAAGAAAAAAAAAAGAGAGACGATCAGGGACAATCGAAAGCCGACGTGGCGAGACCCCCTGAAGGGCCTGAAGGGGCCTGAAGGGGGCATAAGGCCACTGGCGGCCACTGGCAGGCCGGCATCCGAGGTCACCCCACCTGCATAATGCGGAATTGCCTCGTCTGTGTATGGCTGAAATCGTACGATCGGATTCTTTTGTGAACCTCTTAATCTGGAGTAGCTTGGCACTTAATTTTTGAACCGTTGAATTTCAACGTCCCGACTTTCTATAGTCTGTGGAAATTTAACATCCGAGGTGTTTACAGTAGTATACTAATGTGAATATGCAAGTATGAAATCAGTTGGCTTCCATGAAAGTATTCAGTATGTTCTGTACACGCGTAGACGCGAGTACAGTTTGACCCGGTTTGCGATTGGATTCGTTTGACTGGTTTGGCTGGTTTGCTCGGTTTGCATATGACGGCATTATCTTCTTCCCCGTCGAGCTTCCTTTGGACTACAACCGAGTTATGTCGGTCATACGAGAGTGAGTGTGATGGAACCACGCGTGGCCCATAGCAGTTCCACTAATAATTGCCTCTAGAACGGTGTGTGGCGTCAATACCCAGTTGGACCGCCGCCAACAGCAGATTCTCACCCAACAACTTGGCGCCGCTGCTCTTCCTGATCAGTCTCAAGAACATATCGATCAATTGCAAGATGTCATCCACGCTATTTCGGTGACTTCAAAAACCCAAGCTCTGTTATCCCCCAACCGACTGGCAGACTTGCTTTCCGGTCCGGCTCTCTCTCGGCTCCAATCGAATCCCAGTATATCCGGCATCTCTGCTGGGAATACCTCTGACTATGTATGGATAGTAGCGGCGAAGGCTGCCGTCCAGGCATCAGGGTTGGTCATGAATATTCTTCTGGACCAAACGCTAGAGCTTCACGACGAAGCTTATTATTGGGGTTCGATGTTGGGCTCAGTTTGGTACAGCAGCCTGTATACAATTCAGACCTCCCCAAGAAACCTATTTCGATGGAGCAAGAATACATATATGACACAGACCCAAGGAACCTTGTCCATCACAGACAGGTGGATTCAGTTCTATCAGGTTGCCCAACAGAGTGTCTGGAAATTAGGTGGACACTCCATACGCGATCATTTGCTGGCTCCCATCAGGTCGTCACGCGCGGAGATGCGGCAAAAAAGAGACTTGGTACTTGCGATGAAGGACCTTCACACGAGCAGCCTAGGTCTTCTGATGGAGGGGTGGCATTCATTCGAGGCCGATGACTCGACTGCGAGTGCCACCTATGTGGACCTGGGCCAGCAGTGGCGCGACGAAGTATACAAGACAGTGGCTCTGATTGAGGCAGTTTGTGATCAGATAAGGCTTGAACCTAGTATGCAAGCCTTGGAGGAAGGTGTCTCTACAACCCTGGAGAGAGAGACAGATGGCATGCAGATTCAAGGGCAAAATGAACGCCGTATCTTACAGCCCCTCCACTTAATTGAACGACTTGTGCATGTGCTCCGACAGAAGTTGCCGCAACATACAACCTCGATGTCAATGTTTGTTCATCACCATGGCCGGCCTTCGGGTATAATCCGCTACTGGTTACCAGTTTCAGCTGCCATCCTATCCGGCAGTGTGTCGATAAGGTTTCTGTCCAATAAAAAAGAAGATCTCATTCAGGGGATCATGGACATTGGTGCCACAACCATTGACTTTTGGGGCAACTGGGTTGTGCACCCCATTCGAAAGCTCATCGGGACGATTAGGCATGATGAAAAGAGCGAAATTGCGATTATGAGCAAAAATAGTCTACTCGCTGACCGGGCCAGCTTGGAAAGGATGGTGGTTGATTTTGTTCGAGATCGCCCGGATCTGCACGAAGGAGTGGCAGACACCACCGCCATCGTGAATTCAGTCAAAGAGGGCGACTTGACCCCCGTTCTGAAAGCGTACGAAAGAGACCTACGGTCACCACTGGTTGGAACCGTTCGGGGTGATCTTATTCGTGCTCTTTTGATTCAAATCCAGAAAACCAAGGTTGATGTGGAAATTGCCATCAGCGGTATTGATGCTCTACTGAAGAGCCAAGAACTGGTCTTTGGGTATTTGCTCTCGACCTAAATAACATGGGAATTATTAATTGACATTTGCTAGATTCGTTGGATTGACCCCCGGAATCTTGGTCTCATTCGCAGCCCTGAGATGGCTAGGAAGTCTATTGGGCAGCCGAAAAGGCATGCAAAAGGGCAAGCATCGACATCAACTTAAGCGTGGATTGCGGTAGGCTGCCCCTAAACGGTCAAACTATATACTCTCAATACTAACTGTGTTTGACTGCAGGAATGTGGCTCGAATCCTGACATCCTCTGCGATTTCTGCAAATGGAACCCTCCCACACAAAGACTCTGGCCAATTAATCTGTGAAGCGGAGGCGCTCCTCCAGCAGATGAAAGCAGTCTCCAGCAGCATGAAATATCAAGAGTTCCGGGAAGACATTCACGATCTACTGAATGTACAGAATGGAGTTGACAAGCAACTCCGTGTGATTGAGAGGATGAGATGGTCCTACTTCCAATAATCCTGGAATGAAGGAATTCAAAAGAACCAAGACAGAATAGCATATAACATATTCAGTGCACTTTATCGCTTGAGTTCGTTGCTTGTTGCCTGTAGATTGATAGGCGGAACACATGATGCTTACATAAGGCAGTTGCGTACCGTCATCACCTCCACTCCGGTCATCGACCTCCTTTCCCAAAGTCAAATCTGACGCTGGTGTAAATGCCCTTGTCCTCTTACTTTTTGATATTGCATAGTTTTCCCCTACCCTTTGATACAAGGACCTTCCACTCGGCTCTGATTTGATCCTCCCTGCTTCTCTACTTGTCTGCTTCTCTGCTTCTCTCCAAATACCCCCATTCCCTATCTTCCGTCCTTGCAACTCCAAGCTTTGAACGAGGTTCGATCCTTAGATTCTCTATCTTGTCACCTTTAATCCCTCTTCCTACAAATATCGCGACAACCCATCATGGCGGGTACACGGAATTATGACTTCCTGGTCAGTATCCACCGCGGTAGATTTGGACACGCAATCTGACTTGGTTATAGATCAAACTACTGCTGATCGGAGACTCTGGTGTGGGCAAGTCATGTTGTCTTCTACGATTCAGCGAAGACTCCTTCACCCCATCATTCATCACCACCATCGGTATTGATTTCAAGATTCGCACGATCGAACTGGACGGAAAGAGAGTGAAACTGCAAATCTGGGACACAGCAGGCCAGGAGCGCTTTCGTACGATCACGACGGCGTACTACAGAGGCGCCATGGGTATCCTTCTTGTCTATGATGTGACAGACGAGCGATCATTCCAAAGTGAGTCCTCCTTTCCTTTGCCGGTGTGGGATACGCCTTAACACCTTTCGCTCTGCAGACATTCGGACATGGTTTTCAAACGTCGAGCAGCACGCCAGTGAAGGTGTACACAAAATTCTCATCGGAAACAAGTGCGACTGGGAAGAGAAACGAGCAGTTACTACCGAGCAAGGCCAGCAGCTTGCGGATGAGCTCGGTATTCCTTTCCTGGAGGTATCAGCCAAGAATAACATCAACATTGAGAAGGCGTTCTATAGCCTTGCATCGGATATCAAGAAGGGGATGGACACATCCAAGACCGAACAATCGGGTTCCCAGGGGGTGAGTATAGACCAGCAGGGCTCGGGTCTGAACGGTAACTCTGGAGGAAAGTGTTGTTAGTTGTATTACCATTGTCTTTTGAGCTATTATTCTATTATTTTCTAGGTTTTATTTTTTTTTCTTAAATGTCCCTGTGCAGTGTATACGTTTGTAGTTTATATGCCAATCACTGGCCCACTTTCTGGGGTACAATTCTCGATTTCTGCTGTGTATCGTTGCCGAAGTTGCCCCTCCAAAAAAAAAAAAACTTTCTCTCCTTGAGATATTTACACATTTTTACCTTGTACCTTGTAACAAGTGGAAAGTGGCAGTGAAAAGATACTTGAAAATCTGCCTGCTATCTTCTAAAGCATCTTATATAAGAGGGGGAAAAAAAACTCACCCCCACCATTCTTGAACCATAACCAACTTTCAACATGGCTGAGGTTCGCAGTTTTACTGCTCGACCTTTGTCGAAGCAAACGGCACGCAAGGATTTGAGAGATGCCTTTCGGATCTATCTTAATTCCGCATCGCTAGCTGCGTTGAGACTGCAGACCGAGAGCATTTGCATCTTAAGGCAGGCGGATGGCCCACCGAAGACTGCTATAGCATGGTATGCAGCAGAAAATATTCAAAATACTGTCATGCAAACATCCAGGACTCTGCAAGAGTGCTATGGTATCAAGGTTGGAGAAAAAGTTTCTATCACTAGGTTCGATGGTTCCCTGGAGAATGTCGAATTGGTGACATTAGAAGATTCTTCCGATGCCGACAAGATCGAGAAATTCGGTCTCATTTCAGATGCCGACAGACCTTACTGGGAATGGGCTTTGGACGACAAGCTCCTCAGATGCGGCGCTTTGACGACAGGACTAACATTTGAACTGGAGCTCAAGGGCCAACTCAGGTGCTTCCGAGTGGTCAAAATCCGTTCTACAAACCCCAACTCCAGTCACACCCTATTCCAGTTTACAAAAACCTCCAGGATCTCCTTGGGAGCAGAAACGGAGGTGTCTACGGCACAAAAGCCCTCTGAGCTTCAAGTCCAGTCTGCTGGCCTGGGAGGTTTATCCCGTCAGATTGAGGACATCAACGAGAGCTTGTCCGATTTCAATCTTGATCCACGGAAACCGGAGATGCCATCATTCTACGAGAACAGCCGAGGCATTCTACTTTACGGACCAAAGGGCACTGGCAAGACAAGCCTTTTGGAACAAATCGAGAAGGCTGGCTGGAGACAAGTCTTCAAAATCGGCACCTCCTCTCTAGGCAAAAGTACTAGTGAGGGCGAAGCCAAACTGCGCAAGATATTTCAAGAGGCAGCTCACTCTCAACCCAGCGTGATCATAATCGACCAGCTGGAGTTCATTGCCCCAAAACGAACCTCTTTTGAATCTCAGTCTATCTCATCTGTCTTATGTGAAAACTTGGATGCTCTTCGAGGTACATCGACACTAGTGGTTGCTGCAACCCGGCACCCTAACCAGGTCGATGATGCCCTCAGAACTCCCCAGCGATTTGGGACGGAGATCGAACTGCAAGTTCCAACCGCACAGGATCGAGCCGAGATTTTACGTGCAATTCGTGGGCCAGTTTCTGCTGGATTGACCGATACGCTTGTGGACCTCCTCGCCGAAAAGACACATGGATATGTAGGAGCCGACCTTTTCGCCCTCCTGCAACTAGTCTGTCGCAAAGCTCGACAACGGCAAATGATGGAACAGAGCTTCCCTGTGACGTTCGCCAACCTTGCAATCGAGCCCGATAGCTCACATCTTGAGGGGGATATCAAACATGATACGGCCACCCCATTGGTGATTCAAGAGCCAGATATCATGTCCTCTCTGCAAGAGATTCGTCCTACTGCTATGCGGGAAGTCTTCCTAGAGACCCCCAAGGTCAGATGGTCGGATATTGGTGGACAGCATGAGATTAAAAGACGTCTACAACAAGCAGTGGAGCGACCTTTGAAGGTGAGAAGAGTTCCAAACTCAAAAAATTGGAATGGAACTAACATTGTACACTAGTATCCGCAACGGATGCGCAGACTTAATGTCAATAGCAAGAAGGGTGTTCTTCTTTATGGACCACCCGGCTGTTCAAAGACGTTGACGGTTAAAGCCCTAGCGACTGAAGCCGGATTGAACTTTTTGGCAGTCAAGGGCGCCGAGATCCTTAGCATGTATGTTGGAGAATCGGAGCGGTCTTTGCGCGAGATTTTCCGAAAAGCTCGAGCCGCACGACCTAGCATCATATTTTTTGACGAGATTGATGCGATTGCTGCGCGACGTGGCAGCTCTCAAGGAGGTGTCAATGTTTTGACGACGTTACTGAACGAAATGGACGGCATTGAAGAGCTCCGAAACGTGCTGGTCATTGCGGCGACCAACAAGCCCGATGTGCTAGACCCGGCTTTGATGCGCCCTGGAAGATTGGACAACATTCTTTATATTGGTCCACCAGACGTCGAAGCACGCAAGGAAATCCTACGCATTTGGGCCAACAAGTCCGTAGTGAACCCGGAGGTTGACTTAGACGACCTGGCTGTTCTGACCGAGGGATATTCAGGTGCAGAGATAATTAGCATCTGTGAAACAGCCGGCGATGCTGCATTGGATGAAGAAGAGGAAACCCAGCAAGAACAAGATGTAAAGTGGAAGCACTTTGAATATGCGCTGGGACAAGTGAAGCGTCAGATCACAGATGCTGTCATTCAAGAGTACGAGCAGTGGAGGGATGGCTAAGAGAATGGTCGAATATCCTGTACATTAAAAGACAACAATCAAAAGGCAAGGCAAAGGCAAAGGAAATGGCAAAAGTGAAGGTGAAGGTAAAACTATACTTGAGAGGTGATTACTATATCTGGTTAGCGCGGCTTGGAATGCATCCCTTCCGAGCTTCGTTTCTTCACTTCTTCAATTGCGACAATTCAGCTCTCAGCTTCCTTCGCTCTGCATTTGACATCACCTCCGAATCTCTAAACATCAAAATCACTGGAACGTCATAATACTCAACAAGATCGTCGTGCGCCCAGAGCGCTCACTATACACCATGTCCATGAGATCACCTCGCGGTCCTTCGCCGCAGCGCTCACTCGACCAGGACCGACCACGATCGCGGTCGCGTTCTGTGCGTCGCTCAAGGCCTTTGAGTGAAACCCCCCGGGATACAAGCCAGAGTCCTTCCCATGGACGCCGCGATCGCCATCATTCAAGAACCCGTTCCCCCTCTCGCGGCAGAACCCGATCCCGCAGTCGCAGCCGGGGTGGTCGTCGTTACCATAGCAAGAGTGACAGTCGCTCGCTCACTCCGAATCAAAGCCCTCCAAGAAGTTCCAAGGTCCGTCCTGATGCAAATTTACGCCTACAACTATGAAAGCAGGTGCTAACGTTTATATCAACAACAGATTGTGGTAGAGAAATTAACTAAAAATGTTACGGAAAATCACATTCGAGAGATCTTTGGGGACTTTGGAGACATTGAGTACCTTGACCTGCCGACCAACAAAGCTTGTGAGTCTTGCCTCTCATTCACTTGTCGATCTACACTTTCTAACGTCTTTTGTTTTAGTTATGACCAATCGAGGAACGGCATATATCCTTTACTATGATCCTGCCGATGCAGAGGCTGCTATTGCTCACATGCACGAGGCTCAGCTTGATGGGGCCATCCTGAATGTCTCAATTGTTCTTCCTCGGCGGAAATTCTCAAACTCACCCCCTCCTGCATCAAACCGAGGCAATGGGGGCCGTTCTAGATATGGTCGGGGACCATATGCTGGCCAGCAATCTCCGCCAAGAAGACACGGCGGTGGAAGACCTACAGAACGCCATGATGTCTACAGGCCAAGGTCTCTATCACGCTCACGATCTCCCGTTCGTGAGCGGTCATTTTCATCTCGATCACGGTCCCCCCCACCCAGACGAGGTAGCATTCGCGCAGATTCGCGTCACCGCAGGCGCCGTAGCCCAAGCTATAGGAGTTATGGTGACAGCAGTCGAAGCCGCAGCCCAGCCAGAAGCCGTGGCCGAAACCGCCACTGATAACCTAACAGTCCGAAATATCATGGCAGTATTATCATGGAGTGGATTATTGATGTGGAACTTAACCACGTCCTGCTCGGCTTTCTGTTGCAGGCAACCGAATGTTTGCTGCACAATATCCACCATAAATGTATTGAAACCTAAAAAAAGCAACCAGTGTTATGAAGCAGCACCCGAATCAAAAAAAGTAAACTTTTTCATGTCATCTCTCAATTTCCGTAGACTGCCTAAACGCATTTCTCGACTATGGATCAAAACAGCGGCATTGTGTTGACAACTCAGAAGAACGAACACCATCCGATATACATCGACGCCAGCTTCTTCTGGTCTGTTGCCTGCATAATCAACTCGTCCACTTGACCATCCACGGAAAGGGCAATAGGCTGTTTAGACATGTAGCCGCGAAGTTTGTTCCGCACGTCCTCCAAAACACCAGCTGGTGTATCGGGAACATTGACATGGGTGCGGCGCTGAGGTGGGAAAAGATACATGTTAGCCACAACTCATGGAGGCATCAATTCGAATTTACTCACTCTCTTGCCAATGAAATCTGTTGTTGGATCGTGCAAAAAGGTCTCGAGAACAGTCATCAAAGCGTCCTCGTTCTGTCGTAAAAGACTGAGAGTGATTTCACAGGTTCGCCTGAAGGGGCCTATTACCTCTAGGATTAGCATAGAACCAGCATCGAGCTTCCACCCAAACCCACCATTGTATCCATAAGCGCCAAACGCATCCACCATGTTATGGGTCAGTCGGAATGGTACCACCTCGGGCTTTTCGAAAGTTTGACCTTTGTCAAACAGACAGTTGAAATCGACATGCAGCAGACCACCTGTACCTTCTTCGAATGAGAGATTCTCCCCATGTCGATCGCCCAGACTACAATGTAGTAAGGTGTGTTAGTAACATAGAGCGATATATGCATAAGAAGCCTTTAATGAGCAATGGGATAGCGGTCTAACGTACCCGAGGACATATCCCACCATGGACATAACGGCAGAAGATCGTGTATACCGCAGTCTGGCTGTGAACCATGCTTCCGTCTCGGGGAACATCTCGATGAACCACTCATGGAGAACTGGGGGAAGCCTGTTGCCTGTCAGTATGATAGAACACCGATCAGGAGAGTTATGTGAGAACATACTTGGCCAAGATCTTGGTTGTAAACAATGGCAACTTTGAGAAGGATTGATCGGCGCAGATGTCTTCCAAATAGTGCCTGATCTCATTGTACTAATGAGCTTGTTAGTAAATCGATAGAGGAGAACTCCCGGTGTGGTTCCCATGAGCTTACGTTTGGTGTGATTCCTCTTTCGCGTAGCCCTTTCATGATAATCTCCCTCAGTGTACGGAGGTTGTCAACCCACTCGATGAGACCACATTCCTCGTTCAAAGGCGTCACGGCGTACGTTTTGATATCTGTCCAGCTTCAGCTTTGGTCATGAATGAATCTAATTCACAACTACTCACACATGCGTCGCTTGCTTGATTCGACGTCTCTCTTGAGAAACCTGTTGATCATGTTATTGAATTCCATGAGACGTTGGTCCTTGCGCAAATCATCTTTAGGTTTGCACAGCGCATTGTAGATCTTCCCATCAGAGCCTCGTATGCTAATCTTGCGTGGCTTTTGGAGCGAATTCAAGATTTGGGCGTCATCGAGAACGGCCTCGATGGTTGTTGGATCCCGGGGAAAGCCCTAAATCCTTTAATGTATTCGAGGGTTTGACTGGCAGGAAGACTTGGAATCAACATCGCCTGGAAAGGAACCACCAGCCGACAGGGTGCAACCTTGTGATTGAATCCTAGATTGCGACCTAATTGAACCTTGGTCACCTTGTTCTCAACTCTGGCAAGACAAAGCTGGAGTAGTTCTTCGGAAAACTTCTGTCCTTGATTTATCATGCGGCGAATTTCCGACGCCGAGGATGACTCTCCCTTGGACTTGTTTCCATAATCCTGGGCAAATTAGTGATTGTGTGATCTAGATGAATAAGGAGCTACCTACCATAATCTTCTGCAGGCAGGTGAAGCCCTTAGTAGCTCGCTCCTTATTGGAAGATTTGACGACGGCAAGAACAGTCCAGAGACCCTGCTGTGGGAAATTGTGAACCGCTTTGGCAACAATCCGCGTCAAAAGATCGTAGACTGTGCTATTGGGGTGACAGATCCGAGCAACAACCTGGGGAAGGATTGTGAACAACAGAGCTGCTTGTAGTCGTTTCTCGATGTATTTCTTTAGCTGTGCATGCATCTCATCCAGACTCTTTTGTCTTTGGGCTTTTGTGTGTCGCTGGAAATCTTCGTTGTCGCCCCTTTTGGGATCGAGTGGCTGTTCAACAATAAAGGCATGTTCAAGCCAGAGCGTAAGGAGCTTAGGCAATGTTTGAAAAACATATTTGGTCCCGTATGTCAATGAGCGGAGATAATTGTCGATGACAAGCTTTGTTGCTTCTCCACTTAGATATATCTGGGCCTCCTTTCCCATGGGTTTGACTTTCTCAGACTCCAGGATCTTGTTGTAGTGCTTTCCCAAATAATAATGCGCCCTTTCCCACTTTGGGTATAGCTTGATAGCTTCTCGGTATCTCTGAACAATGGCCTGAGAATGGGTCTGACCAGCTCTGTCTGTCCATTTAGCCAGCATGAGATGAGCGAGGGCAGTAGATTCATTTTGATGCTGTCCGCGGCCCGAAAGGAATGACATGACTTCAACGTCACTAGAAGAGGATGTGGTCTGGGTGGCTTCATTGTTAGATATTGCACCCTCCAGGGTCTGAATGGCCTTTCGATGATGTCCATCTTTCCAGAGCAGTCGCGCATGTTCAATAGCAGCAGATCTGTCTTTCAACCGTGCAGCATTTAGCATCGAATGATACGCTTGACTGCTGAAATTTCCCTTGCGTGAGAGACGTGCACTAGTCAGCCACGCAGCAGAGATGTCAGAATCGGCAAATTCACCACTGTATCACATATTAGTTCAATTTCAAATGTCTTTCGGGCGTAACTCACGCTAGCTCCATGGTGGCACGTCTCAGTCCCAAAAGATATTGCTTGTCAGATAGGTAACCACCCAACACATCCAGCCGTCTGTCCAGTGTATCAAGCAAGCCGGAATGTGAGCGACCAGATCCTACTCTAGCAATAGATTCTACCTCTGATAATGCATGCAATCGAAGCATGTCATCATGGCATGACTGTAGTGACGCCACTGAATTGGTGGTCAGCGATCGAGCAACATTGAGCCTAAGCTCGTTGATCTTGTCTGTGAATGAACTTGTTTTCTTTTGACGAAGAGCATCAAGAGCCGATCCGATGCCAACATTGAACTCCTCAGTGCCCTGTTCGGTACACAGTCCAAGATATCCTTCTAGCTTATCCCATCTGCCCATGATCCACGTTGCTTCAACTGCGAACGGAAGGAATCGTGAAGCCGCTGATTCACTTTCTTTCAGAACCTCGAAGCGAGTCAGGATGGCATCTTGTTGACCGGATTCTTTGAGGCAGGTCACGAGATTCCATTGAGCATCAACATTGTTAGGCTCTTTTTCAAGCTGCAGTTCATACCAACTCTGTGCTGTGGCCCATCTCCCTGCTTTCCTATGTTCAAGGACTTGCTGGTCAATATTCAAGGCGGACAAGTGGCTTGAGATGCCCTCAATACCATCCGGCTCATCGATCTGGCTGTAAATGTCTTGTAATCGTTGATACAGAGGCTCAAGGGTACCGCGATCTTGCTCTCCTTCACGCAATTTGGTTTTTCGAATGTACTGCTCCCAATGAAAGAGTGCTTTGGAGAATGATTTACATTCAACAGCACGCTTGGAGATGATCTCGGGAGGTATGGAAGATAGAAGTGTTTCAACAGACTTGATCTGTGACGAATATTTGTCGATGAGCGCGTCGCGACTTAAATCTTTATGGGAACGACTCGAATGGTTGGATCCTTGTGCCAAGCCGTTGAGGTGCTTCTTCTTTCCTTGTAACCATCTAGACAGGTAATCGAGCACTTCAAAAACACTTTGGCTACTGCTAATGATGGTCTCACGGGCATTGTTGTTTGTCTCAGGAACAGGATGAGAAAGGACTCTCATCAACTCGCATTGAAGATCCTGTTTCTCCTGCTCAGTTCCTCCCACGACACGGTTCAGAACCGCGAAGGGTAGAAGAAACGAAGATATAGAGATATCTTGACCTTTCACCACACGACTGGAAATGGAGAAGACCATCTTTGCATTATCTCCATTGCCTGTTTGTAGAAGGTCTTGCACGAACGCTCGAAGCCACTCGCTATGAGTCAACTTGGGAGAAAACAGGGGATATCTGATTTCGGCATGATTGGTGACAACGGTGACCGTGTACGTCGATGTGAGAAATGGCGTGAGAGTGTTCCGAACACTTTCTGGAAGCTCCATCCAGCGCTGATGCTTTTCGTCGCCTTGGAGGTCGCGAGACCGCTGGTTAAGTACCGAGTTGAGTTTGCAGAATTTGAGAAGACCCTGCATGGCCCATGCTAGAAACCCTTGAGCTCTGGTATTGGAAGCAGACAAGAATGCCTCCACCAGTACGTTTTGGAGAAAGAAAAGAATAAAGGCGACAGTTTCCTCCATTCTGTCGAAGTTAGACAAAACAAGTATGTCCTTTTTCTCTTTTATTGTCTCTACTCGATTAGGATCAAGGCAGCCAACAAGGCCCAAGCATTGCGCTGACAGCAATGTGATGCTGTCTGAGGTAGTGTTGAACTTCACGCAACAATCCAAGAGCGACCTTGTCATATGGGCAATCACAGGATCTGGTTGTTCACTGAGAACAGAGTCGTGGAGGAATTCCTCGTTTGCGGCCAGAAAAGGTGCTAATTCCATCAATACCTGTTCGACGACGGTAGCATTCTCGCTTTGGCAGCGACGTATAAGCGCCACAAACTGGCTACGCACATCCATTTGAGCCCTGAGATCATTTATCTTGGCATCGAAGGGGGCTAGCTCTGGAATAGAGGCGAGTGAAGGCATTGTGTTGAATGTATCTCTCACAAGACTCTGATGGTTTGTCAATATGTGATCAATGAGCTGACAGGCACGATTTCTGCTCTCTTCGGTCAAATTGTCCCAGTATCTAATCACAATTGCCAGTGTTTGGTCAATTATGGGCTCAAGGTCCTCTTCAGTAAGTGAGCTGACCAAAGTCTTCCATGCAGAGAATGCACAGTCGCATAATTCCTCGATCTCAAGAGCGGAACGAAGACAGGCGCAGACCTGAGGCAAAGCACTGCTAACGTGACCCTGGGCAATTTTGATCATCTCTTCGATAGCTTTGATATTTCGTCTCTTCTCTGCCAAAGTTTGTCTCACCTGGAAGTCGTTGATGGCATTTGCGAATTGGGTGATAATACCGAGAACATGCTCCTCAATGAAGTGACTCAGGTCTGTCTTTCTTGACGTGGTTCCATGTGAGATCTTTCGTGGAACGAATGTAGCCAGGCGTTGAAGAGCCTGATAAAACCTATCCTTTTTTTGCTCGCCCGCATCACCGAGACTTTTCAGCAGATCACAGGTGATAAGAATTGGTTCGATTCTAACCAACTCTGCCAATGTCCGGCCCTTGAAAGCGGGATCTATCTCTGCCAAAAGGGACATGATCATGGCCTCTGGGTTGTCTGATTGCTGTGATAAGAGGAAAGCAAGAATTGCAGCTAGATTGTTTTTCTCCGAGCAGACATCAAAGGCAGATTCGCCTTCATTGCGGCTAGCCCCAATTCTGCAAATGATGTCTCTTTTTCGAGTCAGAACCAAGTAAGGCAAGACATGGACTTCCGTCAGCCGAAGGAAGCCATCCACTTTCATGCCAAGTAAGTCACATAACTGTTCAGCCATATGTGGGCGAGATTGAAGGTTTTTGACAACTGTCACTGAGAGGGTTCTCCAGTACGGCCTAAATAGGCCAGCAGGTGTCAGAGAAAAGTACTGTGCAAGTTTAGATAGCTCATTATAGGCCACAGCGCAAACATAGGGATTTGTATGCGCGAGATACTCCAGTAGACGCAAAAGAATGATGTTCTTTTCTTCATCCTCTGAGACGGTGGCTAACCGACAAAGTGTCATGATACAGGCTTCTTGCACTGGCATGTCGTCTTTCCCCGAGAGATTCTTGATCCATTCAAGCACAGCGACAAAATTGGCTCGACGAACGTCTGTTGGAAGACCTGGACGTACAAATGCCACCACAGTATGTCCAGCCGCAATGCGTAATTCCCTGATAGAACTGCGAAGTGAATGCAGACAGAACTCACCAGAAGCGGAAGTTGAAAGATGCATCTGATTGGAGTTGGGAGCATGCATTAAAATTCGTCTCAAAGCAACCATTGCAGAAATCCGAGGACCAGGCGTGCGGGTTAGCCTGGGTAGAATGGAATTAAATAATGTCCAAATTTCACCGTAATCAGGACACTCTGTTGTGTCGGCGTCATTGTGCGGACCTGTTTCAATATCGCATGTTTGGCAAAAGAGGATGTTTCGTTCTATGATATCAGAAGGCTTGTTCTGAAACTTTCTTGTTACTGCACATGCGAGTTTCCCAAGAATGTCCAGCATTACAATTTTCTGAGGATCGGAAGTTTCATTGTGCGATTTTTGGATGACAGCAAGCAGCTCAGATATTGACTTGCCGCAGTCAAAGTGAAGAACAGAGGACAATTCTCCCCCAAGCACTTGGAGCAAGTCATGGCTGTTGGGTTCTGTAGATAGTCCGGGAAGACATAACCGCTTCGGTGCCCGAGCATTTTCATTTGGCTCATCTTGGGGTAAAGCACCAGGTCTCTGGAAGGCGAAGTCCGAATCCGCGGGGGGGATCAACGGGGGGTGTTTTTAACTTGGCATGTAATGTTTGGAAGGAACTCCACAGATGTGATTCAGAGAGCTGATCGTTTAAATGCACTGATTCAACATCTCCCAAAGCTGGTAGAGCTTCTCTCAACTGTTGGACCAGTGATCTCGAGTTGGCTGCTGCCCGTGAAAGATCATCTAGGAAGCAACTGAGAAGGGCTTGAACAGAATTCAGTTGAGATAGAACATCTAGACCCAATATTCCACGTAGGAATTGACACCATGTAGAAACCAAGCTTGTGTTTGAAAGTAGACTTGAGGTATGGGATCCCGAGACCCAGCATCGCTGCAAGCAAGTCAGGTATTGTAAAGATAAAGACTCATCTTCTGGAGTTAATTTTGCCCTAAAGAGGTGCAGCCACTCAAGAATGACCTTTCGCAGACGATGATACCCGTTCAGCGTCCACGAAAGGTTGAACTCATGGTGCTTTGCACGAGACACCACATCATTATTCGGGCTGAACGAATCTAGCAATCGGCAGGCTAGTGAAAACGATTGATAAAAATTCCCAAGGAGTGTACGGTTACTGCACAAACTAGGGGAGAGACCTAGATTTTCGATGTCTTCAATGAGGGTTCCCCCTTCTGCGGGTATCGTCAAATTTTCGTGGCGTGACGACCAGGGATCATTGAATTGACACTTTTCAAGGGAGAGCAAGATATCTGCGGAGTATGTTAGTTTTGACCAAGGTTAAATTCGAAGACAGGAACAGACCTGAAGTGCAAGCACGCAGAAACGCAGCAACCGCATAGCTTGCTGGCAATGACCGGGCCTGTCTTTGGCCACAGTATACTAAACTAGACCATATAAGTTGAATCCTGTCACGTACAATCTCGGATGTCCAGATGTTGGCAAGTCGAATCAGGCGTAGAATCAGCCATGAAAACAGAGGCGCATGTATATCCTCACCCCAGATGAGTGGGTCAGATGTTTCCCACAGAGCTTGGGGGGATTTCTCAATGCTTGCTTGAATGATGTCCAAGCAGTCGAGTACTTGCCCTTCTAAATTTTGCTCCTGAGAGTTGCTTTTGGGGCTGATATCGAGCCCAGCCTTCAATACAATGCATATGAGTTTGTTGACATCCGTGACATCTTCGTCCACACGTAATTGATTGTGAGCTTCACCGAGAAGTTCCTGACGTAGCTGTGAGAAAGTCTCTCTTGTGAGATGAGCATCGTGTCCTTGGGAGGCAAGACGCGGTGCAAAATGCGCAGCAAGGATCGACGAGGCGGGCTCAGGTCTCCAACCGTTCCCAGACATGGCGACCTTTTCATTGTCTCCCTCGGCGGCCATATGGGATACACATGTTCAAGCGAAGATCAAGAACGAGAGTGCGCAACCCAGATGTCAGGTGTTGCATGAAGGAGGTGCAGATACGCGGAATCGATATGTCGTCGACACCTGAGGCACCCTTTATCCGTTACCGCGTAAGTAATAAATACATTTTCACCCATTTTAAGGTTGATACTTGTGACCGTACAGTTTCACTTATCTTCTAGGAGTTCGGAATAATCGCTGGGTTTGGTTGACTAGGAATGCCCATGAGGATGACTTGAGCATTTCCATAAATGGTTGACCTCCAAAATTTCGGGTGCCACTATTACTGCCCTTCTGTCTTTTTCATCTCTTCGGGCTAGGATCTGGCCTACAGTCTATCCTACAGTCAATCCGTCTAGAAAGATCTTCTTAAAAACATTACAGACCCAAGAGACCCCTCAAATACCAGCCATGGAGTTCAGGGGCTAACCCCGCGGTGGCGGAGGATTCAAGGCATGGCTATTTCATGAGACAGGCTTTGCTGATGGTATGATGCTCCTCCCTACGCGGTGAGAACTCATGCTGACTTCGATAACAGGGCGAAAAGGCACTTGACTCAGGCGAAACCCCTGTGGGCTGTGTTCTGGTGCACAATGATCAGATTGTGGGGTTTGGCATGAACGATACGAATAGATCTATGAATGTGCGCTAGGTGGAAAGTTCTGCCACATGAGATAACTCGCTAATCATACAAAGGGTACCCGGCATGCCGAGTTTATAGCGATTGCAGAGATGCTTCAATCCTACCCCAGGTCAGCATTGCAATATACGGATCTCTATGTGACAGTTGAACCCTGTGTGATGTGTGCGTCTGCATTGAAACAGTACCGCATACGCAGTGTCTACTTCGGCTGTGCGAATGATCGATTTGGAGGCACTGGCGGTGTACTGTCTTTACATTCCGAGTGAGTCCGCTCAGAAATTGTTCAGAAGCTGTTCGGAATCGGTGCAAGACTAACTCAACATAGCTCCTCAATTGACCCACCATATCCCGTGTACGGTGGTCTATTCGAAAAAGAAGCAATCATGCTGCTCCGTCGTTTCTACATACAGGAGAACGAGAAAGGTAGGCAGGACTTAAAAGACTTGAAGCCAAGCACCCGCTAACATCAGGCCAGCTCCCAACCCAAGACCGAAGAAGAATCGCGAGTTGAATACTCAATTTGAGGATGACAGTAAGGAGGCATCTTCCATGGTGTAGATGTGCACTTTTTCGAAAATGATGCGCTTTATTACGACTGAATATTACTTTACCAAGTTCTCTCCAATGAAAACATTCAAGGTTGATCAGAACGGGAATCTGTATTGTAAATAGCAATTGCGCCCCAAAAACACACACGAAAGCGGATATGTGTACAAGTCTGCACTGGAATGACTCTCTATCAATTGTCCTGGGTGATTCATGAGGAGCCAGTCCGCTCTGCCTCCAATTCCCGCTCGGCCTGCTGGTAGTACTTGGCTGTGTCGACACCATGCTGTAAAACAGTCAGTATTATGGACTGTCCAATGAGCCAGAGAATCAACTTACTTGGTCATGGTTGACGACATTGATCCATGGGAGAACATGGATGAAGAGTTCCGAGTAGCGCGAGTTCCGGGCTGCGACACCTTGTAGGTAGGATGACATCTTGGAGGCGCCGTACAAAGGCTCTCCCTTCTTGACCTTATCGACCATCTCGCGAGTATCCATCTCAACTTCCCTCAAATTCTCGGTGAAGCCGTAGAAACGTCCTGCGAAGGTGTAAGCAGCGACATTAAAATTTCGCAAAAGCATACGGGAGTCTAGGCTGACATACTGCAGGAGCGCTGGTAGAGCACGTGAAGACCACCGATCAGACCGACAGCTGTAGCAAGGCGCATGGAGGGCGCAAAGCCACCACGGCCCACATGCGACGGGCTGACTCTCTCCATGACCCAGAAGGCAATGGGGGAAACTGAGGCCATTCCACCGGCCACAGCGTAGTCCGAAGGCCGGGCATATCCGAATACTCGCTTCAAATGCCTGTCAATTGTGTGAGCTCATGTCAATATTCTAAAATCCGGGGTAAATCGTACGGGTCGGAGTCGATCAACTGTGGGATGTATTAGCACAAGAGTCAAGCGGCGCTCAAGGAAGCAAAATGCAATTCTCAGAGGGTGTGCGGGCAATCATACGGGGTAATCAGTGTTGGCCCGCTTAGGGGGCACAATGGCCGTCTTGGTGTCTGTCGCCATGTTGGAACGTGAGGGTTGGTTGTGTAGATGAGGTTGAAGTTCTGGGAGTTGGACGAGAGGAGGGTACACTAGCCATATTAGGAATAGCGCATTGAAGGCGGGCAGGATCGTCAGCAGCCAATCAGAACGCACCGAACTGGCTACTCGCGTCACGCGTCGAGGCGGCTTCTGATTGATTGCATCTGATAGCTACCACTTGAGCCATTGAACACCTTCAATATAGCAATTGAGCATCCAACGACCTTCCAACAATACTGACAGGGTCTGACGCTCCAATACACTACATAAGGACCCGATTTCCAACGTCATATTCTGTTGGAACTATGGCCAACGCGAACGTTTCCGACCACGGAAGTCCAACAAATGATTTGAACGATCTCTTTGATTACGATGTTGGCTTGGATGAGATCGTCCTAGATAAAAACACGACTAGCAATACCAAACCCGCTACAGCAGGGGATCCTGCGCTCGGTCTTGGTCTCGACGAAGAAGTCAAGGTCACAAAGCAACGACAACCTGTCGCAAAACTCGACGAGAGCCGGTGAGCATGTCTACTCCCACAGCAAGCATGGGGATGCTGACTACTCTAGTTTACTATCACAAGCGGGAATCCCTAAGCTACGGCAATCTGCAAAACGTAAACTGAGATTTAAAGGCAAAGGGCACGAGGTTTGTTCCCCAACATGTTCCAAGGAGGCTGTCCCCACTAATCACGAACGAGGTTAGTTTTCGGATGCCGCACGCCTTCTCAACTTCTATCAGCTATGGCTTGACGATCTATACCCACGAGCGAAATTCGCAGATGGCCTGACAATGATCGAGAAACTGGGACATTCAAAAAGAATTCAAGTCATGCGAAGAGAATGGATTGAGGAGGAGAAACCAAGACCTTTGGACAGCTCTGAGCCTACGCGAGAGATGCTTGAGAGTTTACAGATACCTAAAACCGCAACTCATTTGGGTGATGGTGATGCTCCAGCTACCAAAGACCAAGACGAGGCTGGTGAAGGGGACCTATTCATTCCAGATGATGAAGGCATACGACCATCTACCAGCTACCCTGAACCTGAAGACGATGATCTAGATGATCTACTTAGGGAACAGGACGAGGTGATGGCTGACTGTCCCTCTGATACAGTTGCATCATCTTCACGACCACCTAATGATTTTGATGACTACGACGCTGAATACGAAGCTATGAAGGACCTTGGAATGTAAATGCAGAGGTACCTTTGCAATAGAATTTGATGGCAGCAATTGATTAATTCCATTCAGTCTCAATTTATCGAGCCACAATACTGCAAAACTATCAATGCATGTAAGAGTTCAGAAATATAAGCCAGCTCGATGGGTCAAATGAATCACCATCACTAACTCGAAAAGCAAGACGGCAATATGACGATACTAACAATTTACAGAGTGAAATGCAAAGTGCCGGCGCCGGTAGATTGCATAATGGGTTTGGATATCTCACGCAAGAGACAACTCTGAATCAAAGGGGCCATTAAATGTTAAAGTACAGGAGAGAACATCCATCAAAAGAAGTTCGTATTAGGTGCTAGCAGCCTCTGTAAAAACAGAGAATTGACCGCCGGCACCCGCCCAGTTCAGCTGCTTGCCACGAACAGCAGTGTTGTCAATGATTGTGGCCACCTCAATGTCATCTTGGGTTCCTTGGCCGGTGGCATAGGTGGCTGAGAAGCCCCATGACCACGCACGGCCCTCGGTATCAATCGCAATTGAGTGATCGGAGTTCGCGGCAACACTCTTGGCCTTAATGCCGGGGATAGGAGTAGGCTCAATCAGGATGCGAGGATGATCACGTTCATCCTTGATAGTGGACTCGGTGGAGAGTGTATCGACCTTGATACCGCTTTGAAAGCCGTCCAGACGGCCCCATACCAAACATTCGCCATCAGCTGTTCTGGCAAGGGAGTGGTGAGAGCCACCGCAAATCTGAGTGACATTTCTTCCCGAAAGCGATTCAACGAGGGTGGGATGCACGATGGCAGCCTCGGAATCACCGGCACCCTCGCGGATAGCTGTTGCGCCAAAGCTGTTCAGTCCCCAGGCGAAAACCTTGCCAGATGTGTGAACGGCGAACGAGTGGTAGCAGCCACTACCGATGTGAACAATGTTCTTGGGCAAGCCGAACTCGCGAGGCTGCAGACCATTGAGTCTATTACGTTCAATAATTCGACGACCCAGCTGGTTCTGTTGGCCTGAGCCCCAGGAGAACACGCGACCTTGGTCGCCAAGGGCTAGTACGTGGTTGGCGCCGCAGCTCAAGTGCGTGATCTTCTTCAAAGACGAGATATGGAGGGGGGTCATCTGAACGTGGTGAGTCGCGTCAAATCCGAGAATTCCATCGTTGCTCTAACTTCACCGTTAGTAAATATCATAGACATGAGACAAAAGTCAATTCTTACTCGGAAGGTACCCCAGCCGTAGACCAGACCGTCATCAGTCAAGGCAAAACTAGAGCTATCACCAGTAGCGACTTCGACAAAAATAGTGCCTTCGGGGAATGCGCTAGCGGGAATCGCAGTGGGTGTGGACTCGTGGGGATTCAGGCCACTGTCATCATCCTCTGAATCAGAGTCGTTGGCATTCATGTCCTTGTAGCCGCCATCCCATGTGGTGTCTCTTCCCAAAGCTCCCTGATCGTTCACGCCCCAGCTTAAGATCTTGTTGTCATGAGTGAGAGCGAGGCAGTGCATACCGCCAACAGCGACCTGCACGACACCAACTTCCTCCGCACTGAGAAGCTTATTCAAACGTGGGCGCTTGACATCGATAACGTTCTTTGCCGCACCCAAACCAAGTTCTCCGGAGCTTCCCTCACCACAAACAAACACGTTTAATTTGGTTTTTGGTGCCTCATTGATGACAACCTTAGACTTGGGCTTCGCTGCTCTCGTCGTCTTCAGTTGACGGGGTTGCGTGACGCGAGGCTTTTTTGTTTCGCTAGGCTCCTCCTCCTCATCGGCCTTGCGCTTCTTGGTCGCAGATGTCGTCTTAGTCGTAGCAGTGGACATTTTGCGCGACTTGGTTTCCTTCACAGTGGTTTTGGTGGTCTCTGTGACGCTCCTCTTAGGTCGACCAGTGGTCTTTGTTTCCGTCGAAGTCTTCGCAGCTGACTTCTTCGGCGCAGTAGATGTGCTCTTTTTAGGAGGCATTATGAAGCAAGAGCGAACAGAAAATAAAGAATGGGGAGACAGGGGGGAGGAGGGGAGGAGGAATGTATGGGGAGCTGTGAAAGGTTAGGCCGACGCGCGAAAGAAAAAAAAAGTGCCAAGCCCAAACCGTCAATAAGTAAATAATGCGGCATTCTCCCCGGCCCCCCGAATTTACACTTGCATTAATTCATGGGATTCATCTCTGACTTCCTCTGGATTACTTTTATATGAAGGGCCATAATGCAAACGAGCCAGATATGAACAATGGATTATTTCAGTCTCTTTGTGCTTCTTCTGGGTGCGCACTGGGTCGAATCTTGCCGCACATGATGACATTTTGCCCTAAGGGCATCCATTTGACCTCTCTTGGATTGAGTGCAGCATTTGGTGCACCTCCCGGGTCTTGCTTGGAATCTGGACTGACATTCACTCCACCGCGTCCAAGGTAAGTGGGGGCAACGGTCACGACGATCGAGTCGATGAAGCTGGTATACTCGGGGTTCAATAGTTCACTCAAGACGGTTCCGCCGCCTTCAATCATAACACTTTTGACGCCCTCAGATGCAAGAGCACGGAATATAGCTTCCCAGCGTAACCTCCAGTGTTGGTTAAACTCTACAATGCGAAGAAAATCGCCGCCGTAGCCCTTGAGCATCATTAACGTCTGAGGATTGATCTGAGCCCCTGGGGATACAACGACCCATGGGGCTTTACCTTTACCATCCACAGCGGTACGCAACATTCGACATTCGGGATGTACAGGCCATCGACCCATGGGATCAATAATCACTGGCCTGGGCTGCCACATTCGACCCAGACCTCCAAACCCACCAGCGCCCTCGAGGCGGCAGTTCAAACCGGGATTGTCTGCGAGAACTGTGCCTACTCCGACAAGAATGGCATCATGTCGGGATCTCAGGTAATGGGTCATCAGTTTGGCCTCAGGGCCAGATAGCACCGTTTGCATTCCTGGTTGAAGCGAAATTTTGGAGTCCATTGACGATGCATAGGACAATGTGACATGAGGGAACTCTCTTCGCTCGGAGGTTTGGGGCAGATATGGCTGCAAAAAGTCCAGTGAGAATTGAGGAAATGATAGCGTGTCGGGGGGTAATGAAGATGATGAGATCGATGGAAGTGGTTTTGGTTGCGACGGAACTTCATTAACCCCATCAGTGCTTTGGGTCTTGATAATTCCGTGTCCCTTTTGGTATTCGTAGCCCTCATGTGGAACAAGGTTAACCTCTGGGTTTTGAATGCGCCATTTAGCAGAGATGTTGCGGACATCTGTCACAGTGAAGAACCGTCCTCCAGCCTCACACAGCTTATCTGGCTCTTCTTGAAATTTGGTGTAAATAGAAGATGGAAGATACCCTTTCACGCATTCTTTTCGCGCATATTCCATTAAACCCGAGTTCCGCTTCACCCGGTCAATATAATCCAGGTCGTGCGAGTGAATGCTGCAGCTTCCTGGAGTTCTCGCGATAGTGACGGTCGAGTACGCGCCCTCGAAGCGTACAACTTTGATCTGAAAATTACAAATCCCCCCTCGCGCACACGCTTTTTTCGAGGTCGTTTGCCTTCTGGGAGTGGCCGAGTTTCCGATGTGCGGTGGGTTGGACGTCGTAAACGGCACATGTAATAGTCTGTAGTGCAATGGCCCTCCTTGCTGGCGTTTGACCTTTGCTTAACCCAAACATTGTCAATAAAGGGCCAATATGTCTCAAACTCCTCCAGACTGATCTCTATCGGGTCGTTGCACTCGAACAAGACCTTTCGGATTCGCGCTAGGTTCGGGGGATTGTTGAACAGGCTGGGTGTTGTCTTCACATTTGAATGTGTAGTCGCGTTGCTGCTATTGACATCGTTCAAATCGGTAGTTGCATGAAACTGGCTCGAATCACTTTCGTCACCGCGTAAAGCCTGCTTGTTGAGAGCGCCGAATAGATTGATTGGTGTGGCTTCGGGTTGCGGCCGGTCTTCTTCCAACACATATTTTTGTGCTTCGGGATGGACCAGCCCGACCCCTCTGTCTGGTCTCAACACGTCCTCTACCTGTACAAAGCCATTGCGCGGGGACCCCGCTTCGCTGCCGGACGTGTCTACGTTCGAGCCAGACGCGTTCGAGACATGGTCCATTCTGGGGAAGTGGGAGGCAGAACGCAAAATTTCGTACCCGGCTATGACCAAACAGCCATTTCGATTGAGCACAAAGGCCTCGGGTGAAAGACGGGGAGCTATAGGATCGGAGCATGGGAAGATTCCCTCGGAAGCTTGGCGGAACACATGCTCCGTCCGCTTTTAAGTTTACTGCCCGATGGATGTTCCGTCAAGATATATTTACATCTCTACATTGCTACATTTCTACACGTTTATACACCTCAATCTCATGAAACTGTCTCATCCAGTAGTTCCCTTACATTCATCGTATCAAGGCAATTCAGCAAAAGGACATCAAATTGTACACGTTTAGTATGCTCCGATCTCCGCTCCAGCACGAGCCAGAGTCTCATACACTCGGGGTGGCAGCTTATACTTGACCATGCCCGAAAAGACCATGAGATCTTTGGCCATGACAAGCAGAGTGTCCGCCAATCCCTGGCGCACTTCGTTTTCGTAGGCCCCGGAGGTTTGCTTTTGGCGTTCATGGCCAATGCAGGTAATACTCCACATGATGACATGCCCGATGTTGCGTGAGATGATTGGGGGCAAAGATGCGAAAGACTGAGCAGCAGCTCGAATCACAGGCACTGCGCCACGCGCTTGTAAAGGAAGAATATTCAAAATGTTGATTGCCTACATTTTTTTCGTTAGTAACTCAAATGGCGTTGGGGACAAAGAGGAAAGAAAGCTTACATCAAGTGCAGGGGCCCATCGGCCAGCTTCAACCTGGGTCTTTGCCTCAATCATGAGCAGTAGCAATCCACAAGCATCGCGGTTGACTTGTCGGATCTTTCCAAAGTACATGTTGTTGGAGTTGTAGAGACTAATCATGTTCTTGGCAAGCACGGCGGGATCATCCACAGCGGTCAAGCTGAGGCTGCTTCCAGCGTCGATTAAATCAGGCTCACCCTGGTCAACACGGGGGCGCAGGGGTTGCAATCTCGGCACGACCGTGCCCAAATCAACCGCAATTGCATCTGACATCGCACGGTTTATGATGTCGATGACCCGGTCATAATTCTCAGCCAGGTGGTATAAAAGAACAGCATCAGTGATTAATCCCTTGTCGTCTGCTACGGCGGCAGCTTGAATTGTGATGGTCTTCAAGAATTCTTGTTGATCGTCGATCTTGATTAAATCGAGACGTTGCTCGATTGCTCCCTTGAGCCGGGTACCGTCAGCACGAATATCACCGAGTAATCTGGCAAAGTCTCTAGTTTCTAAGATGAACTCGCGCAAGGCTTCGTGGCATACTGATGCCTGCGACTTGCCAAGGGCACCTGGGAGGTCTGCATTGAAACAGATCAGGGTGAAGTAATCGATTGCTGCTTCAACAAATCCAGTGCGGAACTCTCGTGTGTATTGAGTCAAGAGATATCCGAAATTGATTTGAGGATATTGTTTCACCGTAAAGGTTACTGTAGGACAGAATTAGCATGACCCAGAAACCAGGTGGCATATATGAATTGGTGAGGTGATGCTTACAGATTTCTTCGCCAGAGGTGTAAAAGTCGGATACCCGCAAAAGACCATAGTAAGACAGGGCAACGGCAAAATGGACAGCCGTAACCGGTGCATAAGTCCCGAGGTAATGCACGGCTTGTTCGAACATTCCTCCCAAAATCTGGAGGAGGAAGTAAGTTCCATAGCCACCAGGTCCTTCCTGACCCTTGGTGAAGACTCGCTGACCGATTTCTTGGATGTCAGCCTGTATGTCTTCCAAGCCGAAAACGTCGCTTGCAACCTCTTCGGCACGATCATCTTCTCTAGCAAGGCTAAACTGTAGCCACATCCAGTCCTCCACACTCTGATTGACACCGTCCAGACGACGGCGCGAGATATCGCAACGGCCAATAATCTTGTAGCATGCCATTCGGTAAGGGTCAACAGTGTTTTCGGGTGCATTCCGTGAGCGCTGTTGGAACTCGCCATTGATTTTAGTCTGCAGTTCCCGGGGAAGTCGTCTGTTTTGTGCATAGGTTGTCATGTAGGTCACAAATTTGTGATCCAAAGAGCGGAAACCGCTGTCCTGGCTCACGTATTCAGCCGCTTCAGTAATAAACCCGCACCGCAGAAGGTAAAAGATTAGAATCCAGCAGTAGTCTTGGTTCACCATCTGCAGTTCGGTTCCATCCGGAGCGAGATCCTTTCTTGCAGCTCGAAGTCGAATGAAAGCACGGATTTTGTTGATCACAGTCGGGATTCCGCCCAGTTGTGCCTCCCGAGGATTTTTGGCGATGGCAATTTCCACTTCGTCAAAGAAAGTTTTTTCAAGGAAGGTCCTTGAACCTTCAAGAATTTGCTTCTTGAGATTGATGGCTTTGCGGGACTTGGGCGATTCATCAAGATAGTCGTCAGCATACTGTCTTTCTTTGACCGCTCCTGGCTCCGATGGGCTGACAATATTTGGCTTCTCATGGACGATTCCTATCAAGGCCTGGTATGCAGCGAAAAGTTGTGGAGGAATCTAGAATATCATTAGCAGAACATTTAACCTTGATGTGTGACCGCGTATGGGGGGTGAGCTTACATCACCGCCGGTGCGCATCTCAACTGTCGCAAACTCATCAAGAATTGGATAGCACTTCTTTTGTAGTCTCGCAAGGTTGAGTTGCTGAACCTTCTCGGCATACTGTCCCATCTTCTCGCGATGAAATCTGAGATCGGGTGACTGGTGTAGACTACCTTCACTTCGCTCGCTCTGGTCTTCAAATATTTGACGACTTGCCAGTCCGGCCCCAGGTGTCCCAATGACCGACTTTTCAAGACCGGAGCGCCCGAATACGCTTCGACGAGATGCGGCCGAGGGTCCATTACCTGGGCCACCAGGTTGTTTAGACTGTCTTGCCGTACGACCAAATGCGCCCCTTGTGGTGGATTTAAATTCCCCAGATTCATCGTTCGAGCCGAGTCCGAAATGATGGAAGATATTATGACGCTGCTCCTCCCAGTCCATGTCGAGTTTCTCTTCCAAAAACGAATCAAAGTCCCTATGGGCCCTCGCAAGGCTTTCGTTGATCATAACCTGACGACCGCGTTGCTGGATATTCCGCAAAAATCTTTGGTTGTCTGGATCAAAGTTATCCGGTTCTTTCCCTGGGCTCGCGAGAGATGCCTGGGGATCAAGAGATTTGAGGTCGCGCAATGCTCGACCAGGGGAGATACCGGAAGCTGCAAGAAGATAATGGCTGTTCAGTGGTATGCAAAAGTTAGTTAAGCCATTTCAAGACAAAGGTGAACAGAAATTAAAACTCACGCCTTGCTATTAGCGCCAGTTGGAGCATCCTTTTGCCCCGTTGATCCTAGCTCGCGGGCCTTTCGGCGGATGTCGTCAAGACCCAACTGAAGACTAGGCACGTCTTCGAAGTTGTTATTTTGGCCAAATGATGACAATGGTCGCTTCTTGCCACGCTCCAAAAGACTGTTGAAGAAGGCCGGCTGCGTGGACGCAAGTGGCTGTCCTTGAGTTTGCGTAGTACTAGGTTGTTGAGTTTGTCCCAGGAGAGAGGATTGAGCAGGTTGCTGGGTCTGCCCCATAAACGAAGACTGAGTGGGTTGTTGCTGGGTCTGGGATTGGCCCCCGAACAAAGACTGCGGCTGTGCGCTTTGGGTAGATGTCGAACCTAGCCCTGAAAATGGACTTGCTGCAGGCTTATTGCCGGAGAAAAGACTGTTTGGCTGTGATGTTGCGGCTCCAAGGCCACCACCCCCTCCGAACAACGAGCTGCCACTGGAGGCCATGATGGAAACGTCGAGCGAGAAAGCTGTCAACGGCAGTATCGAAGGTAGAACTATGCTTGACTGATTGCTGTGTCAGCTTCTGCGACAATAGCAGTCAAGTCAGGACGTGCTCACAAGAAAAATAAAGGTCGCGCACTTGAATCACTGCGAGACCGGCCGAAGAGAAACACGGAATGCGGTGGGTAGTTCTCAAGCTTCAAACATAAAAGACAGAGCTTTTGGTGGGCCCAGCTTTTATGTCGAGTAGAACAGTCGAACAATTGAGAGGAGGTAGATGTCAGTGAGTGCAAAGACTTGAGAAGCTCTTCCTAAACAATTCATTCCGGTACTCCGGATTATACATTGTCCGACCCGCTCCTATCGTTTGCTATTCAGCATGGTTTGATCGTCAATGAATCCCTTCGTCTATACATCTTTTGTCGCTTGAGGTCAATTGATTCCACATACCACAATGCCTACCTTCCAATCTAAAACATTCCGGCGGGCTGCTACAGAATCATCATCACTTGGTGAACGCATCGGTGCATTGTACCGCGCACGACTAGCACGACACCCTTTTATTCTCTTCGGACTTCCATTTATTTCTGTGATTGTAGCAGGGTCTTTTGCATTGACACCTGCTGCTGCCCTACGTTATGAGCGTTATGACCGCAAGGTCAAGCAGTTGAGCAAGGAGGAGGCATTTGACCTTGGACTGAAAGGTCCTGATGGAGAAGAGGCCGCCATCAAACGCAATCCGAGGCGAAGGATTGTAGGCGATGAGAAGGAAGAATATTACGTATGTATCTCTAAATATGAAAACCATAAACTGTATGCTAACTGCATCTTTAGCGACTCATGGCCAAAGACCTTGACCAGTGGGAGCAGAAGCGAGTAGCACGATTCAAGGGCGAACCCGACGGAAGAATATGAGGCTCCCAAGGTTGACTTCAAGTACTGAGTTGCGGTGTTATCTAGCGCGATCAAAACACGACAGACCATGATCTCACCAGGCACATGAGTTTATTGCATGACAGTGTAATGTGGCGACTAACGAGATACAACTGCAATCTGCATTGCCTCCACAGCTGGTATACACCGAGATGGAGTCCAGCCTTGGAAATCGACTTTCCCCAAGCTCATACTTGTACGGAGTGCATGTAGCACCACTTGTCAAGACCATGCTGCTCTCCCTCTGGAGACTGTCTTGTCTTCTGCTTATCATTTTGACGTGGAACTTGCATAAGTGGAGCGATCACCACTGAAAAGGTGAGATCACTATGAAGTCGAACCTACAAAAGTCAATGCAAATCCTGTACTCTGCACATTGCCCGACACCGGTGCTTACTCAGCCTGATACAGGTCACGGCTAGAGCGCTTCAGATGATCGACGTGAAGGGAGGTTGACATGTGTGTCTGTATTTATATTCCAGTATATATTCCGAAGTCTCATACATATTTCCTACATATCTTGAAATTCCATCTCTACCTTTGACCGTATACTCCCATCTTTATATCTCGATCTTAGATCTTGGTCACGCCACGACGTCAGAACCGAGAACCCGTGATCCCCACACAACAACGTCATACCTTTCTTCTCGAAGCCCCAAATTTCTTCTTTCGCCCATTTCCTCCCCCCAGCTCCAGGGCTGGTTTTTATTATTCAGCAATGACACGGGTGCTCTGATATCAGACCTGTTCATCCCCCACCTTGGCCTTCTACCGGCTGGACCCTGGTCTATCGCTTCTTATTGCCCCTCCTTTCCGTTCTCTGTCTTTTGTCATCTTTCTGAGCTTTTGGATTGCAACTCAGTATCACCCAAGTCTTTAGCATCTTAATTCTACCGGTCTCGTGGACGATTGACTTGGTGCAATTTCAGACTCGAGTTGACCGTGTGAGAGTGTGTTGGGATCTGGAGCTGTGGGAGCTAGCTTCTTGGCCATGACAGGCCCAGGACGCTCGCCCTCCTCCCCTTGGGTGCAGAGTAGCCAAGGCAGTCATCGTGATGGTGCTATGCAGTCCTTCCGCCCTGGAATGTCACCCAATAGCTCGGAACAACCGAGTTCCAACTATTTTGGTATGGCGGCGCCGACTTCAAACTCACAGTCGTTTGATCCAGGACCAAAGAGCTGGGGTGCGTCACCGCACGCTCAGTCTCTCCCAAGTTCCAAAATGCAAGTATATTCCAAGGACTCTGTATCAACCGGATTGGCGAACATGTTGAAGACCGAGCCCGAAGCCAACCGGAGACGCCGTGAATCAGCCTTCCATGAATCTGTTTCCAATGGCGATCCCCACGGAAGACCGTCTTGGTCCAAGCCATCAACTCCTCACCTAAGCGGAAATGGGATAGGAGCTGGCACAAGTCCAGTACCGCCACAACCACAAGGTATGATATCTCTTTAGTTGCGTTTTTTTCCCATAGAACCTCGTTTTTCTATTGTTTATCGTCGACGTGACCGATTCCATACTGACAACTCCCCCAAGGTGTCCCTCTGACTGCATTCCCTTGGGTCTCTCCCGAACGCTGTGCCGATCTCCTTGGATCATCGCAATCCAACGTCATGTTATTTGATGTCCGCCCATTTGCCCATTATAAACAAGCCAATATCCAAGGATCACTGAACCTATGCATCCCGACTACGCTACTCAAACGTCGCTCATTTGACACTCAAAAGCTGGAAGGCACTTTCACGGATGACACTGATAAGCAAAAGTTTGCTCAATGGAGAAAATGCAATGTAATCATTGTCTACGACTCTGCCGCCGCCGAGTCAAAGGATGCAGCGCCACTCTTGCACGTTCTCAACAAATTTCAAGCAGAAGACTGGAAAGGCGATGGGTTAATACTACAAAATGGATTCCAGGGATTGTCGACCAAGTACCCGCATTTGATTCAGCGGTCACAATCAAACACGACAGGACCATCCACCAAACGCCGTACGCCAATGAGCATCAATCTACAGTCTGTTGCTCCTGTTGTTGGTGGGTGTGCCCTACCAGAATCATCTTCCGCCATTAACCCCTTTTTCTCAAACATTCGACAAAATATGGATCTTCTCGGTGGAGTTGGACAGATTCCCGTGAAACAGCCCGATGGTATGACCGATAAAAAACGACAGTCACTTCCTCCCTGGTTACGGGATGCTTCAGATACCAAGGACCAAGGGCACATTGTCTCCAAAAGGTTTTTGGGCCTTGAGAAAACGGAACTGGAGCGCATGAAACAAGCCTTGACCTATGAAGGATCCACGGCAGAGGCCACTGGTGGATCCAAGAAATATCGCGTTGCAGGAATTGAGAAAGGCACAAAGAACCGTTACAACGACATTTACCCATTCGATCATTCCCGCGTCAGACTCGAAGGGATTCCATCTGGCGCCTGTGACTATATCAACGCAAATCACATTCAAGCCGAATACAGCAACCGACGATACATCGCTACACAGGCTCCCGTTCCTGACACATTCAGTGTAAGTATCACCGTTCTCATTGCTTATCGGCATGTAACTTATGAAAAATAGGACTTTTGGCGCGTAGTTTGGGAACAGGACGTCAGACTACTCGTTTCTCTCACAGCTGAAATTGAGCGAGGACAGGTGAAATGCGACCGGTACTGGGAATCTGGCAGTTATGGGCCATTCGAGGTCAAAGCATATTCGGAAAAGCACATTCACATTGAATCCAATGGCCAGCCAGTCAACTCAACGATTCCCGACTCCAATGCATCTGCCGAAAAGCCTAATGGTACAAACGAAAACCCCGTCATTATTGTGCGGCATTTCAGCGTCGCTCACACGTCATTCCCTTTCCAACCACTCCGAGATATCACCCAGCTCCAGTACCCTTACTGGCCTGATTTCGGAACAACGTCTCAGCCAATCCATCTTCTCAATCTGATCGAGCAGTGCAACAAAGTCATTCGTGCCACAAGCAACACTGGGTTTAGCAGCCAGGAGTCAGAACCGAAAGGTCAGCGGCCCATTCTCGTTCATTGCAGTGCGGGCTGTGGACGCACAGGAACATTTTGCACGGTTGATAGTGTGCTGGATATGATGAAACGGCAACTTATGCAAGCCAAAAATGGCGGAGGTCTGGACCAAAACCCTACCATTTCCTCGGATTGGATTCGAGACCACAGTACCGATCTAATTGAAAAGACCGTGGAGGACTTCCGGAGACAACGGCCAAGCATGGTACAGAACCTTAGTCAATTTTCGCTCTGCTATGAAAGCGTGCTTGAATGGCTCGTCTCAGAAATGGACCACAGCAACTCATAGGATACTGAATCTCCCCCTTCTGCTTTGTTCAACAAGCCATGATTATGAAACTGGGATACCCCTATTCTGCCTTGCATGCTCAGAGCCATGGCCTTTTCACGATTCATTTTTACCAATGCCATACAGTTCACGATGATTGTCTTGTCCATGCATTTTTTTTTTGGTGTCCGGGTTAATTTTTGGGATTCAAGGATTGGAGGGAAAAAAAGAAACATATCCTTGTTATAGTGCTCACCAAATATCAGCATACGTTCAATAAACGAGTGTCATAAAGCGCGAGACTGATTTAGTTGCTCGAGGACATTCACAATCACGAACTCGTCATTTTGTCCTGATGCAATAAGTTGTCCCTTTTGAATAGGCTGGGGACTAGAAATAAAAGATTTTCGAATGTTTCGTTTAACCATTGTAAATAGGAAATTATGACATTTGGGCCTGGGATAATGTCCAGCTTCCCATAATAGGGTATGATATTCGAATTGCGAGAACTCGACAGTCACCCTTTGTTCTTTGACCCCTATCTAGCATACATACTATGCTATGCTAGCACAGCGGTCATCGCTAAATGCTAAGGAACGCTCAAGTTCAAAAGCGAAGAGTATGACGATGTATGAGCTAAGACGAAATATCAAAAGTCCGTAGAGACTGACAAAGTCCCTGTGTGTTGACGAGTCGCAGACCTTGACCATTGGGGGCGATGTCCAAGTATATCAGCCCGCGGTCAGTTATCGCAATCAGCTCGTCTTCTCTATCTGTGAATTTCAACTCGGAGCAGACGGCGTCCAACTGAATAACAACAGGTTGTAGCTTAATAGCACCCGAGTCCGACACCCACGATGGTGAATAATAGCCGGTGGTGTTTCCTCCAAGCACTTCATTCGGTTCCAGTGCCCAGACACGGAGTGTTTTCCAATTAGCGACGGCGATCCGAGATCCGAGAGGTGAAGCAGCCACACAAGATCCTTGTGAGGTAGTCAATTCCTCATATCCCTCAAGTTGCGCCATAACCTCCCACAGATCAAAACGCCTTCCGCGGTCAAGATTGAAGATATGATTGCAACGCTGGGCTCGAGGGTAGGCTTCAGACCTCAAAAGACATGCCACTGTCCATTTTTCAACTCGATGAGTAGCAATGCCAAGGGCAAGATATTGCCAGCGACAGGTTGCTCCCGGAGATTGATCGTGGATTTCGTGGGTAGCAAAGAACGGAATCCCAATAGAGAATCGCAGCGAAAGAGATTCTGAATAGGGCACGAGGCATTCATTCTCGTTCGGTAGTTTTGTCGGCCTCACATTTTGCAGATAAGGAAGTTGTTGGAAAGATCCGTAAAGAGTCTGAGCCCGGTAGTGGTAGAGCAATTGGCGCTCTCGATCGTTGAAAGCCAATTTTACCACGGGCCCTCCGCCTTGAAATGGATCACAATCTGGGTCATTTCCATAGGAGCTGGCAAGAGTATTGGCTGCATAAGAGGCATATTGAATATTGCTTGCTTTCTTTGGGCTGGTGCGGTCATTGACATCCACAGCTTCTAGGCGTTGCTTGATTATCTCTTCGTCGCTTTCATCCTCCCCCTCGTCACTTTCATCCTCCCCCTCGTCACTTTCATCATCAAGCCAGGTGTAAAGCTCGACAGAGTGGTCATGGGGATTTGATGTGTGCTGCCAGGAGATAGCAAATCTACCGGGGGTGGCAGACAGAGCAAGAGGTCTGTAGTCATGACGGTCGGGGAAAGCACACATGCGAACAAGCGAAGAATTCAATTCGTAGTGAGCCATAAAGATGTTCCCCTTGGAATGAGACTGCAGGGCATGCTTGACAAATGGATGGCCAAGGTCGAGTTCTTGGTCCAGAAATGGCTTGAATCGATGCAGCACATAAATTCCATCCTGGTGATCCAAGGCGGTGCGAAGGATTTCAACATCCCCAATGTCTTTTCCAGGACATTTGAACTCACGCTTATGCAATAAGACCTTGTCAGTGGCGCGAACCAGGTATACGGTACTGCTGTCTTTCATTACAAGCAGCGCCTCCCCGTGCACGGAGGAACCGTCTAATGTTGATGCTCGGGTATCCAGCACATGCTGAAATTGATAGATTGTGCAATCTGCGTGGAATTCAGCGCCATATAGCTGCGCCCAAGATCGCTTCATCAAGATGCGAAACAGCTCTGTTGTCCGTAGTTGCAGATGCTCCAAGTCACGCCCAGGGGTCTCGTGTAGATGGTGTAGGATAACATCTCGACTACTGATAGCGATGTTGAAAAACCTGCGATTTGTAAAAGCTGCTTGGAAATAGGCAGGAGTAGCGCAATGCCAGAGTATGAGCTGGATCAACTCAGCGGGCAGACGAAACATGATGAGTTGTGGAGCTCGAATGCGGTCAGCGGAGAATTATAGAGCCCTGGCGAGCAGAATGGAGGACGTTGTCAGCGGTTGCAGGTTAAAGGGTGAAGGATTGTTAAAGGTTGCCTGAATGATTGCGAGTTTGCTAAGTTAACTTAGGGTCATGTTAAAAACACACGCCTCCCCATATAATAGTGGATGTATAACATTAGCGTTAGGATTGGCGCATTTTCAGTATTATACTTGACCTCATATTTTACTTCATATTAGAGGTGTGTTTTGAAGATGACCGTTAACTTATAAGTTAAGTCAAGTTAGGTAACACTAGCTTCTAATTTATAGAGGATGGCCTGTTTGACCAGGCACCAGCACGAATTTGGTGCCTGTCAGTTGTCAGTTGCGCCTGTTTTTATGCATGAAGATGTAGAATTATCCCTTATAATAGATAGGAGCCTCAAATATATAAGGATATTCCAGGGCATCTACTAGAATATTTCAAGTACCCCATATCCAGACTATATCTACTCTCATTGACCCGATTTCTCTAACCATTGTGGTCGACTTTCTATATCACGATCCCCACAGGCAGCGCCAACACATCTGGCAAGATCTCCAAAATAGAAACTCTTGCCAGTGAGTCCAGGGCCATAATGGGCGTATTTTCCCGAGTTGGTCATAATGGCGCTCTTGGAACGGGGAATGGTTGGGTTGGTGATCATACACCAGCAGGTATCCGTGACAAACTGAACCCCAAATCCCTGCAGTTCATCAAGCAACCCGGCCATGTAAGCTGAATTATATGTGGCTCGACTGCAAGTCACCATAATAGCAATATCTGGGTTCTTGTGGCGACCCCGGCAAAGACTGTTGAGGATTTGAATTTCATCGAGCGAGAAGTGAGGATTTCCGAGGGATACCAGGCCAACTGGTTGATCTTTCGATGCACTATTCAGTTCATCCCAGCACCCGATCAGATCCCTGACTTCTACTCTAACGGATCGTAAGTCAACATCTTTGGCAATGACAGCCCCAAGGTCCACTGCTTCGGGGGTGACACCCAGAATGTGAAACATAGGCGCACTTGATACAGTCGCAAAAGCCGCCCCTAAGGCCTTCAGATCATCCTTGGATGGGAACTGGGATTGGATACCAACTATCACAGGGATTTGGCTTGGAGCTAAACTTCCCACATGGTATCCGAGAAGAGGGTAGAATGAATCGTCAATGGTCACGTTCTCAAGGCCCTCCACATTCACGATGATCGATGCCATTCTGTTGATTTGTATGTGTGGTCCTCCTTTCGGGGCGCGGCCAGTCAGGGCAATACAGATATCGAGGAAATCAGGATATTTCATAGTTCTCGCTCCAAGTACGCTGTTTGCATAGACCACAGCATTCGATTCAGCCCAGGCAACTTGATCCCCAAACTTTGGAGCGCTGTCAAGTTGATATGGCGCACATGTAAAAGTTGAACGCGCCCCCATATCAATATAGGCGTCTGCGAGCCTACCAGCAGCAGCAGCAAATTCCGGACTAGCTCCTTGGACTTGGAGCAGATTCTTGTCTATCGAGATAGAATTCAAAGATGTTGGAACCCGAACCTTGCCTCCCCGATCTCGTAAACTTTCTGCAAAGAGAAGACAGCCTGGCCCAGTGTAGCCACATCCATCAACGTGGACCTGGGTGATGTCCATCAATTCACTCACTCCTAATAAGCCTGCCATCCGTAAAACAATGTTCATTGCTGCGCGGGAAGCATCGCCATACTCGCCACTCAAAAGAGCCCTATCAATACACGACAGCTCAACCTTAGTAGAAGACCTAACCAGGCTCGATGTATCACTAGTCCGGATATGAGGGCTGACCGAGACCTGGTCGTTGCTGATGTAGATATCCGAGCCATTGAATTGGAGGATTTCGTGGAAGTCTTTTGGATCCAACATCACAACCGGGATGGTCTTTGCAAAGATCTCTTCGGCAACAATAACACCAAGAACCAGAATGTCTTCCTGTCGTTCAAATATCATGGCTTTGGGTCCTTTGTCTTTGAGAAGCAGCTCCAACATGACCGAGCTACCGGTGCAAGAGCCGCGACCACCGGGAATCGCGAGGATATTGTCTTGAAGATATTGCCCACTCAATGGATGGTGGCGATCAATGATCTCGCTGGTATTGGGGTTTACACCACCCCAGAAGCTCAACTCCAGGTCGCTTGCTATGAGCTTTCCTGATGCATCGCCCTTGACATGCGAGATGCCTTGGAAAACTCTTTCACTCGAGGTGATTGTCATTTGAATAATGGTTCGATTGTAGGCTTGTTCTTTGAGAGAGGGCTGTAGATAAGATGCAGATTTGACCGAGGTGTTGGCATTGAAGGTTATACACTGAGGAGAGTCGGATCAGTCACCCGATGTCAACTCATCGGCCAAGATAGCCGTAGGCCACGCATTATGTGTATCTGTCATCATGGCTGAGTTGACCTTAGCAAAAGAATCGGTATTTTGTTTTTAAAAAAAAACAACACAGAAAAAGAATCGGGTCGAAACATACTAGGGTTGATCAAGGTCAGGGTCGCGCACGACTCTACGGCCTAGTCTACTCATCTAGGCCAGTGAGACGATATGCGAGCTAACAGCTACCGTAACCAGCGAGAAAAAGCCCGAAAATGCAGATGTGTCTATAAGTACTATTTCTATCATTCACGGGTTGTATTAAAAAAAGCCGAACCCGACGATTATGACTGTCCTTCGCCGCCGCCGCCGCCAGACATCGTGAGGAAGAAGATAATGGGCAGAAGCCACCAGTATCTAGATATCCAGCCATTAGCATGTTACGAAAGAAATTCACTGGCTCATCCACACTCACCTTTGTAAAAGAGACTTCTCCTCCGGTTCCTCAGCGTTTCCGCCGTCAGGGTTGACAACCACAGGTCGGTTCAAGTGCGGTTGTGCTCCAAGCTCATTCGCAACAAGATCAACCTGAGCACCAGTAGCAGGGTCTTGGGTAGCAGATGAAGCACCTAGAGAGACATGGTAGACCTCATTGGCGGGACCGAGGTGCAGGCGGATCGTTGGTTGCTCATTGCCGCTGAAAGAGGAGGCCGACACGAGACTGCCCACCCATTGCTTGTTGCTTGTCGGTGTTGACGTATAGAGACCGACGCGCACCAACCCATCGTCTTGCGTCTGTGGAGGGGTATATGAGAGCAGGTTGGATTTCATCGTGGCTGGGTCATAAGTGACGCGCGCGAGGACGGAGGGTTGCGCTGACCCCACGGGCCAGACGAGGATATCGGTCGAAGAGGAGGCATTGACGGACGCCAGGAGCGACAAAGCGCTAAAGATGATGTGTAGAAAGCGCATGTTTGACTATGGGGGAGAGATGTTGGTGGAGAGAGATGTTCGACCGAGACAGGCGGGTCCGAGCTCTTGGATTTCTATACGTGAACACAGGACCATAGCGAGTGATTGGCTGGTGCTGTGCTTGGACTTGTGATTTCCATGATTTCCATGGTTTCCATGCTTTTCATGTTTTTTATCAAGTCACATTGCAGGGATACTCAACTTACTCAATCCTGGGGGATTATGGTACATGAGAGTACCTCTCCCACAGCGGGCGGTGGCGGACCACACTGGTACCTTCAAGTAGCCCCCGAATCGGTCAGCAGAGCTCCGTCACCGCACAGGAAATGTGAGGCAAATCGATGTCATATTCCAATTCCCCTCTTTCTTTCTTCTATATCTTGAGAGTCGAAAGCTCACAAGAAAGGTGAAATTTTGAGCTCAGATAGTTCGAGCACCCTTCCTTTAGACCCTCGCGGTTACAATACGAGCTTAGTGCCCGAAGTACAGACAAAATGGCCTCGCTGCCCTACCGTCGTGCATCCGTGCAAGCCTCCAGGAAAGCTTCCACGGACCCCCGAGAGGATCTGGATGTCCATCTCGATCACTATATTGGCATTGATGTCGGAACTGGCAGTGCTCGTGCCTGTATCATCGATGCCAAGGGTGATATTGTGGGGTTAGCCTCAGAAAACATTGGCCTTTGGCAACCAGAACATGGTTACTATGTAGGGAATTCGTTCAATCTCCCCCTTCCCCGCCCCGAATGACACGCCAAAGCTGACTGGCTGTCTAGGAACAATCGACGTCGGATATCTGGCGTTGCATCTGTATTGCTGTTCAGCGTGCGGTGAGCCAGCACAATATCAACCCGGACACTGTACGGGGTATTGGATTTGATGCAACATGCTCCTTATCTGTGTTCTCTAATGACACGGACGAACCAATCTCAGTCACCGGTCCGAACTTCGACTCGGACCGCAACGTGATCTTGTGGCTGGATCACCGCCCCGTCGAGGAAGCGGCCAAGATCAACGCTACCAATCATAACCTTCTGCGTTATGTGGGTGGCAAGATGTCCATTGAAATGGAGATCCCCAAGGTCCTTTGGCTGAAGAACCATATGCCAGCGGAGCTGTTCGAAAGATGCAAGTTCTATGATCTTGGTGATGCGCTCACACACATTGCTACAGGTAACGAGAAGCGAAGCTTCTGCAGCGTGGTCTGCAAGCAGGGATATGTGCCTGTGGGTGTCGATGGCAGTGTCAAGGGATGGCAAGAAGATTTCCTGAATGACATTGGATTGGGCGACTTGACCAAGGACGATTTCAAACGCATGGGCGGAGTTGACGGGGTGGTGAGCCTTCCCTAATTGATAAGAAACTAACTACTGACCTAACCTTGAACAGAATGGCGATTATCTGAGTGCTGGTGAGCTGGTTGGCACTCTGTGTGATAAGGCTGCCGCCGAATTAGGCCTGCCAGCCGGCATTGCCATTGGCAGCGGTGTAATTGATGCTTACGCCGGCTGGATTGGTACTGTTGGATCAAAGGTCGATCTAGGGTCAGGCAAATCGCCCACGGACGTCCCAAAGCTCGACAGATCCGAGGCCTTTTCACGTCTCGCGGCTGTAGCAGGCACCTCGACCTGCCATCTTGCTATGTCTCCGGACCCCGTCTTCGTAGACGGTGTTTGGGGTCCGTACCGGGATACGATCCTTCCAGGATACTGGATGGCAGAGGGTGGACAATCAGCCACAGGCGAACTACTCAAGCATGTCATTGAAACTCACCCGGCCTTCCAACAAGCCCACTCAATTGCCGAATCATACCATGCAAACATCTATGAATATTTGAACGAGCACTTGAAAGAAATGGCACACGACCAAGGTGCTCCAGGAGTATCATATCTCGGGCGACACTTCTTCTTTTACGGCGATCTATGGGGTAACCGTTCGCCCATTGCCGATCCAAACATGACAGGATCAATTTTCGGCCTAACCAGCGACAAATCAGTAGACGGTCTTGCAATCTACTACTACGCCACGCTTGAGTTCATCGCGCTGCAAACAAAGCAGATTGTCGAGACAATGAACAAGTCAGGCCACCGGATCACCTCAGTGTTCATGTCAGGTTCGCAATGCCAAAACGACATTCTAGTCAACCTTGTTGCATCAGCCTGTGACATGCCCGTGCTGATTCCTCGCTACATTCACGCTGCGGTGTGCCATGGTGCCGCCATGCTGGGTGCTAAGGCCGCTAGCGCTGATTCTCAGGGTAAGACCGAGGATCTGTGGGACATCATGAACCGGATGAGCAAGCCCGGAAAGAAGGTGTTGCCAACGGCAGATGCAAATGAGAAAGCCTTGCTCCGAGTCAAGTATGAGGTTTTCTTGGAGCAGTGCTTCAAGCAGCAGAAGTATCGTGAGATGGTCGATGACGCTGTGGGTGCCTGGAAGTCCGCCTAAACTCATATATCGAGGGCATGAAGATTCTTTCATTAAGACGCAGAAAAAAGCGAGTTGTTATGTGCTGGGATTTCGGATGTCAGTCATTACTGCAAGATCAATTTGTTGGATAAAACTTTCGGATACAATTTCGAAATAGTAATACATGTCAACGTGATATCTAAGGTAATGAATGACCTGCATAAATAATTCACATCATCACATGTAAAATGGCCCGGGGGTCATACTGGAAAATGACAGGAAGAGGCAATATCAAAAGCGCTATGCTAAATCGAATCAGGACAGACCTCGATGGTGTTTTGATCAAAAAATCACCATCGATATGTACTATAATTAATAGGCTTCCCCGCCTCTTGTTCGCCCAATGGTGTAGAACTTCTCGACGCCGCTTGTGCTGCCCAGAGCGAGAGTATCAAACCGATCCACGCCCATGCTATCCATATTGACGTAACCTGACATGTAGAAGCCAAGAACAACGACGAAGTAGGTGAGGACGAGAATGGAACCCTTGAAATAGTTGCTCTTTCCTTCGCCATAGACATATGACAACAGGAATACGCACAGAATAACGGTGATCATGTCCCATTGAGGGAAGATCAGACTGTTGGAACAAGGTTAGGTAAGTAAGACAGAAGCGGGAAACAAGAAAGTTAATCTTACTTGAATGAGTGGCTAACAAGCTCAGATGGATCCAACGTGCTTCCATAGACCGCACTAAAAAGAACCACAGCGGGCACCTGCAGCAGACAGACTTGCAGTGCATAGGCTGAACCGATTTCCATAGACAACGCGATGTTGCCATTCATGGCAAAGGAGATGGCATTCTGACCTTCAGTCAGTTTAATGATCACGAATATAAGAGACAACAACATACCAAGAACTCTGTGGTGTTAGGGACCAAAGCGAAAAGAGTGATACCGAGGAACTTCTCGTCAATATCCACACTCTCCAAGACAACATCAACTGTATTGACGAGGATTTCAGCGATAACCGCATAGAGGAAAGTTGCTCCAAGGAGAATGATAGAACTCTTCGCTTTGCTCCAATTGGGTGCATCATGTCCCCCACCAGCCTGGGCAGCTTCCACATTCACACCTATATCCTCAAGCTCTTCTCCAGGGGTTCGTGGCTGTTCCGCTGCTGCACGACCAGCCTGTCGGTTGGCAGAACTCTGACCCGGGGGCTTGCGGCTTCTGGTTGCATCCCGCGCAGCCACTGCCGCAGCCGTTGCAGCTACTTCGGTAACTTGGCGTACCAGACGTTCGTTGTCTTCTCTAGACAGACCACCGATAGCCTTTGGGTCGACGTTCTCCTCGCCGCTAGACCGTGGTGGTACCAAGTGCACATTGTTATTTCTGGTTCCAGCTCTTGCTTCACCGTCCGCCGGCTCCCAGTTGCCTGTGCCATTGTCCTCCAACCCGTAATGTCTCAAGGATTGGCCCAAAATTCGCTTGTACAACTGAGATTCACGAATTGAATCCTTACTTCCAGAAATTGCACCGGATGCCTCGGGCTGATCACCCGGGAAGAGGAGATGCCTTGGCTCATAAAAGGATGATTCGAGGGTAGCCTGAGCATGTTTCTTCTCTTCCATTTCAGTTGCCCAAATGAGAGCGGCATGGGTTCTGAGAGTGAACCATAGACCGATGATGTACGACAGGAAAAGGAAGACAGCCGCAAACCAGGCATATGGTTGAACGGCTTTTTGGAAGAACTGGTCGTTAATGGCCGCCGTTTGAGAGAAATAACAGCGGCGACAATCTCGGCTATCCGAATCGATGGAGTTAACACACGAGTGACAATTCAATTCGTGCTATACAACTGTCAGTTTATTCTCGTTTGAAGATAGGAAGTCAAAACTCACACTACCATAGACTTGATAGAAAAGAGTGGGCCCAAAGGCAGCGATCACCGCGAACAACAGCATAGTCGAGGTGACACCGGCCGATTTCACATTGAACCGTTGAGTCTTCCGCTTGATAGCACCGAAGCACATGGACAAGCCAGGGAGGAACAAAATGCCAGCAAAAATACTACCGATAATGCTTCCCTCCACAAGCTGTGCTTTTCCCTCGGTCAAGGCAACACAATACAGATACACCTCTACAACAGTGGAGAAGAAGGCGTTGATGGCAGCACCTAGACCCATCGAAGACTGAGCAGAGATCGAGGCGACGGCTTGCCCAATGAAGTAGGCCAGAGGGATAATGGAAAGCAGAGCCAGAGTGAATATCAGCCCTGGATGCGTGATCCAGGTCTTCAAGCCCAAGAACTTCCCAAGGAGGAAATAGTCAACGATGACAAAGACAACCACGCCAAGCAAGTTGATCAGGAAGATGTTCGTTCCATCAACAGTGTACTTCCAGTACCTGGTCCCTGCCGCTCGGTAGGTACAAAGCAGGATCGAAGAGGACGAAGTAGTGCTCAATCTAGCATAGGTGGTATCGGAATGGAAGGACAGCGCCAAAGGGTGCCTGCGTAGGTGGCTCACCAAAGTGAGCGTGACACGTCCCATGGGAATCCAGAAAACCAGGAGCCAACATGTGAGCGATACCAGAAGCATCAGTGGTCCGACAAGGAAATAAAAGAAGACAAAAAACACGACCCGACCCAGGGTCCATTCGCCACGCCCGAAAAGACGGCGTTTGGAGTGAGCCAGCTGAGATTCATCCTGCTGTCCGCGTTGAGGTCGTCCAAGTAGACTGTCTTGTTCGCCAGCTGAATCAATGCTATTCCTGCGTCTGCCCACGAGCGATCGATCCCTGCGAGGCCCGAAGAACAGACGGCCATGTTCTAGATCGCCATTCTGCCATTGCTCATATTCGCTGATACTGCGGCCCTCGCCTTCGTCTTCTTCGGCATAGTGTTCGTCGGTTTCTAAAAGGACAAACGACCCGAAGGGATAGAGTAGATATCGTGAAAGGCCCGCAAATACTCTCCCATATGCCATGGCACTCGACGAATAGGCAAAGAGAAAGCATGCGACCGCGGCAAGCAAAGCAATTAGGGCAAGCCACCAGCCAAAGAACAAAGACCATAACAGGTTGGTCAAGAACAGGATGCTACTAACACGGCCACCTGGGGAAGAATGGATATCTCCCTCAGCGGTCTTCTCCACTGAACGACTCTTTTTATACAGCGCAGGCTTCCAGATCCTGATACCGAATGGGTGCGTTTCGTTGATGGCCTGCTGGCGATCTTTGAGGGTGAAGCTCTCTGCGTCACTGGCAGCGTCTTCGTCATCCTCCAGGGTGTCTGTGTCCTCGGTCTCATCACTTTCCGTCTCGATATTCTCATCCGCCTGGTTAAATGAAGGTATTTCGTCGTCGATATCCAAGTCAGGATCGGGCAACCCGCTATCATCAGGATTATAGATCTCAGACTCCCCTCTAGCAAGGGGACTGGGCCGAGCACTGGGACGTCGCCTGAGGGTTGAACTTTGTGTTCGCAACGGTCGTATTCTAGGGGACGTTTGCATGCCGGGGCCCTTCATGGCCATATATTGTTGAACCTCGGTGACATCATCGTCCGTCGAGAATTCCTGTCCCTTGTGAGGGATTTGACGCTTGGAAGACATGCGGCGCGAGACCGATGGCTTGCGGGGTCTATCGGGGTCGGCAGACGACTGGTTTGTAAATACGCGACTCATCGTTTCTTCCTGGCCGTCATCGAGACGCGCCTCTGGATTTGGTGATTCGAGTGAAGACGAGTTGAGTGTACCTGCAAATATGGGATTAGTATAAATCATGGCTGCAGGTTACAGTTACACCAAGTCAAACACACCGTATGCTCTCCGGCCAGATGCAGAGGATTTCATTGGAGGCGCCCCGGAGGTAGGGGTCTCACTTCCCATCGCTGCAGATGTCGTTGCAGATGGTCGCGACTCGGAAGAGTCGTTGTTCCCTTTATCCGCCATGGCCAAGCAACTTGGCAGAACCACAGGCAACAAGCAAGGACAAATTCACAAGGACACCAAAAGTTGCGGTGCCGAAAACAAGAACAAAAATGGACTAAACGCTGGGTACCTCCAGTGACATCGTTCAAGTAAATCTAATAGAAAGACAAAAGTCGCAAGATCCAAGTTCCATTAGCTGAGATGCATACAGATTCAGGGCCAGGTAGGACAGAGCCCGGGAGTAATAAGAAGACGAAAATGGCTCTTTGACCGTTGGCTTCTTTGCGCTTTCCTACTTTCTCTCGCAGATGACCCGATCATCAGGCAGCTCCGCGCCCAATCAGATCGACAGATGACTCAGCCGATACAGAGCTCTCAACCGTGGGTCGAGTCAGCTGTTTGTCTCGTTTGCTGAGTTTGTCTCTGTTGTGTTTGCATGTGGATGCCTGGATTTTGAGGACTGTTGTGTCTTAGTCAGCCGCGGCGAACAGGCGCAGCTTCACGGACAGCTGGACTGCCCAGCTCTCCAAACCCCAGCTTCAACGTCTTCGTCTTTGAACCAAGCCATCCTCCCCCCGCGACGCACCCTCGATAAACTATCTCCTTGGCAGATCACGAAAGGTATTTTCCTTTACTGCATTCGCTCCGTGGAAGACGGGCAAGCCCTTGAGTCCCCACAGCGTCATCAACCCGTTCGCCATCATGGCTTTGGACAACTACTATCGCAACAAGATCGAGGGCATGAAGCTCGAGATCATTCAGGGCCAAGCTGTTCTACGACGATTAGAAGCCCAGCGCAATGACTACAACTCTAGAGTGCGTCTACTGCGTGAGGAGCTTGGGTTGCTGCAACAGCCCGGCTCGTACGTTGGTGAAGTGGTCAAAGTGATGAGCACCAAAAAGGTTTTGGTCAAGGTACACCCCGAGGGAAAATATGGTAAGATCTCACGTCATTGTCATTGATGAACAGCCTGATACTAATACTACCGTCTACTTGCAGTGGTGGATATCTCCGACGGTGTGGATATTAGCAAGCTTACTGTGGGCAAGCGAGTCGCCCTTCTGTCTGATTCCTACAAGTTGGAAAAGATGCTGCCTTCCTCGGTCGATCCCCTGGTCTCACTCATGATGGTTGAGAAGGTCCCCGACAGTACGTACGACATGATTGGTGGTCTGGATCAGCAGATCAAGGAAATCAAGGAAGTCATTGAGCTAGGTCTCAAGCACCCCGAGTTGTTCGAGTCTTTGGGTATCGCACAACCGAAGGGTGTCCTGCTCTACGGTCCACCAGGAACCGGAAAGACCCTGCTCGCTCGAGCAGTCGCTCACCACACTGACTGTCGCTTCATCCGAGTGAGCGGTTCAGAACTAGTGCAGAAGTACATTGGTGAAGGTAGCCGAATGGTTCGTGAACTGTTCGTCATGGCACGAGAGCACGCACCTAGTATCATCTTCATGGATGAAATCGACAGTATCGGTTCCAGCCGGATAGACTCAGCAGGCGGTGGTGATTCTGAAGTTCAGCGTACTATGCTGGAGTTGTTGAACCAGTTGGACGGATTCGAACCCACGAAGAACATTAAGATTATCATGGCTACCAACCGACTGGACATTCTCGATCCCGCCCTGCTTCGGCCTGGGCGTATCGACCGGAAGATCGAATTCCCCCCACCATCGTTAGTCCCCATCCCTTGCAGTCCACGCTGATGCTAATATCTTTTGCTTTTCTCTTTAGGGTCGAAGCTCGTGCCGACATTCTGCGGATTCACTCCCGCTCGATGAACCTGACCCGTGGTATCAACTTGACCAAGATTGCCGAGAAGATGAATGGGTGCTCTGGCGCCGAGCTCAAGGGTGTCTGCACCGAAGCAGGCATGTATGCATTGCGCGAGCGTCGGGTACATGTCACACAAGAGGACTTCGATCTGGCCACCGCCAAGATTCTCAACAAGCACGACGACAAGGAGGTTGCGGTGTCGAAGCTATGGAAGTAGAGAAGCCTCGCAGCGGGGTGGATCTGATCAACGACTTTGTATCACTAGTTCTAATCCTACCCTGATCATTCTCGCCCCAACCTTCAATGCATTGTGTGACGACGTGTCCAAATTCCATTCGGGTGTCCGGAGTTAGAGGTATAATTACCGACCTTGGCAGCATGCTCCAGAAAGCACTACTGTACATCCTTAGACGGGCCAATCAATCTTGGGGCCTACTGTATTGTATGATGTATCGGGGCCCTCCACTTGGCTCTTGGATCATTGCTTTTGCTTTAATTTTCCCTTTCCCTGGGAAAAACGAGACAGGGATGAAGCAATCTACACGCGTAAGACTTGGCAGATCCATCGGTCTACCGTATGTTCAATGGCATATCCAGTACGGAGTAACTCAGCCTCGATAGAAGGCTTGGCAATGATGTTGCGGACCGTGTCGATCCTCAGGGAGACAGGGAACCAGCATTCGCTTGGCGCGGAAATCGCAGTCCGCCAGGATTGGCTATTGGTCTTGGCAGACTCCTTTTTTGTCCTGGGAGAAAGGATAAGTTAGTTGGAGTGGAATGTGTAATCCACAACGAAGATGATACACCATAAGGTGAGTTATCCAGTGGCTGTATAGTATGACCTATTACCCTATTACCCTGAGTTAATAGTCTAATACCCAAATACCCTAATACCTTGTTCCCTCCAGAGTATTGCCTGTTTCCTGTTCTGTACAACTTAGCCCCTTTGGGAAGATGCGCGTGACCGGTGGATCATTTCCCAACGTTCAGATATGGAGGTACCTGAGCCCCTGGTCCCGGGTACCGGATCCACTGAGGGTCCCCCCATACTTGAACTATGTACCCAGGACTTGATCAGATGGTTCCTTTTCTGGTGTGCAATGCTTTTCTCCCTTGCATAGTGAATAATGGATAAGAAATAACCAAAAATAATGAATCGGAATAATTAAACATTAACTTAAAGTTGGGTTCGAGAAGGTATAACCTCTACTGGCTCTCCTGTCTAGTATCACGGACCTGCTGCATTTGGCTCTTCCGCTGACCGACAGTCCTTGTTGGGCCAACTGGTGTTGACAAGAATCATTTACTCATATCGCCCCGGATCTCGTCTTCCGTTCTCCACGTTATACTTGCTGAATCTGACTCGGACTCTGTCACTCTCACTCTTATTTACCCGATCCCCCCTTCCTTCCCCCCATATTTAACCTTCCATTCCCCACCTTCACTGGATTTTACCTTTTTCCTGGGAGTATAGATCTTGATATCCGGACTATGTCCGATTTGTGGTCTTCTATAGCCCTTGCCATTGACCCGAAAAGAACCCAAGCGATGCCTGTCGTCCTTCAATCTACAATCAATCTCTTGGAGAGTGAGCTGGTGAAAGCCAGAGCGGCTCTCCAGGAGATCCAACCCAGTGTCTCACCATTTGGATTCCTCAGTGATGAGGTCGCGGTTGGGGCCATGACCGCCTACAGGCAGGACCTCATTGGCCGTGCCCCCGATTTCTATGGCGCTCGCCGATTGACCTTGAAGGAGCTAGGCTTGGAGCCGGTGGTGTGCGAACTGCCGGTGGAACAGGTCCCGGTGCAACTGATGCCTGCGCCTCGATCAACCTCCCTGGAGGATTTGCTGAGCAATAATTTGATCCTGGACCAAATGGCTCCTTATCTGTCAGTTTCCTCTTTGATGGCATTGGACTCAACGTCCAGTCGCCTACACAAAGTCATCACTCAGACTCCATATGTCTTCCGTCATCTTGATCTATCAAACTGCCGGGGGCTGAACTTTTGAATGTTACGCCTGAGGAGAACGATTCTCAAACGGAGGATGAGGTCTATGCGGCTCCATTAAAGCGCATTTTCAGCAGTCTGGAGCGCAGAGGCATCCTACGAGATGTGCGTACCCTCATCTTGGATGGTCTCTCAGTACCTGCAGATCTTGTGGAGGAAATCTTCCGGGATGACCGCTTCAACGTGAATATTCTATCCATTCGCGAGTGTCGGCATCTCAATGAGCGCAAACTCATGCAGATTATTCAACATGCAGTTCGGCCTACACGTCCTGCAAATTCACCAAGGATCAAGGGCATCTATCATTTCTCGCCAATGCATGCAGCTCCGCGACCGGTTGCACGACCCCGATATCGTGATTGGTGGGGATCCCGTGTCGGAACACGTAGCCCCAGCCAGACTCGCTCAGAGTCTGATCAGGACGCTTCAAAGCCTGCTATAGAGCGGCAACAAAACGAGTGGTATAGCCCAACAGGCAAGCTGTTCAAACATAGCCTGGAGGATGGCTGGGCCCAAGTGCTTCAAAAATGCGAAAATATCATCACTTTCGATGCCGCCCTCTGTCGCGGCCCGAGACACGATGCCAATCTGTTTTCAGGTGAGAACTCGCCAGTGGAGGCGCCGTTGCTCGGACCCGCAGTGGCCACCGTAGCTCTCGGGCCCCGCGGCTGTGATGGGTGCCACAGTTCCCCCGAGGGTCCGGCTATCTGGGGTCAAGCCCCAGATGTGCAATTCCCGTTGCTGAGTCCTCCGCCACTGCACTCATCTACTGTTGCTGCAGCAAAGCGCCCTGAGTTGATTCCGGGGGAGCATCCAGTTCTCATTGCTCGGTGTGCAGACTGCCTCACCAACCGCTGGTGTCATCGGTGCAACAAGTGGTTCTGTGGCAACTGTCTGCCAAATCCACAACGTGTACGAGTAAGCTTGTCACCGCATCAGACAGCCCTTCGCTCGGACCAACATGACAGTGAGCTACAAGAGCGAGGTGTGAGCAAGGATTGCTGGGAGTGTGGCCCAACAGTAGGTTCACGCCTTCTAATAGACCCTGTGGCTGTTCTGACTGTTCTGACCTTCACAGTGCGCTTCTTGCAAATTAGAGTGCCAACATACTTGCCAAGGTTGTTCAGGGGACTATTGTATTCAGCACAACGAAGGATGCTCGTCCACCCTAGTAAGTGTCTCTAGCCCTAATTCCATGGTTTTGACTAACCTGCTGCAGTGTGACTGGTGTAATACCAGTTCTCGCCACCGCATGCGAGGTGACATTTATTAATCAGATATCCCATAAGTTATTCTAGTTCTCAATATGATTAAATTTTTTAATAATCCAATTATATATAGAAACAGAGAGTTGGAGGTGGAACTGCAGTCGAAGTATACGCGTGGAGTCTTCCAGAATTGCTTATCAACTTATCTGCTCTCCGCTTTCCGATATCAAAGCCCACTTCCGCGCCTCTTGTAAATCCTCATCATGGATCTAGTCTGGTCGTCTCAGCTTCTGGTCGCGCCGCCAGATCGCGCCCCTAGATTACCGGGCGACAAGATCACCTTGCCGCAATCTGCACTCGAACAGCTCCTGGCTGCCGCCCCGCTTCAAGCTGTTCCCGGCAATAATCGAGCGCATACTTCGACATTCGACCCATTCAACCACCACACCTTCGCTGCCGAATCGCTTGCTCGTCAGCAAGTAGAGCAACGTCAGCAGCAGCTCCCACACCCATTGACATTCCGAATCGTTAACCCTCAGAATGGTCGCTTCATCTACGCCGGCATCCGCGAATTTTCGGCCGAAGAAAACGAGGTCGCACTAAGTGCACTGCTGCGGGACTCGCTTGATATCAAGGATGAAGAATTCTTAAACATAGACGGGGAGTCACATATTCCCACCTCTCCGGGAAGCAACGCAGCCCCTCCGCGAGCCGGCCCCGCTGTCACCGTGCATGCGAAGCAGTTACCCAAAGGCACATACGTCCGTCTCCGCCCGCTGGAAGCTGGATATGACCCAGAAGACTGGAAGGCTTTGCTGGAAAGATATCTGCGGGACAATTTCACGACTCTGACGACTGGCGAGCTTTTGACGGTGCCGGGGACGCGAAGCGAGTCCTTCAGGTTCTTGGTCGACAAAGTTTTTCCCGAAGGCGAAGGAATCTGTGTTGTAGACACAGATCTCGAGGTTGATATCGTGGCCCTATCGGAAGAACAAGCTCGGGAAACGTTGCAGAAAAGGCTGGAAAAGTCCGCGCGCGCGCCGGGTACGAGCAGTGGCAGTTCTATCGGTGGTGTTCTCAGCCTAGGAGAGGATGTAACAGCCCAAGTCTTGCCTGGGGAATGCGTGGATTATGAGCTTCGAGAATGGAACCGGGAGGATATCATCCAGGTCGAGGTAAACACGGATGATCCAGACTTAAGTATCTTTGCTAGTCCTTTTGCCCCACGCCAGCAAGGTCGCCCAAGGGCAGATATGCATGTGTGGGGTGATTTCTCGAGCCAATCGCCCAAGAAGTTTTTGCTTAGGCCCACGAATGTGGCTTTGGAAGGCGCTGAGGCTCTCTATATCGCAGTTCATGCCGATTCTGCAAACGACGAATCTTCCAAGTTGCCGGAAAAGTCGCCTTCGCAGTATCAGATCCGCATTACTGTGAACCCATCTGATGTTTCTGATTCATTGGAACAGGGAGAGGATACTCACGAGTCTGGCGATGTGCAGTGCAAGAACTGCCTGCAATGGGTTCCTGAGCGGACACTGGTTCTGCACGAAAACTTCTGTTTTCGTAATAACATTCTCTGTCCACAGTGTCAGAACGTGTTTCAAAAACGATCTCCAGAATGGCAAAATCACTGGCATTGTCCTAACGACTCCAGCCATGGCAACGATACGCCGAGCAAAGAAAAGCATGACACTACTTTCCATGAAATCCACCAGTGTCCCGACTGTGAATTGGCCCTCGAGGGTCTCCCAGCTCTTGCCCAGCATCGCACTAGCGACTGCCCTGGAAAATTGATTCTCTGTCAATTTTGTCACCTTCTCGTACCACAGAAAGGGGATTCCGATCCTGAATTTCACGATCCCGAGGTAATGCTTTCTGGCCTTACACCCCATGAACTGGTGGACGGAGGACGCACCACCGAATGCCATCTTTGCAACAAGATAATCCGACTCCGCGACATGAACACCCACCTCCGTCATCACGAACTAGAGCGTCTATCTCGCCCCGCCCCTCGCATATGCTTAAATCAAAATTGTGGTCGTACCTTGAATAATGCAGGAAACGACTCTCTGGGTTTGTGCAACTTCTGCTTTGGACCTTTATATGTGGACACCCACGACCCCGAAGGTAAAGCCCTGCGCCGCCGCATTGAACGCAAATACCTGTCTCAGATGATGACTGGCTGCGGAAAGGCCTGGTGTCAAAATGAGTACTGCAAGACCGCCAAAGAGAAAAAGCAAGATGCCTCCAGCCCTCCGGTCACCATGGCGGTGGCCGATATCATGAAAGCGACGCGTCCGCTTGTTGAAGCTCTCAATACTAAGCCCGATGTGCCAAACACTGCACCCTTCTATTTCTGTGCCGATGAGACAAGTCAACATCGTCGGACACTAGCTGAATTAATTGCTGCTGAAAGTGCGGGCCTTGAGAGCAAAGGATATGACCTTGCATGGTGTATTGCAGGAGCTGAGGCTGCAAGTGGCGATTTGGAAAAGACGAGAGAATGGTTGTCGAAATGGGCTCCAACGCAAAGCTAAATCTGTCAAGACTTGTGTTTTGAGTTATTTAGAACGCAGTTCATTTGCATCGCATTCAAGGAGGATCCGCATGGCATAGGGCTGGAGTAAATAAATGATTGAATCTATTAACGCATAATGATACATAAAAAGCTGAAAATTTCATAATATTCATGATTTAAAGCAAAGCCAGGTCCGAGCAAGACCACAACTTTGCACCCACTAACCTACAGACATAATTTTGCAGGCCAGTGGAACAATAGCACTATAGAGAGGACTCATATCCCTCCTGAAAATTGCCTTTTGTTCAAGCAGCACCCGTTTTAGCGGCCAACGAGCCCGTACCACGGGAAGAGAAAATGCCCATAATGCCGAAGACAACATAGAACAAAGCCAACGGATACGCCACCAGGCCTCTCATGCCACTCATGCGCGCCACAGAACAGAACATACCCGACGAGCTGTACGTGCACCAACCAACAGCAGCCGTCGTCAAGAGATAGCCGAACAGCGTATCCATAGGAAGGAGAATACCAATCAGACTGGTAAGTACCAGGGGAAGGAAACAGTAGCCGAGAACGCTAGCGGAGCGAGGGAAGGTCAGAGTAGCCGAGAAGTGGCCAACCGCTGAGGCGTTAGACATGGAGGGTTTGTGGTGAGGGTTGTAGTTTGTAGGGTCTGCGGCGTTGGCGGTGGTAGCCGTATCTAGGGCTGGTGACATGAGGCTGAGGATGAGGTGGAGGGCGACAGTGCCGAAGACGGCCACGCCGTAGATGTATCCGTAGAAGACCTTTCCAGAAAGTAGGAGGAAAGTTCCGTATAGGACGATGTAGAGCAAGGCACCGTAGAGGTCGCTGTCGTCCATGAGGTGGTTATCGATCGAGGCGAAGGGATTCAACACAGTCAAAGTCTATATATCGCAGTGGTGTTAGCAGGGCCATCCCAATAAACGGGTGCACGGAGTCTGTCCTATTCTATCTAAAGAACAGCCATGAAGGAATCGAATAAGAAAATCCCGGGGTAAACAATCCACCCCACGTCTCCTGAACCAACACCCTCCAAGAACGACCAAAGATACAACTCACCTTCGTGCGAATATGCTCAAAATTAACACCCAATTCCTCCAATAAGGGCGGCTCGCCATCATACCCCTCCGTCCCAAACGCAGCCAACCAGCCCGTCCTCAGGCCGCCCTGTTCGCCCATGCGTCCGCTGACGCCCGCCGCCGGGGATCCAAAGCCGCCATACCCAGCAGCAGCCGGGTAAGCCTGCGCGGAAGGATTGGGGGCACCGCCGAAGCCGCTGCCATAGGTTGCTTGTGATGGGGTTGTGTGGCCGGAAACTGAGGAGTAGGACGAGGGGAAGAACTGGAGATTCTGAGCGGCGCCTTGGGGGGCGTAGCCTTGTTGTTGGGGGTAGTATTGGGCCATTGCCGCGACGGCAGATAGAGTGGTGAGAGGTCGCCGGTTCTTGTTTGGCGTGGGGATGTTCTGGAGTGAAGTGTGGATTGTTGGAGCTTCGGAGCTCCAAATGGCCTCAAATGTGATTACTAAGCATCAGTCGGGCCTGCCCAGGTGAACTTGGGGAAATACACAGTAAAACCATCAGGTCAATTGTAGTATATGTGGCTCTCAGGGGCCGAGATGCCTTCTTTTGACTCACATCAAATAACTGAATTGGTCTTTTGCAACTTCTCTTTGGACTTTTTCTTTTGGCTCTTCTACAGGAATGGTCGTGATATATATGTGTTACTCATGCACCCAAAAACATATCAGATTTAGTTCAATAGCTGGCATTTCCCCATTTTTGTACGGTTGATTAAGTTATTCCAAGACTAGACTGACACTGCTCTATATTACAACTCACACCAAGAGCTAGTTGACGAGTGCATCTCGTTCAAAAAGACATTCCAGTTCGTCCGCTTCGGAAATCACAAACCCAGTCATTACTTCGTCCCATATAGATCGCCAACTCAAGCCATCCAACGTCATTACAAATAGATAATTGGCCATAACTTTCGAGACTTGTTCCCACGATTGCCACCCACATACCATCGCAACGTGGGCTAAACGCTCCACAAACCAAGCTCGCTTAGTCTGGCCTTGAGAGCCCTGAGCTCCGACAAAGAGTGCCCAAGCATACAGACCAAAGTTCTCATTGGATAATCCCTGCAGGAGAGATAATTTACAGTTCTCCACTGCCATTGTGAGGTGTCTCGTAAGTGCTCGGCCTAAGCCAGACGATGACGGTGAAACAATCAGAAAATGGTTAAGAAAACAGATAGAAGCCACTCTGGTGACGGCTTCAATAGGGTGAAGTATTAACCCTGGATTGGGAGAGTCATCTGTATAGATGTAGCTGAGCAGTTGATGCTCTGCTTCGCAGTTAAGGACTCGAAAAAAGTCCTGATCAATGGGTTGAATAATTGCAGGTGTCATCTGATTCACGGTGCTGAAGTAAACCATATCTCGTAGCACATACAAAATCTGTCGCAAGGGTGGACTGATCAAGGAATTGGCGAAAAAGCCCGATCCAAGATTATTGAGAGGAGAGGAAGCTTGTGGCCTAATGCGTTGCTGAATATCCGACGGAACGGGCTGGGCATCCCACGTCAAGGGAAAGACAGGCTTGATCATTAAGCCAGACGCGGCTTTGATGTCGGTGCTAAGATTTCCAAAGTGAGCATGGAATAGAGAAGGATCAAATCAATTGGAGACACGCACGTAATGATAGCAGACAACATCGAAGACGAACGGATGCTGTCATCTGTTATTCCACCTCGCAGCTCAACCATACGTTTGAGTCCTTTGAGATGAATATGAGCTTCTTCAAATTCGCCGATGATAAGCTGCAGATCATTAGAAAACCCACGCAATGGAGTTTCAGTGTCATGCCATACCGCGCCAGTCAGGAGGTTGATGATAGTATCAAATGCCTCGTCACTAAGTCTGCGATTCGGATCTTGCATTTTCGTATTCATTTCTCCAATAGACATTGCCCTCATCATACAATAGTCAGAGTCAAGGGCCTGATTTTGGTCATCTGAGTTGAAGATAATCGTATGCTGGCTCGCGAGAACGGCTCGATGTGCAGCGCACATGCTCATTAACCCAAAGAAGCTGCCCTTATCCGAGAATGAGGACCGCACCATGAGCTCCATTTCTTGTGTTGAACTGTTGCTCGTGTTGGGGAATGTCATGGGGACAAATATTGTTTTCCCTTCATTCTACTGTCAGCTCCATGTCTGCGAGGCTCATGGAATTTTGAGACAATGAACATGCTAGAGACAAAGGAAGTCGAGGAAAGGGCATGTCTTACAGTAATACATCAAGTGAGCAACCATCAACGGAAGCTCACCGGTGCCTGGTAGGGTGGAGAACGGATCGAGGAACCATGAGGTGGGAGGGTTAGGATTTGAGTGAAGTGGCAAAGGATAGCCAGCACACCATCTTGCTGGACGTCCTCTTTGAGCCAAAGAATAGCGGAAATTACCCGGGCCTAGGACCGGAGGAGAGGCAGAGGACTGGGACTGAGACCTTACCACCAATCTCTGCTCATTCTCGTCCTCAACAACCTGCGAAGCATCATGTTGCGCACGTCTGGAGGTTCGTTTCAACCCTGCAAGTCTCTCACGTCGGCGCACATGGCGCATGACATGAGAGCGGATGGCTTTGCGAGCATTGACATCTTTGATCCTCTTGGAGGTCAAATCATCATCGTGATCGATAAAGGTATATGACGGCCGATCAAGCGGCGCAAGTTTCGTCTTCGGCTCTGGACTGGCATTTAGCACAAGTACGAACCGGACCGATCCTCTTGGTACAACCATGAGGACCCAAGGGAGCCAAAGGGAAGCCCTGGAAGAAAGATCTCCTGAACAGAGGGCTGGCAAGCAGGGCCTCCCCTGCAGTCTGCACAAAGCACTGACCTGAGAAACGGGGAAAGGCGAACGGCTGTAAATGGTCCATCCCGGCCAAGGATTCGTAATGCAAAGGGCAAGAGGCAAAACAAGGACAGACCCAATAAAGACCCAATAAAGAGTAGAGACAAATGCAGTTTGGGGGAGAAGGCGGATTTAGAAGAGAAAAAGAAGTAGTTACATTGCCAATGCGGGGTGAGCACAAGCCCAATTCAGCGCTAATCGCCTGGGATGATCGGGTGGTCAACGGTGTAACATGTCCATGCATTTCTCTAAACTCCTACCATGCAACACGCTAAAAGACCACAAGAGACGGGGATGCCATTAAGCACGCATATCGCTCAGGAGCCGCGAGATCAGCGCATAGCCAAAGAACAGGGCCACTCCGATCCAAACTCGGTGTTGTCGAGCCCAGCCTTGCCCGGCCTCTCGCGCAACATTCCCACCGTCCATAACGCCACCAAATGCGGGAGCACTTCCAGGTCGTCGGCGTAAAGCACTTGTATCAGGCGAGCATTTGGTGGGCGCATCGGGGTCTGGTAAGATCTGACCGGTGGTGCTGTCGATGCGATGCTCCTTCATCCAAGCCCAGTTCTCCTGATCCAGCTCGGGCCATTCTGTGCGGAACTTGAGACCCCCGTCTCCAGCCTTGACATTGTTGATTCCCTTGGCGGTTCGAGTGACACCAGCGGTGGCACTGATGTGAGATCCACCGCCAGTGGAATTCCACCACCGTGATCGTGCGGCAAGCACTCTCCGTTCGCTCTCCGAAGCAGAAACACTTCCGGTGGTCATTTCTTCACTGGTCATAAAAGAGAGCAATCCGATGAGAATCGTTGAGACTTCCCACGCGGGGTTGAAAGATTTGGGGTGGAAGTCGCTGATACTGAGACATAGTCGAGTAGATGGCTGGAATCGGCCACTGGGGGTGTGCATGCGAATGGCCGGAGGTGCGAAAGGGTACTCGGGAGGGAATATTAATGTACCCCAATATTGTCCATTCTCATATGGGGTCCCCGGAGGTCCGGTAAGAACATAATGCCATCTATATATCGATAAGTTCGATCGCACACGACAATGCGGGGAGTGCAAGTCAACTCACTCAAGGATATTCTGCTCGGAGGGATGTGTGATGATGAATGGCGTAGGATCCTTTTGAATGTTTTGGTATTCACGAGTGAGCTGTATTATTGTTAGAAAACTATTGGGCTGATGCTATAGGTCTTCGACAGCTCGCCACTTACCCGTTTAAACGCTGCTTTTGTGGCCATCGTCGACGGAGACTAACGAGAACGCGAAATGGTACAAGGACAAATAGGATCGGGCCCGAAAATAGAGCGATAAAAGCAAAGGGAGTAAGTGGTCGAAAGAGGGTTGCGGAGTGATGGTTCGTCGCATAAGGCGCCTGGCCGCATCACGTGCCTGTCCACCCGTATCTTCGCGGATTCGGCACGCGAACTCCGAGTGCTTCCCCGGAGTAGGTTCTAGCCATTCGGCGCAACAATGTCTTCTTCATTTGCTGCCGGAGACGAGAGTGTGAGTATATAGAGACATAACGTCTTTGCAACTCTTCCATTGAATCATTGCTGACCTTTATCTAGGTCTTCGAGCGTCTACAACAGCGCGCAGACCCCAAGGTGCTAGAAGAGCAGCAAAATGCCGTTAATGAGCGCATGCAAGCTATCTACCAAAAAGCCCAGAGCAGACTCGCAGAATTGGTGTGTTTTCTCATCCCCGCAGACAGAATATAGCTGTCAATCTGCGTTTGTTTTCATGCGGAGCTCCCGGCTGATTGTGAATTCGACATCTAGATCGACGAAAATTCGACATTGCCATGCACAATATCCTCGGTCCAAGTCACGAGTGCTCCCCACACCCGTCGCAGCTTCCTCGAGCGCAGCCTCAGCCCACTTTTGAGTGAGAACAAGGGTCGTCCTTACACACTTTCGGAGGCCTTGCGGGAGGTGTCGGCTACAGCTGATAAGCTTGGCCGTTTTGGTATGGGACTTCAAAACGGAATGGAACTGATAGAATACCCGCTAACATCTATGAAGATCTGTTCCACCAACCTATCTCGGTATACTTGGATGAGTCGCAAGGCCAGAATGGCATGCGCAACATCGACGTCTACCTGGCCACCCGGGAGAAGTCCCGCGTGCTGCTGAAGACTGGAACTGACCTTGGAAATGCCGAGGGCTCAGCCTACGGAAACCTTCTTTGGCGCAATGTATTCGGTGGCGCTGAGACTCTGAACTTGAATGCTTCCCTTGGTACTCGCACGCGATCAGCTTACCAGGCTGCGTTTGAGACCCCAATCATGGGTGACCCTGATTTCCGCCTGGAAGTTGGCGGTATTGCAAGCTCTACCCAAAAATCTTGGGCTAGCCACGAAGAGGTCGTCAAGGGCGGTTGGAGCAAGCTCCGTTGGATCAGCAAGTCTGGACACCGTCACGAGTTGGGCTACAACGGGTTTTGGAGACAGCTTACTGGCCTCGCGGAGAACGCCTCACCTACTGTCCGCGCCGATGCAGGTGACAGCGTGAAGAGTAGCGTTTTCCACAGCTGGGTCAATGACCAGCGCGATAATGCCCTCTTGCCATCTCGCGGTTACTACGTTAAGGCCTTCAACGAAGTTGCCGGTATTGGTCCTCTGAAGGGTGATGTCTCTTTCTGGAAGTCAGAGATCGAAACCCAGGGTGCCATCCCCATTCCCATTCCTGGCATCAAGGGTGACAGCGGTGTCAGCTTTACCACTGGATTCCGTGCCGGTCTTCTCTGCCCTCTTGGACTGGAGCCCAGCTCTCGCCCCCAGCTTTCCCGTATCAATGACCGCTTCCTCCTCGGAGGACCTACCGATGTTCGTGGATTCCGTCTCTGCGGTCTCGGTCCCCGCGAGGGAGCCGATTCCTTGGGCGGCGATGTTTACGCTGCTGGAAGTGCCAACTTGATGTTCCCTCTTCCCCGCCTTGGTGCTGAAAAGCCTGTGCGCTTCCAGACTTTCCTGAATGGTGGCCGTCTGTTGCCTCTGCGAACATCCCAAAAGGCCACTCCCTCTACTAATGGCGAAGTGCAAGACGCCATGGTTTCCACTCTGTCTGAGCTACAAAATGGCCTGCCCAGCATCGCAGCTGGCTTTGGTATTGTCTACGCTCACCCTGTTGCTCGATTCGAGCTCAACTTCTCCTTGCCTCTGGTGTTGCGAAAGGGCGAAGAAGGCCGCAAAGGACTGCAATTGGGTATTGGCATCAACTTCCTGTAAACATGTTATAGTAGACTCATTGCGAATTCATCCTTACCTTACCACTCTTATACTGCCTGACAACCCACTTGAATGTGCAATCTCTTCAATTCAGCCACTTTACCCTCGCTTTCAAATGTCCTGAAAAGAGGATTATAAGTTGAGAATAGAGCCAACCATATATATTAGAGTCATTCTGCCCAGAAGACTGTATCTGCCTGCAGTTATCCCCCAGTTGAGATAGTCTGGATTGCCAAGACATGTTTAGATTTCACCGCTTTGGGCTAGGCCTATCACGTGGACTCTTTATGTCATCAAAAAAGTCCGGCTCCGAATCTTCCAAGGTTGATCTGAAGGCGATTTCTCATCTTGTCTCCAACACGAACTTCCACAAAATGGGTTGGTTTTGGGCAGACTCTCCACAGGTTCCTACACCTTCGGCTCCGCATGGATCTTCAGGCGCCGCTCCTCCAGTTTGTCTCCCGCGAAAACAAAACCATAATTGATTGTATAAACTAACCCGTGTTTTCAGCCGGGATGCCCGATGCATGAGTCTGGCGAGGCGCCACCAAAAATGCCAGCGCCTATCGAACTCCCTGATGCATGCCCGATGAAATCCACCGACTCGCCATTCTATACACCCCCGAAATCATCCTCCGTACAAACGCCGCAGCCACCCGCGCCGGCGCCGGCCCAACCCTCCACCCTGTCGCGACTGAACCCTATGAACTATATGTTCGCATCCATCTCCCAAGAACGCGCTAAGGACCAAACTGTCGATCTTCCCGTTGAGCGTGAACCCTCTTCTATTCCTCGAGGTGACGCGGAAGGCAACTGGGAGTACCCATCACCCCAGCAAATGTACAATGCGATGCTGCGCAAAGGACATACCGATACCCCCCAGGATGCCGTTGAATCAATGGTAGCCGTTCACAACTTTTTGAACGAAGGCGCCTGGAATGAGATTATCGGATGGGAGCGCGTATTCGCCAAGGGTCTCTTGGCTGGATGGGAGAAGTGTCGACGCGGCGAGGAAAACCTGAGCTTGGACTTGTACCACGATGAGATGACTGGTAAAATTGACCAGTCTTCTGAGCCTCGTCTGCTCCGATTCCAGGGTCGCCCAAAGGAGTTGACTCCCAAGGCGCAGATCTTCCAGGCTCTTGGTTGGGCATACCCAAGCAAATTTGAGTAAGTAATATGAATACCTTACAAAAATGGAGCAGAGACTGACTTCAATCTCAACAGGACGAAACCTCCGTTTGATCGCCACGACTGGTACGTCATCCGCAACACTCCTGCTGGTCCCAAGGAAGTTCGATACGTGATCGACTACTACTCCGGCGAACCTGAGCCCACTGGAGAGCCCGTCTTCTACCTTGATATCCGTCCCGCATTGGACTCGCCCACGGCCGCTGTTGAGCGATTGATGCGCTGGGGTGGTGATGTCTGGTGGAAGGCTAGTGGCGCTTCTGTTCGTGAACAGGCAGCGCAGGCTTCGCGTCATCACTGAAAGCACCGTTGACCAGGTTGATTGCTTCTCCACTCTACACTGTACACCTTCGAAGACATGACGCAGGCGTCTCATGATTCACCCTCGGCGCTTATGCTTGTATTATGTTACTTTTCTTCTCTCCTCCTGTCTTATACATCCTTGGTTCTTTCTTGCTAGGCTACGTGAGCATACGCATGATAACGATCTTTGCATTAATTTGATTAAAGTTAGCTGTTTATATTCTTTATCTCTTCCCCGTCCAGGACTATTTCTGAATATTCAATATAAAAACGAATGCCTCTTAAATAAAGTCGTGTATTTCATCTAATCTCTCATATCAACAGTGGGAAAAAGTAGGTCTATGGTACAAAATGGAGCGAGTGTTCTCATATATTCGGTGAGAGTTGGTCGTACTTGACGCAGTGCTCTACACTCTCAATGCTGGCCTGCAGCAACCCACGAGCTTCTAAGCCGACCCAGACTCGAAGCATGGAGGTATCACCCGAGCGAACAGTCTGCAAGAATGTACCGCCAGATCCTAACTGTCGTAGGATGGGAAGCGCACTATAGAAATGTTAGTCACTCAAATCCTCAACCGTCACAAGAGCAGTACTTACCTCTTGAACAGATCCAGGTCGGGGTTGAGGCTGCGTCCAATGCCTTCCAGAAGAAGACAAGAAATAACTACATTGACAAAGTCTCCTTCAAAGCGTACATGGTGACCGCGAACCATGGTCAATACTTCACTGAGAACGTCACCAATTTTGACAGTTCCCAAAGCGAAGGTTCTTGACTTGATGCTTAGAACGAGATGCTGCATTTTCAGCGCAAATACCTCCGGATCGAGTACCTCCTCTGGTGTCCGGCATCGCTCAACCATGAGCTGACCAGCCCGGTAGCCGTCAAATTCAGCAATAGCCCGGAACAGATCCAAGAAATTCCGTCGATTGAGGTCATTCAATTGGGTGACTAGACCAGTGTCAATGAAAATAAGCTGCGGGCGATATCCCTCGTCATTCAGCTCGGAAAGAGCTGCATTCCAATCATCGCGGTTGTGAGAGTGTGGGCGCAAGCGCTTGAGAACTGCCTCCGTCACATCGACTTCAGCTCGTGTCGGTGCATCAAGTGCACGGGAATGTTTGCGAAGGGAAAGGTCCAGTTCGCTAGGTTTGTAAAATCGCACCATAATGTTTCCTGGATGAAGGTCGGCATGAACAAAATTGTCAATGAGGAGCATATGCAAGAAAGCATCTAGGCCTTCATTGGCAATATCGTGCTGATACACGCCTCCCCCAATATCCAAGAAGGTGGCCAACGGGATGCCCTGGGCAAATTCCTCGACCAGTACCTCGCGAGTAGTGTACTCCAGATATGGATATGGGAACCAGGCGGTGGTGCGAGACTTGAACTTCTGACGAAACATGACCAAGTTGGTAGCTTCGATCCGGAGATCTAGTTGGAGCTTCATCATTTCTCCGAATTGTTGGACCTCGTCGGGGAAGGAAAGCCAGTGCATGGTGGGAATAGCATTAAGCATTGAGGCGAAGAACCACATTATCTTCAAATCCCTGTGAATCATCTGCTCAACCCGAGGATGTAACACCTTGATCGCCACATATGAGGATGGTACTCTCTGGGGTGAACTCTTGACAAGCACGTCGACATTTTTCCGAACTTTCTCGCTCAGCGTTACCGGTTCTATGCCCATTTCTTGGTCACTAGACGCAGCCAGGCTGGGTTTCAGCTTGGCTTTATATACCTGCGCGATAGCACCAACCCCAAGAGGTTCCTCGTCGAATTCTTCAAAGATATCCTCGAATGGCAGTCCGCCGAATGCCCTGCGGATGATTCGTTTCGTTTGCCAAAGTGAATGGGCTGGCGCATTTGAGTGTAGAGACGACATTATAGTGCACATTTCAGGGGGGAAGATATCAGTTCGCGATGCGGCCCATTGACCGAGCTGTCCTGGTCAGTATACGATGAACAGCTTGCTAGCCAGGAGGCTTACCTTGATAAATGCAGGCCCAGCCCGCTCCATTGCTTTCACTAAGAAGCGGTACCACCACAGGGTACCAGTTCGCGCACTGTCATGGTCCTGGACTTTCCGTCCAATCCAGATAGCTGGCACCGTAGCGACGACCGGGATGAAAATGATAGCGAGGTGCATGAACCGGAACCCTGTTGCGATAGGATCATAAACGTAGTAGTAAAAGTATACCCATATGGTCTGGCAAAGCTTGGAGAGACCTTGAGCGTTGGGTGAAACCGACTTCTGAACCTCTTCGCGTGAGGCCTCTAGCATCTGCATCTCAGCGGTCTTGCCTTGGCCATCATTATCCTCGGCCAATTTCAAGAATGCAGCTGGAGCAAGAGCAGTCATAAACAGGCCCCCTATGATGGGACCCCGACGCGGGGTGCCCTTGGTCAGTTGCCGAGGCCATTGCGGGCGACCAAGATGGTGTCGAGGAAGACGCGGGAGAGCACGTTTGAGACAGAAACGGCCGAACAGGACGGCCGTCCTCATGATTCCATGCAGAGATCTGTTAACATGAGAGGGTTGACTTGCAGTTGACCTCAGATGACTTCAAAGTAGAAGAGCGCGAGAGAGGAGAGCTCGGATGTGGATAAACACGTGCTGCGACGTCATATCCGAGGAACCAGATCACGGGCTGTTCGGACTCTTGCCAACACCTGCCAACATCTGCCAACATCTCCAACCTTGGAACAGTTAACTCTTCTGATGCAAAATATATCACTCGTTGAAGCTGTATATTACTTGAGTGGGATTGCATATAAACCAGTTCTATCCATTCGATCCAATCAATCGGCATTTCTCAAACTAAGGTCCACTTTCCTTCTGCACTTGATACTGACCCACAGGCATGGACATAAACATTGAATAGCACAGAGACAGCGACGTGCATACTTGAAAGATGCATTAATCATGGAATAGCCGTCTACAGTATCTTCCTGAGCTTGACTTGATCAGCCTTCCGGAGCCGGAGCCCTCCTCATTCCACAGCCACATTCTTCACCCTTTGTCCGCTTGCCGTCGTCAAGCATTGCCCAATCCGGCAATATACGGTTGATCCTAACTGCTTTGTCAACGAGAAACTGCGATATAGTCGATCTTAGATTGACAGCGGATTAATCAATGGCTGAGGCTTATTATCTCCCGAAAACGGGTCGCGAAGCCTTATTCAAATGACCGAAACGATGGTCTTGGCCGACATTAAATGGCCTGATACCCCCGGAGTCTCACAATGGCTTGTTCAACTTCCTCGACTAATAAACTACCTGACAGATGGCGCGGGAACTCTCAATTGCGGGTCGGACTCGCAACCTGCGCGATGTTGAGTCCAACAAAGAAGAGAAGCCTTCCAACTGGCGCGACTGGGTCTTGGTCTTCTTGTATAGCTTTTTGGGCTACATGTTTATCATCTTGACGGTGCTGACCTATTTCAACCCGGGATTTCTGCCATTCGACGTCACCTCAATATTATTCCGAAAGGAGATGTCTCCCTTCTTCGCATTCTCGCAGGGGTCGAACCATTATTCCAAGCCCCAGGGCTTCAAGATAGTCGCTCTGGTTCCTTTTACCCACTATGAGGCTACTTCAATCCTGGACTGTTATCTGCAGGTAAGACATATTCCATGACCAATTCGATCTGGAATCTAATATACCCCAGAAAAACTTGGTTCAAAACAATGGATTCCTTGACCAGGTCGTCTTTGTGCCGCAAACAAATGATGCCCTCAGCTTGGGATGGTTGAATTCAATTGTTAATGAAACACCCGAATATGATATTTCTCCAGCTGGTCAGGATATGGAGTGGAAAACCGCAATGGACAATGTGATGTACATTCGAATTGACGGCGACACGGTGTTCCTCGAAGATCACACAATTTCAACAATTGTCAAGACAAAGCTCGACAATCCCAGCTCTCTTATGGTGTCAGCAAACGTCGTGAATGAGGCAGCTCTCGCATCGCTTCACAGTCACCCAGGCATTGCACTTCCATATCTGCCAGAGTTATACCACCATATCGATCAACTATCGCTGTCAAAGCCCCAACTGCATCAAGAATGGCGAGCTTCAAGTCTCCCACACTGGCAAGGCCCTATGAAATTCAAAGTCAACAAGGACTTTAAGCCGCCTTTTCAAGGACACCGCTGGTTGCTGCCCACCGATCAGAGCATTGAACGAGATCCTATCTCTGCTTCAGTATACACCGACACAGGCCCAGCCCTAGACGAGTGGACAGTCGGTGCTCAGCAGCACTATTCATTCTTGCACCACCTCGAAGAAAACGACTTGGGGCATTACAAGTTCCCAATCTGGGTCGATCCAACCGAGCCCATTAGCCAAAACTTTGGGTGCTTCTGGGGCAATGATGCGGTTGCTGTACACCACATGTTCCGTCACAATAGCCAGACAACAGCTTCTGATGCAAAGAAACCGGATGGTACTCGTCCGCATGTCATCATTGATGGAAAGGGTCTTGTTTCGCATTATTCTTCGCTTCAAGGTGCGGCTGGTTTGGATACGACCGATCTTCTAGCTCGCTATCGAGCATACGCAGAGGAGCGAGTGTGCTTAACGACCGAGTGATGTGGTCAACAGCCAGTCAAGGGCGTTTCGGAAAGTGAAGAGATGATGATGTATATACTTATACCCAATGATTGTGTTCGGCTATCAAGGCTACTTAATACTCTACCAGAGCTCAAATGGTTTTTACACGTTGGTAACAATAGGAAAAGCAAAATAATATACTTGGCACAAGTCAAGAGCTTATTCAGTACTCTTGGGTCTCCGTCTATAAGCATTGATCAGTCTATCCTGGCCTGGTATACAAACTTGACAAAGGGTAAGTTGCAAAAATCAAGTGAAGGACATAACTAGGCGTTCGCAATAGCCCTCAACTGAAAAGTATGAGCTTTCACCATGTCTTCTAGCATGTCTCTATATCCGAGAGGCAGCGCACCAGCCTACTATTCGGTTAGTAAAATGCTTCTGATTCACATTCAGTCGAAACTCACCTCATTTTTCAGCAGCTCTTTCACAAGAATGAACGCGTTATCTCGATCTTTGTTCTCTTGCGATTTATCTGCCTCTTCCTTGGAACCATCCTGACCGGGAGACTCCACCCCAAGTGTCGTTTTGAGCAACTCAGTAACCTCGGTCTTGTGCAAGCAGTCTACGACTGCGGTACATCCAAGCTTATGCGTTGCCATCAGGGCAAGAGCAAACCAGCCCTCACTACGGACAACAGGCCATTGAGTCTGGGTGATCATAGCACCCAATGGCAGGGCAAGACCTTTGTGAAGGGTAAACAGTTTGTCAAGCAAAATGTTTGCTTGTTCTTCTCCATCACGAGATCGAGGGCAAACAGTCCGACAGATCGAAGCAACCGTACGTCCAATCTCTGTTTTGATTGGGGTAGAATCTGACTTCTCAAAAAGAGACAGCAGCAAAGAGAGATAGGTCCGCTGATTTGCCGGAGAGTCCGGGTCATTCGAGAGAGGAGCAAGAAGGCGAGAGATGTTATCAATCGAAGAAATAATAACTTGGCGCGCAATACTAGCAGCAGAAAACTGAACCTGCGGAACAGACTCATATGCCCATAACCGCGAAACAGCAGGAATGATACCAGCTTCTCCAAGGATGTCTCTGTTATCACCGGCAATTGCCAGATTCTTCAGGAAGCCGAGGGAAGAGTGCAAGACTGCACCCTGAGAATCACTATTCAAGACGGAGATCAACTCTTCATGAATCTTCAGATCCCGGACCATGACCTGGCAGACCTCATCAGACCGAGCCAGGTTACCTAGCATGACACAGGCACAGATCTGAAGTTGATCTTCATCTGCAACCAACCAAGTCTTCAACGTCTGCGAAAGAGGAGAGTCTAGAGGGTAATGCTGGGCGAACAATGGGGACGCAGATACCTCAGCCAAGGCTTGATTGATTTTGAGCCGAACCTGAGAGATAGCCTTGATATTGTCGGCAGAGGATTGATCGATCTCGATTGAAAATGAACGACGCAGGACGTCCAGTACGCCCTCTACCATTCTGTTTGATACACAAACAGCTTGGAACTTTTCTTTTTCTAGGTAAGCTGTAAGGGAAGTGACCAAAGATGAGAAATGTGAGAATTCAAGAGTCTCGTCAAGGGCAAGCTCCATCAATAACAAGATAGTTCCATCGGGGGATGTTTCTATGCCTTCGGCTGTGGATACACTGTGTCAGATGTGGGCTGAGCATAGTGATTTCTCGAGTCAGTCATACCTTGTTCCGAGGCCAATTCAATCAAATCATAGGAAAAGTTCAGCAGAGCTTCGTTTTCCTCAATCTCTCCGTCTTTGATCAACTTCGACAGTATATAAGCCGTTCGATTAGTCGCAATCTGCGCGTGTGCGGGTTCTGGTTGTGTGAGCAAAATCTGTGTCATTAAACAATGTGCAGGAACATACCATAGTCCATGCAAATATTGTAAATGACCGGAATGGCAATGAAAACCAACTCTGGGTCAAGGAAGTATCGGATGATGGCAAGAGTATAATTTCCCTTGACAACAATATCTCTATTTTCATCTGAATGGACATCAGTTAATGGATATGCCTGCTACATTATTCCACAGCAACCTACCTGTGTCGGCACAGGAGTTACCAATAACTCGCAAAGAGTGAAGTAGCAAGTTGGTATCGACCTCATCTTTCAAAGAGATCACATCCAAAAAGAATTTCAAGATCCCGGACTGCCCAAATGAAGCACGCCATGACGCTGAATTGAAATCAGCAAGAGTCAATCAGTCGACACATTCGTTCCATTACTCACGATCTCTGCTACCATTCGCAATAATCTCAGTGGCTTGAACCAAATACTCCGAGTTGCAGTTCCACAACTTGTTCAGCGTATCTACCACGCTTTGTAGAGTCTCCGCATCTCGGCGTCCCCTCTTCATGGTAGCATCTGCCTCTTCAAGGGAAGCATGGAGCTCCTTGAGATCGAAGTTGTTTCCAGCTTCATCGACCTCTTGGGCTTTTTCGATGATGTCCTGCAGAGCACGGAACATGACTTGCTGCTTTTCCGAGTCAAAGAGTTCAGTATTCCGTGGTGGTAGAGAAGAAGAGGGACCTGATTGATCTGGAAGGATATCCTTGATGGCAGGTAGGTCCCAATCTCCCTTTTTCAAGATTGACTGGTTGGCAGCTCCATGACCGGGCTGGACGGTAGATATACTCCCCTGTGAAGACATATTGCCAAATGGAGATCTGATAGTTGCCTTCAGAGAAATTATCGGGACCACAAGGGGTCAGTGTGGCCTCGGGATATGAGAGTTCCTTGCCCGAACTGGTAATAATCTGTCAAATTGGATATGGAGCCTAGATGGTGGCCTGGTTTCTGCAAGAGCTACTGGCAGTGATCCACTCAACAAAAGCAGGCAACAAAGACCAGAAGTGGAGGCACTTGTAGGAATATCACAAATGTTTAGCTTGGACGGGGGGTGGAACGGCGTTGCTGCCTCAGAGATTCAGGCATACACCCCATTTAGGTTAGGCGGAGAAGGTATACATGGACCTTTCGATGGTTCTCGCAGGTTCTTATATAAAAGGAAGATAGATGAAGATGTATTGAGAATAACCAAAGAACTAGAATGGAGCTGACCAACTGCCTACTAAACCTGTAGTCCTGTGACTGTAGACCCAGTGACCTGATCCGGGCGCCAAGCAAGCTGGCCTCTCTCTGCCCGCATACACTGCAACAAGTAACATACTCCCTCATTTTGTCTATCCCATTCACATTTGACCATCTTCCTTCTTTTGTGAAATTCCACCTCTCAATTCCCTCAAAATGACTCGCGCTCTCCAAGCTCTCTCTGTTCTCCTCCTTGTCTCCTCCGTACGCTCACAGTCCCAGGAGAAACCACACATGTGTGCACACTGAACTAACAATTGACCAGCTTTACCTCGTTCTCTACCTGGGACTCGTCCCCCTGAACGAGACCTTCCAGACCGAGGTCATCCCAGTTGTATGTCGTCCATTCCGTGAACCCCTCGAGCTACCAGATTCGTGCACGACACCAAGTCAACAAAACCAAAGCTAACATCCATTCCTCCCCCAGCTCCCCTTCTACGCCGTCATCGTGTTCGGATGCTACCTCCTAGGCCGTCTAGGTCTTGCGATCTTCACGTTCAACGATGTCCCCGAGGCACACGCCGAGCTACAGAAGGAGATCGAGCAGGCCAAGATCGAGCTGCGCCAGGGCAAGGTTGAGGTCGATTAAATGCACAACCATATGTCAGCCTGTGCAGATAAGCTTTGTAATTGGATCACCCTGTTGCGGTCTCCAATAGGGTCTGGGGATTCTGGCCTCGGATTTGGTGCTCGAACGCGGAAGTTGTCTACGCGGCGTTTTTGACGTTCAGAGGCGCGTCCCAATTCCCATATAATACGCTACTTCAGCTTTTGTTTCGCTATCAATGCAATGTTCTTTTGATACCCGTCTACAATTCAATTGGTTCGCGAGAAATGTCTTTGAATCCAGGTTGGGCTCCAGGGAGAACACGAGCAGTGCCTCGATGGCCCAGAGAGCAAGCCTGGGGGTTGGGAATCTGGAGTAGGGAGCATGGATGTACTATTGGATTAAGGACATCTTTTGGGGCAATCTGTCGATGCCAAAAAGAAAGAAACTTTTCTATAAATTCATCAAGGATATCGTAAAAAGTACATGCTGAGGGTTATGCACCTGAACCCTTCGCATGAAAGCAAAATCGACGACCCCCAAAGGTCGCCAATGCAGGCTTTTAGAGCGCCGCGCAAACCAGAATGCTATATGCAAATGCCATCGTCTTTTTAGAAGAGAGGGTTCTCCTTGGCCAGAGCATCGTGCTCATCAATGTCCCTACAATGTTGTTAGTCACAATCCACCCAGAAACGACATTTAAGAAAACATACTTAGCTTCCCAGGGGTAGCAGATCCAGACATCATCAGTGGTGACGGAAGCGTGGTAGCGACCACCCTCCATCATATCAGCGGGCAGAACACCCTTCTTCGGCTTGTTCTTGTTCTATACCAGTAGTCAGCACAAAGATCAACCCTCCCTCAATCCAGGGAAAAGAAACACAACACAAAAAGGAAGGGAAAAAAAAAACATACGTGCAGAACAAAGACAAAGAAGTTCGTCTTCTCGCCCTCGCGGCCAAGCTGCTTCTGGGCAATCTCGACATCCTTCTGGAGCTCGCGAACAGCGTACTCAAGGGTTGTACGGGTGTCATCGACCTCATCGACAATCAGAATGTTCTTGCCGATCAAGTTGGCCATCTCCAAAGAGCTCATGTCGAGCCATTGGGTACGAGTGACCTTGGTACCAGGGACCTCCTCGGCATCACCACGGCCAAGATCCTCATAGAGGGAGAGACCGATGGCCTGGATGGGGATGTTGGCGTCACCGGTGCGCTTGAGGAAGGATCTATAAGAACGTGGGGTGTTAGTATAGTTGCATGTAGGATGTGGCGTGCATATGTGTAGACTGCAGGCTGCAGATTACTGATGTACAGTAGTGCACTCTTGTGTCGTGTGAGGGGGGGTTTTTTTTCCCATACCGGAGAATACGAGCAGGGACATAACCACCACCGCCAATGGCGATCATAAGGTTGGGGTGGAAGTCCTTGAGGATCTGGTCCGCCGAGGTCTGGCAGAGCTTGTGGACCTAAGATTTGTTAGTGCTTGTGCCTGGGAAGTGTTTGATGTCGGCGTCGCAAGGACGATATTTCCGTGTGCTTGTGCGACAGAGCAGGGAATGGATGGGACATCGGATGACAGGATTGTCGAGTAAGCCATACCTGGTTGTAAGTGACGTAGAACTTCTGAGACATGATGGGCTGAATAGAACCGGCACTTGGAAGACTGGGGAAGAGAAAAGTATAGAAACAATCTGGAGAAGAAAAAAAAAAAGGCTCAAGAAAATGGAGGGGCAAAATTTGCTCGGCATCGGCCCGCTCTTATCGCCGGGGTTTTGTATATAAACTGCCCTCTTCCATTGCAACGCTGTTCTACTGGCGAGAATTCGAGCATATTGTCATCTCGGGATATCTTCATAGCATTGTGGTCAGAGATCTATCTATCTAGGTATACCAACTAGCCTCCGGCACTTCATCCAGCAGAGCATATCGCCCCACTTCCCGGTTCTTGTAAGCCACCGGGTCGTGAAGGGTATGGACCCTGATGTCTCGCCAGAATCGATCCAAGCCTACCTTGGAGGCAGTAGCGCGGGCTCCAGTCACCTCAAAGACCCCTGAAGTCACGCGCAATCCCACATCAGTGGTGACGATCTTCACACTAGCCACCCACTCGGCCACCTCTCCACGATCGCGGGGTGTGAGAGCCGCCTTATCGGACGAAAAGCGAGTATACAATTCCGAAAGCCGATCACCGGCTCGATCAGCGAGGGCCTCCGCTGCGCGAAGGTGGGCGAAGAAATTCCCGTATCGCTCCAAGATGTAGAACTCATCGGTTGCCGACTCTTTGTTGTCGCCTCCAAAGGGCCACGCGCGGGTCGCGGTGGTGGTATACTGGGAGGCGAATTCTAATGCGCCGAGGGCAATGCCCAGATAGAAGTTGCTGAAGACCAGTTGGATGCTAGGAGGCAAATCAGTATGGGATCAGACAGGTCGACGGTCCAAAAAAAAAAAGGAACTTACGTTGGTAGAAGCAAGGTCGGGAATGCAATCTTCAAGGTATCTTCGCGCGGCTGCTTGGTCAATGGATCCCATCCTAATGCGTCTGTCCATGGAGCGCGGACCTGGTCGATCTTGACGCCTCCGGACTCTGTCAAACGCAACCCGATGTTGTGCCAGTTATATGCAAACTGGATCCCGGGCTGCCGGGTCTTGACCAGGGCAAAGATATGGTCTTGGGTGCCGTCCAGAACCCCTTCTAGGACGGTCAGGTCTGACACGACACCACCGGTGTTGAAGAACTTCTGTCCACTGAACACAATGTCATCTCCGTCCGCAGTGATCTTCAAATCACTGTCACGGGGGTTGACCGCACCCCCGACGAAGTAGTTGTTTGTAATGATCAGCTGGTGGGTTCTATCGGCTTGTTCGGCGGTGCCGACTACATTGGCGGTGGTTGACCAGAGGAGATGGTAACCAAGCAGCATACCGATCGATCTTGTCTTTGTTAGAATCCCGAAGAAACTTGAAATCAAGGGCTCTTTCTTACCCATCGGCCTTTGCCACCTCTCTGATAGCCTTATATCCCACACTCCAGGGTTGTTCCCCACCTCCATACTTCTTCGGACCGAGCAGTTTCAAAAGGCCGGAATGTTTGAGCAAGGCAATCTCCGCCCGCGGGGACTTGTTCTCTTGATCTCTCTGGGCAGCATCTTGAGCCAGCACTTTGGCGACTTCCTCGGCTCTGACAAGCCATGCATCTTCGGTGCTTGGAAGCTCAGACCATTTGGTCTGATACTCGGCGTAGACTGCAGGATCCGTCTCGGGGACTGCCATAGTTCAAGATATATTTTTAGTTATAGTATAGTTATAGTTGGAGTTGGAGGGCGGAAGTCAGAATCTGGTGTGTCCTGGGCTGGGAACCGCATATTTATGGGTGGCATTCGTTGCTTTCGCAGCATTAGCACGCCATGAACATCCCAGATGAGGATTTGGAGCTCTTTCGTCCGAGAAAATCGAGGATTTTGGTCTGCCAATTATCATCGCCTGTTTTGGACGTGGACTCTGGCTATTACCCCCCTCTTTAGAGCCACACTTGGTGTCGCTCTGGTCTGGCGGGCTATCTCGATTTCAGCTCTTCTCTTTTAGGTCAACTGGCATATTGATTAACTTATATGATGCAACGGATAAGTGTTCTATAGATGATCATATTCAGAACAGTGTAACTGAACTAAGTTATACAAATTAGGGACATGTGTTATGTATGTTGGTCCAGATATTAACGAGTCTAAATCTCCAGCCTCAGAATGTATAACCCCGAATCTAGTTCGCCTTCCTTTTCTTTCCAAAAAGTCGCGAAGTATCACCCAGGGGCAACTCAAGCAAAGACTCCTTCAATAGCAAATGGAAAACAATATACCATCCCACCAATCCAGCCAAGAAACAAAACACCCCTCCAGCCTTCTTCAACGCAGTGGCAGAAGCCGCCTTCCCGTCAGCCAAAGCGAAGTAGCTGGCGGCCACAGTCAGGAATCCCAGATCAACCAACAAAAAGACCAGGATGTACGCAACGTTGCTTGGAAGCGACGCAATCAAGAAAGTAAAAACGAACACCGTCCACAAGATCATAAAGAACCCCACCGCATTATTATACTCGGCTGTACTGTCACCACCATAGGCTTGGGCAACCCCAAAGGCAGGCGTCAAGATGGCCCCATATCCAGCGTAGAACAAGCCTAAACACCAATATCAACCAGCTGATCCTTATCCACCAGCGAAGAAACGAATGGACACTCACCAAAAGCACTAAAAACAGTATAGGCAAATCCATTCCCAATCGACAATTCCCATTGAGCAGTCACCACCAACCCAAACGCGGCAATGAAGAAGAAATTGGCAACAAACACATTCGCAGTGGTGACGCCCCTCCACTCCATCAGACTCAGCGATAACGTCGTGAGAGTAGTTCCGAATGCGCCAAGGGCAAGAGCAGACTGTGATGATTTGGAAAGTTAGAATTGAAGATCGCGCTGGAGTCTCCCGACACCCAACTTACCCCTGCGCCGAGGGTTTTGGCAGTCTCGACTCGCAAAGTGCCGACATTTTGCTGCTCAATATCGATTGAGTTGTCGGTTTTTTGGTCTCCGGCGAGGGAGTCTTGGGTGGTGGGTATGGCCATTGTTGCTTGAAGCCGATATATCAAGATGGGGAAGGTCCATTATAATCGATTCAACAATGCAGCCGTGATAAACTCCTTCTCCTTGGCGTGATATAGATCTTCCATCACATCATTGCAAAAGCGATGCTGATCGGACTTGGAATGGGAAACAAAAGCGTCTCCAATCCTCTTTTTGGGACAAACTTAGGGTTCTCCGTTTATCCGAGTAGATCACCCAATTATGCTCGCGATGATGTGCTTTCAGCTTGGAAATATGTTATTTGCATGTTTCACTAGCGCAAGAGTTTATTTCAAAGGGGAGATTTTCTTTGATATCTGAGTTATGATCCTCGGATCCTTGGTACGAATCCAAATATCAACTTATATCGACACCCTCATCGCGCAATAGTATTGAGATAATCAATTCCCTCGGCACGATACCCATCATCCTCGACATAACTCTCATTACGAGGTAATCGGAACACAAAATTAGCTGCCCGATCCGAATACCGAGTCCACTGAGGAATACCATTTACTAAGAACCAGTCAGCGTTGTACTCCCAGTTTCCCGCTACCAATAAACAAGCATACCTCCATGTCCATTAGGGTCCAAATCCGCCACAAAAGAAGTCCACATCTGCGCAGCCATTTGTCCAAGTTCCAAGCGGGCAGGATCCGAGCCTAGAGGCGTAATCGTCTGAACGGGATTGGCAAAGACGAAAGGGATCTGTGAATCAGTGACCAGTTCCAAGAGTCAAGTGAAGTAAAGTAAAGTAAAGATCACGGCTTCCAACATACCTCTGCAAAATGCTGCACACCAATCAAACTCGAACTATTCTGCGCCGGTACATCCCACCGGTAGGAGTAAACCCGATCGCGGAAACCGGACATAGTCTGAGCTAGTAGTCGCCGCGGTGCAACCATCGTTATATCGCCCGCCATGGACGCGTATCGCTTATACATCAGTCCGAGGGAGGGCCAAGTGGTATTTCCCCAACCGTAGGGACAGCCGATGGATGAGATATTGGGGTAGTGGGTTATGAGCTCTGTTGCTTGGGAGCGGGTGAGGACCCAGCGTTTTGATGCTTGGGTTCACGGTCAGTATAATCACAACTTGTATTGATCCTGAAAGGGAACCGATACGGCGCAGTTGAAGAATACTTACAGATCAACTGGTCAATACAATCCTCATCGGTATTGGTGCCCGTGGTGCCGAAACTGGTTCCTTCGTCTGTGTTCGTGCCTAGGAGTAGAGGCACTTTGGAAATCTTGTTCTGCTTGTAGCTTATTTGGGGATACTGGGAGATGAATGCACCGTCGACTGTGGCGAACCATTCTAGACCTTCGTAGGCGGTGCTGTAGAATGTGGTGTATGGGAGATCGCGCAGGCATTGGAGAGTTCTTGTGGAGGCTGTGCATCTGTTGATTTATGCTATCAGTCTCTGGTTGCAAAGCCTTTAGCTTTGATGAATTGGAGTGTTGCATACCCTGCTCTTTCAACGATACGGTCGTACATTGGTTGATGCCACTCGGTTCCATTGTATGGGGGTCCAACTGCGTTTCCCGAGTCCATAATCGCTGTTCTTGTTTAGAATAGTTTCGATGGTATAGATTGACCACGTACCAGCCCGGAATAATCCTTCATTGTCGCCGTTATTAGTGACAAGATGAGCTCCAACACTATAAGCACCCCTGTTTTCGAAGACATTAGTCTTTAAGCTGCGGGAAATGATATATATCGGGTTTCTTACGCAGACTCGCCCCAGATAGTGATCTTATTCGGATCACCACCAAACGCCTTGATATTCTTCTTGACCCAACGCATAGCAACGCGCTGATCACGCAACGCCAGATTTGTATTGCCCTCGGTCTGACAATTCATCAGCATCTCATTCTTGCAAAATCCATGAAATCACCATCTCACCCTCACTTCCTCAGAATCAAGGAATCCAAACGCCGACATTCGATAATTGATCGAAACACCCAAGACAGGCTTACCATTCCGATCACTCTGTTGAACAAGATAGCTCATATTATATCTGTTCCACCATATAACCAGTCAGTCCCCCTCATCCAATATATCCCCTTTTGGGGAGTCCATAGAAACCAACCTCGGATCAGCAGTGGCACCCTGAGTCCAACCGCCGCCAAAAATCCACAGAACAACCGGAAGCAGATCATCCGACTGAGACTGCGGCCGAACGATATTCATATTATGGCAATCCTCGTTGAGGGTAACCAAACCCTGATTCACCAGCGTGGTGGTATCGGACCCATAAGCTGGACAGTCATGGCCATACTGCGTGGCATTGTAGTATACAGACTTGGACTTGGCATCGGTGCTTGTCCCCGCTGTGGAGAGATGATATAGTCCAGAGTCACTGTCGTTGGAGACATAGGTAGTTTTCAGGACTGTGGGCGTGAAGCGGGTTGGTTTATTGGCGTATTTGATTCCTAGGAAGAGATCTTGGTTGAACTCTGGTAAGGCGCGGCCTATGAAGTTTGTTTTGGATAGGGTTACTGTTGGTGGACTTGCTGCTGCAAGGGGTGTTAGTGAGAGGACCAGAGCAGACAATATCAGCGAGGTGCTGGATGTTGGTTGCATTTTCGGAGTTTGGGGTAGGCTGGAGTGTGTATATCATTTGCCAGGGAGCTGGCTTTTAAATATCCGGGTTTGATGCAGATCTGCACTAGACATTTCGTGTATCAGCGGTCTAATTGTTCTAAAGAAATTAATTCCATACCACATTTCGCTCAACCCCGCTGTGGAGGAATTCGAGTGAAGCTGTAGCTCGGCGCAGAGTCCATTGGCGCTCATAGGTGGGAAAATAAAGCTAGGCAAGTTCGGTGCTCTAACTTACAGCTAAGTTAACGTAGGCTGGCTTGATTGACCTGGTACCCACCTTGGAAAGTTCATATTAACAGCAAATCTTGAGACAATAACACAATCTCTTCAATCTACGCTGACCCTTTTGTGTCTAGTATGTGTGGGCCCATGATAAGTTATGCCGCAAAGACCAAAGTACGAAATATCCAAGGTGGCAAGAGTCCGACAAGACAAGAATAAGCTTCCAGCTATTGCAAGGATAATGTTCTATTCAGAAAAGAATTGATCTAAATGGTGGATTATCAGGCTAAAAGGCCGGGGTGATATAGGAAAATGTGCGGCAGTAGCAACAAGCGCATTGTAAGTATTGTACACACCAACATGGGCTAGTGACGAAGATAACAGGGGTGCCACTGCCTCCGCTCTGTCCGAGACCAACAAAGGGTCAGTATTTGAGACATCGACCAATTATCCAGTCGGGCCAAGAAGCCGTATGCAGAAGTCCAGTGCGGATCTGAAGCTCATCTTGTCCTGTCATGTATGCGATGCTCCAATGAAGCCGAATCGTGGAGCGGCCTAGCACTAGAAAGTGCAAACGCCGAACAGGAAAAAAATCACAGTGCCAAGCCGCTCGGGGAAGAAAGAAAGGGCCGGGGAAATGAAAATGCAATAGTGAACTTTAAAGGTCCACACACGGAGACTCTTATTATGTACGCTTGAAAGTTCAATCAAGCAGGTTAATCGTCCTTGGTCCGCTCATGTGCGGAAGCCGAGCCTGCCGCGAATCCAGTCGCACGAGACCTGCTCGCTGCGGCTACAGAGGGGCTGTTAAATCGGACAGATGAGGCTGAAGAGGATGTGCCCTGCTGCTCAGACCTCCGAGAGGTGCCCTTGAAAGTGCTGGGGGAGTTTCGACCATCTATCATCCCATCATCCAATTCAATGAGATCGTCCATCCGCCACTTATTGCGACCCCGGTTTGGGCCCTGCTGGTTGGGGGTTCCTTGCTGCAATTCATTGATGCCGGCCTTGGCCCGCGTTGCTACATTGCGAATCCAACCCTCGAACGCACCACCAATGTTCTCGAGACCAGTCGATGCATGGGATGTGGCGCTGGACACAGACCCAAAAGACGCTTTTCGAGCGTTTTCGGGGGGCGGAGGTGGTGCCAAGTTTGGTATATGCTGTGCGAAAAACTTGGTGAACCCATCCAATGCGGGCCCTGGTCCAGTGGATGTCGGATCAAGGGTTCCTACTCCAGTGCCGGACAGATGTAGACTACTGCGCTGACGGCGGTGTCCAGGGCGAGTAGGACGCGTGGCCTTGGCTTTGGCTTGTTCGCCATTGGGTCGAGTGCGTGGGAGCACTCCAGAGGATAAAGGTGGTGGTGGCGATCCGGTGGGAGAAGCAGGTGTGATGGTTTGCCGGAGAGAACCAAAGGGTTCAGCGTCTGTGTAGGATACTGATTTTCGGCGGGTGCGTGGAAAGAATCCTAATGCCCTTCGAGGGACACGACCGATTTGTACTTGGTCTGGAAATCCATCCATATACACCCATTTCTCATGCTTCCAATTCTGATTATCATGCGTGTCGGAGATAGTGGCAGGAGCATCGTCTGCAGAGGAATCGTCCGTAGAGGTAGTCACGGGGGCTATAGAGCTATCGGTGGGGTCTTCAAGGTCAGGACCCAAAAGATCCACGGGCTTTGTTGGGGCGGGTCGACCTTTCACAGAGCATGCATCGACTGGGAGAAGCACCACATTTCGGCACTGGATATTATCAGTAGGCCAGAAGCCATTCGCTTTTCGGAACACCGCAGCGTGGCAGCCATATTTGATCGTCACACCGGTGATGGTGTCTGTGGCTTGTACTCTATGGACATAGGCCAGGGCATCTTCGTCGTGTTCCGGATCTAGGGTTTGATGTGAAGTATCGCCAGAATCTCGTCGTTTGTGGGTAAATGTGCGACTCGTGATCGGATCACTATCTGCTAGGAGTAGCGCCTCTCTCTTTTTAGCCTGCACCAAAGCTTGTCGTTCCTCTTGCGTCCCGGTTCCAACCTGCGGAGAAGTCGGTGCTGATGGCCCCCACGTTGAAAGCCCCGACCGAGGGGCACTTTTGATATATACGTCCGAGCGAGATGGCTTTCTTGTGTGTGCTTTGGCCGTATTATTTGGGGAGGATCGTCCAGGATCATTCCCAAGCACCGAGGATGCCAAACTTTGGAGAGATGACCATGATGAATCTAGAAAGTCGGCGGCACCACGCGATGAAGATGGCACTGATGATCCATTCCAAGCAAAAGAAGTTGTCTCGTTGCGAGTGCGACGATTGGTCGATTCGGTCGCGCGCGATGGGTGTTTCATCGGTAGTGGGGATGCCCCCCGGGATGACAATGGCGAAGGGGTCGCTCCACGAGACCGGGTCGTACCACCATCGGAGGGTGCAAGAGTCGTTGACAATGCAGACGAGAATGGTTGAGAGTCATTCTGGTAGGAGTAATTTGTATTATTATTGCTGTCATCTTCGTCGTCCATGAATGAGACTAAGCGTCGAGGGCGTGATCGGACCGTAGAGGTTGACGTGGTGCTTGCGCTGGCAGAGTTGAAGCTTGGGGAAGCATTGACAAAGCTATTTTGGGAACTCATTCCTGATAAAGAACTAAGTGAATGCCAGCTGTGTTCTTCTAAGAATGCAAGTGAGCTCCCGCAGAGCAGAGTGTGCAGCGAAGGCACCAGTAGCCATTAATGACCTAGAAACCCATTCGCCCACCCTGGAGTCGCATTCGTGATCTGAAGAGCGTAGGACGAGTGACTTGACCATATAGTTGGAGGGCCAATATTCCAACTGTAGCGAAAGAAACGTTCCACTGAGTAGGAGGGAGGGTTGGCGATAGGAGGTCAAGGAGGCGTAAGGTGACGATAACGACCCGCACTGCTGTGAAGTGTCGACTGTCGACTGTCAACTGTAGACAGTGGACTGTGGACAAGAAGGAAGTAAAAAAGGCCTCCAAAATAAGAATGTTCGCGATCTGTACAAGGACTAGAATGCAGCCACAGTAATGTAGGAGTAAGTTCCAGGTTCGGGGGGCGTACGTTGATCGGCAGGTGACTTCGCCGCTCGGCAAAGTAACAGTACATGACGTTGCCCGGGAACTGCCACCTATTATGGGTACCAGTACATTCCTCTCGAGTCTGTAATGATTTCGTCGAATATCAGTTTCACTTTGAGATCAAAATGATCAGACGGTGAACTCTTAACACTCTTTGTATTAGGAAGCAATTGTATACAGAAATCTATGGACAACCCCAAGAACACAGACTCCAGGGCCAAGAAGCAGCATGGCCTAGCAAGGGTCTTTTCCGATAGATAACGCCAAGTCTTCGCACTGCGAGGCACAATCCAAATATTAACATAAGAAGAAGTCGGCTGTCTATTATTCTGGAGGTTCAGTCATCGCGGAGGGTCGAGCCTCGGCTTCTGATGTGGCTTCAGACTCAGTGCTCCAGTCTCCATCCTCCTTCTCACTGACCTTTCCAGTAGGCATTGAAGAGGGCTGAGGAATGACCTTGACACCGCCAGCGCGGGAGAAGAAATCTTCCGTCCGAAGACCCCGAACTTCTTGAGGGTTCACAGCGTCCATTTGCATGCCGTTTGCTTTCTTCTCTCGAATCAACTCCCGGACAGGTACCATTGCTGCATCTCGGCAGGCTTCCTTGATATCGCTGCCGGACATACCGGCCATGGTCTTGACCAGATAGTGCAGGTCAAAGTTATCGCGGTCAACCTTGGTGTCTTTAAGGATGAGGCTGAGAATACGGAGTCGTTGGGCGATGGGGGGAAGAGTGACGGGGAACTTTTTGGGCATTCGACGCAAAATGGCCTCGTCGATATCTTGAATGCGGTTGGTAGCTCCGAGAACAACAATGCGCTGCGGCTCTCCAGTGGAATTCGCCGAGGTGAGACCGTCCCAATGTGTCATGAACTCGGCTTTGACCATACCACTTGCCTCGTGTTCACCACTTCTCCTGGTTCCAAGGACGGCATCGATCTCATCGATGAAGACAATGGCGGGCTGCAATTTGCGCGCGAGAGAAAACACTGCGTTGACAAGCTTGTTGGAGTCACCATACCACTTTTCCGTCAAAGTTGAAATGTGCAAGTTGATAAAGCATGCGCCACTTTCAGATGCTAATGCTTTGGCAAGCATGGTCTTACCGCAGCCAGGCGGACCGTACAACAGGACTCCAGAGGGCGCTGTGAGGAGGGATGATGTAGAGGCGTAGAGGTGAGGCATTGTCAATGGATAAATGACTGATTCTTTCAGCTCTTCAATGATTTCGTCAAGACCACCAATATCCTCGAATGAGACTGCAATATCCTCTGGCGCAACGACATCCATCGCAACCGCCTGTTCGTATTGGTTCAGTGTGAGCTCCTTCTTTTTCTGTCCTCGCCCACGCTTCCCCTCACGCCGCGGTGAGTCGTCGTCGGAATCATTTCCTTCGAGCCGACGCAAGATGGCTGCCGACTTCTGCCGTTGTTCCTCTTTCTTCTGGCTCTCGGGGTCGAAATCAAGGCGTGAAAGAAGGTAGCGAACGAGGAAATATGCGGAGGCAGACTATGAATAGCGTTAGATACATCCTCACAGCTCCAAAATGCGAAACTATAAACTCACAGTGCCTGCGATCATCACCATCTCTTGGAAGAACTGCTGCCATCTTCGGCCACCGGCTGAAGCCATGACGATTTCAAAAATAGAGATTAGATAAGTAGATACAGCAAATGGCACACAGAGAGATCTGGACTGGTGGAATAAAACAGAACGAAGTAGATTAGATGAGATTATAGAAGACCGAAGCTTAGGAACCCCCGAAGATCGGGCAGCTGTGGCGGGAGTCGGGGAATGTCACATGTCGCAGGGCGGAGAGGTGTTGTTGTTCGGCGCGTCCCCCACGACTTTGTCTCCGCACAATCCACTGCACAATGCCCAAACGAAAGGCGCCTTCTAGGATCTCTGGTCTTCTAGGCTCTGATGATGAGGATCTCCTGCAGGTCGGGCAAACAGATGCCCAAGAAACACACAATGAGCCTCCCGCCAAAAAGCGCAGAGGCAGACCGCGCACTTCACACGACGATGTGAATGCTGAACCCAAACCCAAGCCGAAACCTGCTACGCGCGCAAAGAAACAGAAAGAAGTCGCCGAAGCTACAGAAGAGGCCCCCGCACCAAAGAAACGAGGGCGACCAGCAGGAAACAGTCGTGTATCGCAGTCGCAAGAACCCGAACCCAGACTCCAGACAGCTGCCACTGAAGAAATGGAGATGGATAACCATGCTCAAGATCAGGAAAATGAAGACCCTCAGCAGCGCAAAAAGACCAATGCCGCAAAGCCAGCACCCGCCCGTCGCGGACGAGCTGCAGCCAACGCGAAGAAGGACCTTCAAACAGACAATGGATTCGAATACACTCCACGTGCCGATCAAAAAACCAGTGCTTCGGAAGAACCTGGAGAGCATCCATCTCCCAGCCCTCAACTTCGGGGCAAAGGACGGAGAGCAGAGCCTGAAGTAGAGGAAACACAACAAGGCGATGAACCTACCAGGGAGGTTGTGGACGAAACGATCCTTCCCATCGAACCGGCTTCTAAGCGCTATATCACGTCTCCTGTGAAGAAGGCCCGCGCCCGAGCGTCCCTCTTACGCCACCCGCCAGATTCCTCTCCTCGGAAGCGCAAGCTCGGTGAAACAGAACAGGGCGGTGATCCGGAGTTAAGGCGTAGACTTGGTGAACTCAGCAAAAAGCACGATGCATTGGAAGCGAAGTTTCGAAATCTTCGAGAAATCGGTATTGTGGAGGCCAATGCCAACATGGATAAATTGCGAAGACAAAGTGAGACGGTTACTACAGGTAGGTCATTTAATGGTCCTTCGGCTGCTGAAATTCATGGATTAACGTACAACTAGCCTCGAATGAATTGGTTGCCTCGCTTAAAGCAGAATTAGAAGTTCAGCGCAAGCTTGGGCAACAGAGCCGTGGTCTGCAGAAGCAACTCAATGACCGTGATACCGAGATGGCCAGATTGAAGTCTCAGGCTGACGAGGCGCAGGCCCAACTCGCCTCTGCTCAAACTGAAGTCAAGGCCCTACAAACCAAGCTTGCTGCTGCGCGCAATACAGCTGCCAGCATTGAGGGGGCTGCGAAGGTACCCGGCAGTGCTATCAAGGGTGGCCCAGCCAACCGTGCCAATGCGGCAGCCAGCGCTGAAGCCGCGCAAGCTGCACAGCTGGCACAGCTTAAGGAAGATCTCTATAGTGACCTAACTGGGCTGATTGTTCGCGATGTCAAGACAACCGACACAGATCATGTGTATGATTGCATCCAGACCGGAATCAATGGAAGTAAGTGGCTAGTTCTCCTGATAATCTCCTCGTCCTGTCTGACCTTTCGTGTAGCTCTTCATTTCCACTTGGCCATTCCCAAGACATCAACCAACTACGATAATACCGAAATCCAGTACCTTCCTCTCTTAGATGCCAATCGAGATCGCGACTTGGTGAACCTGTTGCCGAACTTCTTGGTGGAGGACATCACCTTCAGTCGCGGACAGGCTGCCAAGTTCTATACGCGGGTCATCGATGCGCTGACCAAGCGCCGGTCTCTTCCAGCGCAGTAGCGCAGAGTTATATAGTTTCTTTATCTTACATTGCTAGGAGTCGGGGGCAGGTCAAAGTTATAAGTTATACGTTTGTTCTACTTGGCTCTAGTGTAAACAGTGGGTTCTGCCGTGCGCAATTGAGCCGCTATGATTGGCTCTCACCGCCCCCAAGGTTCCCCCCCAATGCGGACAAAAGTTGACGTGTTGCGTTCGACATGCCTGCCATGCTTGTCTCCTTTCAATTGCTTTGCTCAATTCCTTTTTAATATCATTTGTGGCAGGGGACCACTTCCACTCTTTTGCCCCTTGAGCTGGTCCTGAGAGGAAATACATTATGGCGCGTCTCGGCCGCGTCGGGTTCCTGGCCCTCGCGGTGGTATTCCACCTGATCTATACATATTCAATCTTCGACATCTACTTCGTCAGCCCGATTGTGAGTGGCATGCGATCATATGGTGTTGAAAGACCCTCCGATGTACCCGCGCCAGCAAAACGTCTCGTTCTTTTTGTCGCCGACGGCCTACGAGCCGACAAAGCGTTCCAAGCTTTCCCCGATCCTTCTCCCGACGCCGATCCAGAAAACGATGATTTAATTCGCCTTTCACCATTCATTCGCTCCAAAGTCCTTTCCGAAGGTACATTTGGTGTCTCGCACACCCGTGTTCCCACCGAATCACGACCTGGCCATGTTGCGCTTATCGCCGGACTCTACGAGGATGTGTCCTCGGTCACAACTGGATGGAAGATGAATCCGGTCAACTTCGACAGTGTGTTTAACCAGAGTAGACACACATGGAGCTGGGGTAGTCCGGATATTTTGCCCATGTTCAAGGAGGGTGCAGTGCCTGGCAGGGTTGATGCGGAGATGTACAGTGAGGAAGCAGAGGATTTCACTGTCGATGCTACTCACCTGGACACCTGGGTCTTCGACAAAGTCCATGGACTCTTTGAGTCGGCAAAGACGGACCCCGAATTGGACCGGAAGCTGCGGGGTGACAAGTTGGTGTTCTTCCTTCATCTGCTGGGCTTAGACACCACTGGCCATTCTTTCCGTCCTTATTCGAAGGAATATCTGCACAATATCAAAATTGTGGATTCTGGAGTCAAGTCCGTCACAAAGCTCGTGGAGGATTTCTATGGCGATGGCAAGACAGCATTTGTGTTTACTGCGGATCATGGCATGAGTGACACTGGCAGCCACGGTGACGGTCACCCCGATAATACCCGCACACCGTTAGTTGTCTGGGGCTCTGGTGTCGCAAAGCCCCAACTCTCCATCGATGAAGTTGCCCCGGGCCATGAAGATGGCTTTTCGTCCGATTGGGGATTCGATCAGGTTCGACGCCACGATGTAGCACAGGCCGATGTGGCCGCACTCATGGCTTATCTGGTTGGTCTTGATTTCCCCGTTAACTCGGTTGGCCAACTGCCCCTTGACTATCTCAATGCTAGTCCAAAGGAGAAGGCACTGGCTTCGTTGGCCAACACGCGGGGCGTTTTGGAAATGTATCATGTGAAAGAGGAGCAAAAAAGAAACGCCGTGATCCGATATGTGCCTTATGATCCTCTGTCCGGGTACCATGAGACCTCAGTTGAAGGCCGTCTGGCGAAAATTGGGGAACTCATCGCCAGTGGTGATCATGAGGAGGCCATTCTGGTATCCTCTGAGCTTCTACGGACTGCCCTTGAAGGATTGCGCTACTTGCAGACCTACGATTGGGTTTTCCTGCGGACCATCGTTTCGGTTGGATACTTGGGTTGGATTGCGTATGCCCTGACCACGGTGATCGACCTGCATGTTTTGCATGGAACATCAGACTCTCACCGGACGACGGCAAGCATTACATTTTTCTCGTCTATTCTGGTTGCTCTCTTCTCCATATTCCTTTACCAAAGCTCCTCCTGGCGCTACTATATCTACGCATTCTTCCCAGTATACTTTTGGGAAGAGGTATTCGCTCGCCGCAGGGCTTTGATTGCCGGCCGTGAGATTGTATTGGGCCATGTGCGATCTTTTACTGGATACCTCAAGTTTGGTCTCCAGTTGCTGGCATTCCTCGGTGTGATGGAAGCCCTAGTCCAGTCCTATTTCCATCGGGAGATCTTCACCGTTTGCTTTGCTCTGGGGGCATTGTGGCCTGTGGTTCACGGATTTACTTTCATCCGAAGCCATGCTCTACTCTTTGCTACCTGGGCACTTGGTTGTGGATTAATGAGTATCTTTACTCTTCTTCCAGTAATCAAGGTTGAAAACATTGACACAATGTAAGTTCCCTGTTTTCCCTTTGCTTTACACCTCATTAACACTTTCACAGCACCTATGGTGGACTGGTCATGTTCCTGACTGGCATCTTATACCTCTTATTTGAAGATAACATCATTGGACACGGTAAACCTAACGCTATTGGACGTGTCGGGTCGCGCGTGATCATGGGTGTTCAGATTGGCATGGTTCTTCTTGCCTTGATTGTGACCAGATCAACTGTGTACTCATTGCAGGCTCGCCAGGGCGTTCCTTTTGGAAACATTGTCGTTGGATGGATTGTACTGGGTAAGTTCAGTTTAACGAAGACCCAGGAATACTTTCTCGGAGCAATACTAACTGCTTTTAGTGGCCTCTCTTTCCCTGCCATTCTTCCACCGTCTGTATCCAAACAGTCACTATCTACACCGTCTCATGGTCATTTTCCTGACCTTCTCACCAACCTTCATTATTCTCACCATCTCATGGGAGGGTCTGTTTTACTTTGTGTTCTGCATGACCATTGTAACATGGGTTCGTTTGGAACACGCAATCTACGTTCACTCAAAGACCAGTACTACCGTGCAACAAGCCGGTCATGGCCACGTCACAAAGCCTTGGACTGGCACTGCGATCGTTGATGGCGAAACCTTCCATTACCGTGCTCTTACGCTCTCCGATGTCCGTGTGGCACTCTTCTTTTTTTATCTCCTGCAGGCAGCCTTTTTCAGCACCGGAAATATGGCCTCCATCTCGACCTTCTCTCTCGATAGTGTCCGTCGTCTTGTCCCCGTCTTCAACCCCTTCAGCCAAGGCGCTCTCTTGATCCTTCAGATCCTCATTCCTTTCGCCATTATCAGTGCCAACTTGGGCATCCTCAACCGCCGACTGGAAGTTCCACCCAGCGCGCTCTTCATGGTCGTCATGGCTATCTCCGACATCATGACCCTCAACTTCTTCTTCATGGTCCGAGATGAGGGCTCCTGGCTCGATATTGGTATGACAATCAGCCACTTCTGCATTGCCAGTGCCTTGTGCACCTTCGTGGCAGGTCTAGAATTCCTCAGCGAACAATTTGTCAGCGGCGTGGACGTCAATACTAAAATAACAGCTGTTGAATCGGCTGTGGTCCAGGCCGTGGATGAACTGACCGAGTGTGGCCACGAGGGAGATCGCAAAGAGCCAGAGCCCAAGAAAGCCCAGTCTAATGGAAATGGGGCTAAGCAGGGCAGATCCAAGTCCAAGGGCAAGTCCAAGGGCAAAAAGACCGGGTTCTCATAGCCCACCTGACTAGTGGATGTGTATAATTTCAGGATTTCAGACCGGGGACCACCCTGCTCCCCGAAAACCCGCAGGAACACTACAGATTTAATCAGGCTTTTCAATGTATTCTACATGTACCACATGGCAATCCATCATCCTTGTCAATATCATGTCAGACACGAACCCAAACACGCACGTTTTAATATGATACAGATCTGATCATACCACGCCTTAGCAAGACTAAATTATATCCAATAGTAGAGTACTGTATACAGTATACCTTACCCTACAATTCATCCCCGAACCCACAATTCCTCCCCGGGAGTCCAGGACGATCGGACTTCCATTCTCCTCCGATCACCCCCTAGCACACAAAATAAATTAACAAGCACATCCGCTAAACAAAGATCTCGACCCGGCGAGCGGGCCCAGGAACATGGTGCCTGACCGAAACAGTGGGCTCTATACCCAAAACATCAAAAAGGCTTGCAGGAGGATCATCTCCTATGTGGAGCCATGTGCTGTGATTGGTTGGAGCTCCTTGTGCCGAGGTATCACAAGTTGGCTCCGAAATAAACTATAGAACATCAGGTCCTTGTTGGGGGATCTAGGAATGAGAGTTGATGAATATAGGGCATAGGATTGGACTAGATGTTCCCCGCGATTTTCCTTTGTGTTTTCGTCTCCCGAGTTCCGCCCCCGCAATATTCTCTGGCGGGTTTTGATGCTGGTGATCATGTTGGTTGGGTTGGGTCGAGGGTCTGAGGGCATCGCAGGATCGGTTACAGTAGCATGATCTACAGGGTAATATATTTTCTAAAACCATTTCTTTGCAACTGACCTGTCAGCCATACAGATGCACATTCACATGTGCATCTGCGTGATGATATTACAATATGAAAAGCAAGTCATACATGAGATCTGTGGATACAGCTGCCATTGAATCTATAGAGGTGACACACCACCAACTCCCCTCATGCCACCCACTAGCCCATATGTGAATATACACCTCCGGGTGCAAGGAACTTACAACTACCCTGTACAATGGGCAAAGTGTAGTGTAATGGAAAATCCCCGGCTCAATGCGTTCCATTGGGCGCATGCTGCGTGGCTTTAGGCTTCCACAGCCGTGGCTATTACAGCCGGTAACGTCATATCCCACAGACGAATTGCAAGTTGTCGGCAAGAAAACCATATACGGGACGATCTCCAGGAGGCTGAAGTCTAGGAACGGTGTGCAGGTGGGCCTACGCTCACCGTTGGAAACTACAGTAATTGACTTGTCTTGACCCCTATCCTTGCCGTTTTGGGTTTTGGCTCTTGCTGCTTTTTGTATATTTGAGCATGGGTTGTTGCTTATATAATACTTAGTTGACTGCCCAGGTACCTGGTGTAAGCTTCTTTTCACTTTCTTTAGACAAACAACAGGTTATAGACTACATGGTATGTCACATCATATCAGTTGATAGGGCAAATCTAAGGACAGTGTTGTTGAAGTCAACACTATGTAAGTTACGTATTGTAAGTGTACGTCTTTTGAAGCAAACGTCCACAATCCCCAACGATGCATTATATGTAACTATGCCTTGTGTCAAATTTAATAATGTAATTCAGCTTCAAGTTGATTCCCTCTTTGAACCCAGAGTCTTTCTGTGCCTTTTTTTTGGTTCGAGGAACAACAATAGGTGCAAGTGGCCTTCCTTGTAGGTCAGACTTGATGTATATTCGGCGTGGCAAGGCCTGAACTTGCCACGTCGAAACTCTTCCAACCATCGTTGTTTGTTATATATCAGAGTACAGTCTCGTCTCTTGCCTACTTTACAACCGAGCCTTGAACAGAATTCCTTAGATCTGGAGTACAGAATTAGGGCATCTTCAATGACACGTGACCAGACTGAGAAATACCAAAGCGGCATCACACGTGCCCAGATAAGCCCCAGAGAAATCGTCTCTCCACTCCCCTCCGTAGATCATGGCTGCCCTGTCACTGGCAGTCCAGTAGACTGACAATAGACAATTCTATCGGGTGTTTGGGGGCTACAAAGGTATATCTATATACATATAACGGTGTTAGTGTTACTGTAGGTTCACGATGCCTACAGTACACATTGAGCACGTACCTAGGTAAATACCTAGCTAACTGATACCAGAAATGACTACATTCTCCATGTTGAGAATCTGAATTTATAGTCCAATGCCCAAGAGGGGCCCCTATTTCAGTACTGTAGACAAGAATGGGAACCCGTTGAAACAACAGCCTATAAATTGTACCCAAATTGCTGACCAGGGGAAGATCTCCACCTGTGGCTATTGCCACAGCCCTCCCCCAGATAATCCCTCTCTCTCTCTCTCTCTTCTCTCCCCCCCCCCTCTGAGTTCCGGTACTTTTTCTTTTGATCGCGTGGCGTCCTCCTTGTTCTCGGTGGCTACCTTGTTGCCTCCAGCCTGAGTCTTATAGTGCCATTTCCCTCCCTCCGCCCTCATCCCCTCTTCACCTGCGACGCTCTCGATCCGAGACGCTGCATGGAGACTGCGCGATGAGTACCAACGAATTCCACACCGATCAACTTTCGGACAACTCGCATCCTAGCCCAGCTCCGAGTAACGCGGGTTCGACAGGAACGTCGGGTATTACTGTGCGCAATGGTCCGCAAGGCCAACCGCTGAGTTTTAGGAGGTGAGTCTTGGAAGATGCGATACTGGAACACACTGGAAACACTGGAGACACTGGAACCACTGGAGACCCTGGGAATACCGCAAATGGTGGAGATGGCGATACCGTCTTCGATATGTGCGCTAGATGCTATATTGGTTGATGCTGGGAGTCGCGGGGGTATGCGGGCGCAACCCAGTGAGGAACTGGGGTTTCCAGGGTCTCACACCCTCGTTGTGACAGGAAAAGCCATGCAAGGTTAGACATTTAAAGGGGCTTGCTGATTTATTTTATCTAATTTAGACAACGTGCATCACGCGCGTGCGAGGTACGTTCTGCATTCTCGAGGGGCGACGCGACTGGGGTGCCGAGGTTCTCTCGCACCTCGGCTCGGTTGCTTATCGGTGAACTGCATATACTCCCCACTATAGCTTCGAACTGGACAAGAAGGCTGACTGTGATTCTGTGTGAATTAGACTTGTCATGCTCGAAAGGTGTGTTTTCTCTCGGTCGCACCGTTGCACCGTTGCACCGTACCTCGTCGTCGCTAACCTCCCACCGCCAATAGGTCCGATGTGATGCTGCGAGTCTCGGAGTACCTTGCACCAATTGTGTCGCCTTCTCGATCGAATGCAAGATCCCTTCGCCGAAACGAAAGAAGAGTCAAGCCAAGAGCAAGGATGAATCGCGATATGGTGACAGTCCTCCGCAAACTGCGTCCTCGCTTGTCGACGCCGCCGTTGCTCAGTTCCGACCCACCGAGGAGCTAGCGCGCTCTGGGTCTGTGTCTGGATCTGTTTCAGCACCCCGTGAAACAGAGCGGAACTCTGATTCAGATGAGAAGGATGCATTTGGATACCCGAAAAACCGCATGGCCACTGAAGGCATGCCCTCAACCTCTCTTTCTGAGGCTGAGGCAGCCCAAGAAGCATCGGCCAACAATGCCTATGCTCAATTCATGAAGCCCAAGTTTGCTCGTGCTCCAATAAAAGATGCTGGTAGGGTGGCGTACCTAGGCGAGTCGTCAAACCTGTCTCTTCTGGTTCAAGATCGGCATGGCACAACGGATGTGGTGCACTACCCGCTCCCACCGAATATCAGGGGATCTCGTGCCCGCTTGACGGACCTGGACAATCTGGAAATTGATATTCTACACCAACGAGGTGCTTTCTTACTCCCTCCTAAACCGCTGTGCGATGAGTTGGTCGACGCTTACTTCAAGTGGGTGGCACCGGTGGTGCCAATTATCAACAAGAGTCGCTTCATGCGTCAATACCGGGACCCTAAGAACCCACCTTCGTTGCTACTCTTGCAGGCGATTCTGCTGGCAGGATCAAGAGTCTGCACTAACCAGCAACTGATGGACGCCAATGGATCGACAACCCCCGCTGCCATGACTTTTTACAAGCGTGCTAAGGCGCTGTATGATGCCAACTATGAGGATGACCGTGTCACGATTGTGCAAGCACTGGTACTCTTGGGTTGGTACTGGGAAGGACCAGAAGGTGAGTTATTTGATCCGTAATACCTCTTATTCTGGTCTCTAATAAGTTATAGATGTCACCAAAAACGTGTTCTATTGGACTCGAGTCGCGATGGTAGTAGCACAAGGCTCTGGGATGCACCGCAGTGTCGAAATGTCACAGCTCAGCAAACCAGACAAGAGACTTTGGAAGAGAATTTGGTGGACTCTTTTCACCCGCGATCGTTCCGTTGCTGTCGCATTGGGACGCCCAATCGGTATCAATACGGACGACTCGGATGTCGAGATGGTGACAGAAGACGATTTTATTGAAGATGAGCTCGATGCTCCCGCCGACATTCCTCCAGATCCCGTCCATGTCCACTTCTTCCTTCAATATGTCAAGTTGTGCGAGATTATGGGGCTGGTCCTTTCGCAACAATACTCTGTGGCTTCAAAGTCACGGCGCATGAATGCAATGGACCTTACTCACTCCGATATGGCCTTGGCTGATTGGCTGCAGAACTGCCCCAAGGAGGTTTGCTGGCAGCGGTCTAGACATCACTTCTGGGCTGCTCTTTTGCATTCAAACTACTAGTAGGTGATTTTTTTTCGGAATTCTTGACTGAAACTAACTATCATAGCACCACGCTCTGCCTTCTTCACAGAGCTCATATGCCACCTGCGTCCTCTGCGCCAAACAGCTATAGGGTTGAAGAAATGGCTTACCCATCGCGTACCATTGCTTTCCAGGCTGCGGGTATGATCACTTCGATTGTCGAGAACTTGCACGCCCATGGAGAGATTCGATTTGCCCCCGCATTCATCGTTTATAGTCTGTTCTCAGCCCTGATCATGCACGTGTATCAAATGCGTTCGTCGGTCCCTTCAATTGTGACGACCTGCCAGGAAAGAATCAATGCGTGTATGCTGGCACTTAAGGATGTATCAAAAGTCTGGCTAGTGGCCAAGATGGTCAACACGCTCTTCGAGTCTATTCTCGGAAATAAGATTCTAGAGGAGCGACTCCAAAAAGCTGCAGGTCGGAAACATCAGCGAAATCGACACGAAAATGCGGCCCCTTCAAAAAGGCCAGACCCGCCGAAGCGCAAATTCGACGACATGGACCTTGGACTGCCAAACGGTGGCCCTACACCTCCTGTCTCGTATGAGCGCTCTCGTCCTCAGACACCCGCCGTTACACCATCTCGAGAGCTGAACCAACCCCCTCTGGGTCACCAATCGCCAAACACACACCGCGGTCCCCACGACCCAATGACAGGCACAGGCAACTCTCGAGCCAACACTCGTCCAACAACACCCTTCAACGGTCAATTCTCTCTCCCTGCCACACCCCCAGATTTCTTCCTAGTAACGCGCGCCTCGCCCAACCTCTCCCCATCCCTGTGGGAAAACTTCCAACCAGACCAACTCTTCCCAGATGGCACAGCCTTCTTCCCAGAGCTGACTTCCCCACCCCCACCTGGCTCCGTCGATCCATCCCTTCACATCCCGTCCAACCTACAACCCCCAAATATGTCCCAACGTCCAGGTCCAATGATGAACAACCAACCCCAGCCCGTCCCAGGGGGCCGCAGTATGTCCACCTCCCAGGGTAGCCCACCCATGATGCCAGGTATCCCCGGCGCAGTCGGCATGCAGCCAACAGGCCCACAGCCACCAATGTTTGGAATGGAAGGCCAGCAAACATGGCCCCCAATGCAAGGCCTCGATGGAACAATGAGCGGTGCAGCAATGGACAACGCCAGCCAAGATGATAATTGGAGTAGCAGTTCACGCAGTGGACCTACTGCACCTACCACCCTAAATGTCGAGGACTGGTTCCAGTTCTTTGGTATTAACGGTGGCTTTGGAGATTTGGCTGCGTAATCATGTCTCACGCGAGGTGAGATCGAGCATTTACTTTTGGTTCTTTGGGATGTTGGCTTGGTATGGGCTTTAGCATCGAATTGGAAGTTTCCTTTCAATCCGCTTTGCACTTTCTAATCTATTTGCTATGCTATGTTATGCTGTGCTATGCTATGCTATGCTATGCTTTGTTGTTATATACTACCATGTCTACTCTACATCTATCGCTACCTCAATACTTGCAGCTTTCCATCCTGCTTTCTGTGTCATTTTCACAAAACGGGTACAAAGTGGTGGCGTTTTGGATGTGGGATTGGTTGATGTATTGGTTTATTTGGGGTTGATCTGTTTTTTGGATATCCGTGGAGAAGCTTGGTTTTTGCTTTCTTTTCTTTCTTGTCACTTGTTCTCTTGTCTTCTTATCTCTTTTGATTATGTTCTCTTTCTATATTGTTGTTTGGTTGGTTATTTAGTAAAACTTCATGGACTGGCATCCTGAGGGAGTTGGAGGAGTACATAGGAGTCGATATCTATTTCCAATTTTACTTGCTTTTCTTCAAGATTCAATCAGACCATGACTCCAGCACGGTAGGGCACACATCGCCTTCTCCAACCACGATACCCTAACCCCTCGACCCTAATTCCTCAACAGGCAGAGAATGCCTGACTCATCCCCAGACTGCCTAATTGGGCCTAGTGAATGACGAAATCGCAATCCTGGCCTTTCGACCAATCACAACGCGGCTTAAGAGTCAGTTCGTCCGGGGGAGACGAGGACGTGAATGTGTGTGACTTCTTTTTCTTTTCTTCTTTATTTTGTATTCATTCAATCTATTACTTTCCACTCCTCATCTTGCATTTTGAGGATCATTGTGCATTAACGTATCCTCCCATATTCCCCTCTATTTGCTCACTCTTTCTGCCCCGCTCTGCAGCGATGTCGGCCTCAGGATCTGGAGTTCCCAATGCTGCGTCGGGGTCGACCAGCACTGGAAAGAAGGCTTTCCCCTCTGTTGATCTCGAGGGTAATGACCTCCCACCTTCGCCAGCTCCCTCGAGCCCTCACCCTGGCCGCCGCTACAACATTGCCACCGAATTGGTCTTCACCGAGGGCAGTGACCAATACAATGCCAGCAGCGTGCCGATCTACCAGGTACAACTTCCCCCCAACAATTCAATTGCAACTTTGACGGGGATACTGACTATGATTGACTTGTAGAGTGCCACTTTCAAGCAAACCTCTGGCGGCGGTGGTGGAGAGTATGACTACACACGGTCTGGTAACCCGACCCGCACACACCTCGAGCGACACTTGGCCAAGATCATGTCGGCACAGCGTGCTCTCGTGGTCTCTTCCGGCATGGCTGCTTTGGACGTGATTACCCGACTCCTCCGTCCTGGTGATGAGGTTGTCACTGGTGATGACCTCTACGGCGGTACCAACCGACTGCTCAAGTTCCTCTCCACCAACGGCGGCATCATTGTGCACCACGTCGACACCACAGACGTCGAGAAGGTCCAAGCAGTGCTGAGCGAGAAGACTACCATGGTGCTGCTCGAGACCCCCACCAACCCCCTTATTAAGATCGTTGACATTGGTCGCATTGCTACCGCTGCCCACGAAGCCAACCCCAGCTGCATTGTCTCAGTGGATAACACCATGATGTCTCCGCTCCTGCTCAACCCCTTGGACTTTGGCGCCGATGTCGTTTACGAGAGTGGTACCAAGTACCTGTCGGGTCACCACGACCTGATGGCCGGTGTTATTGCGGTCAACGACCTGACTCTCGGTGAACGTCTTTACTTCCCTATCAACGCCTCGGGATGCGGTCTTTCACCCTTCGACTCTTGGCTTTTGCTGCGTGGTGTGAAGACCCTGAAGGTCCGCATGGACCAGCAACAGAGCAATGCCCAGCGGATTGCCGAGTTCCTTGAGTCGAACGGCTTCAAGGTCCGCTACCCCGGTCTGCGGTCGCACCCGCAGTACGAACTTCACAACTCCATGGCGCGGGGCGCTGGTGCTGTGCTCTCGTTTGAGACCGGTGACACTGTTGTCAGTGAGCGCATTGTCGAGAGCGCTAAGATTTGGGCCATCAGTGTCAGCTTTGGCTGTGTCAACAGCTTGATCAGTATGCCCTGCCGTATGAGCCATGCCAGCATTGACGCGAAGACGCGGGCGGAACGCGCCATGCCAGAGGACTTGATTCGTCTCTGTGTAGGAATCGAGGATGTGGACGACTTGATTGACGATTTGCGCCGAGCGGTATGATTCCCGTCAATCCCCCCATTTTGGTATTTTGAAAACTAATTCTCTTTCACAGCTGGTGCAAGCTGGTGCTGTCAATGTGACCATGGAGGGTATTGAGGCTCGCTAGGGGTAGATATCCGGCGTTGGGGATTTAAAACATGTTAGCTATAATGAACAAACTGGACTTGCATTTATCCGGATAGTAGAGAGATATCGGGCCGGCATCGGAGACCCGGCGCCGGGTCGCGCCCGGGTCATTCTCGTCCGAAGCTGGGGTCGCGATAGTCCTCATCTTGCATTTGTAATTCTTTTTCCCTCATTTGTTCTTCCCCAGGTTTTGTCTGTAAACTACCTACGCATGGTGATGCACCGTTTCTCGCATCCCTGTACCCTATCATAATCCCCACGAGAGTTTGACTCGGAATGCAACCGCAGATCCATTCAATATGTCGACAATAAAACAGAGCTCCGTCGCGCGCTCTGCGCCCTCAACATGGAACACGAAAGACCTGGGCAAGCGACTTGGTGTTGATGTCGCCAGTGCAGCAACCGCGGGCGCGCTGACCTGTCCGTTGATCACAATCATTGACCGGTAAGCTTTGGAGCTACAGATGAACTTTTCAAGACGCTAACACGCCGAGTAGTGCAATCATCGAAAAAGCATCCAAAGGCTTTCCTATCCAGCGAACAATAACAAATTGCCTCAAATCAATGATCTCCAAACCATCCGGCTTCTTCTTCAGCACTCCATTCCTCCTCATCTATACCCTATACAGCTCGACCTACCTCACAGCAAATGCCATCGACACACTCACCTCCACGATGCGCAACCAGTCCTATGACACCGTAACCCCAGGCCCTCTCAAATTCATCGCAACAACAACTGTCAACATGGCAATTTGCGTCTATAAAGACGCGCGCTTCGCCAAGATCTTCGGCGCCTCTCCTCCCCCGTCCCAACCAGCTCCCACAGCAGGCCAACCCCAACAAGCACCCTCTACTCTACGCGCCCCAGTTCCATCCCCAGCACAGACACAGGCACCACCATCAACATGCCATCCCCATGCAGCCCCGGGCTCGACATTAACAATCCCCAAATCCTCCTACACTCTCTTCTGCCTCCGAGACAGCATAACAATCTTCGCATCCTTCAACATCCCCGCCCTGATCGCCCCTTCAATACCAGACTTCGTCGCCTCAACCCCCGGCATGAAATCAACCCTTGCGCAGTTCTCATGTCCGGCCCTCATGCAGTTTGCCAGTACACCCATGCACCTTCTCGGATTGGATCTGTTCAACCGCCAGCCTGTTGGCGGTCTCCCCTGGACGGATCGTATGGCGCGTATTCGCCGCGACTATGTCCCAGCCTGCTTTGCGCGCATGGGCAAAATTGTCCCTGCTTATGGTATTGGTGGTGTGGTGAATGTCAGATTGAGGGATTGTTTGATGAAGCGTGTTGAGAACCGCGCTTAATTGAATACTTGCTCTTAATATTTTACAGCGCTGCCTCTCTAATAGAAAAGGCATGGATATCGCTGTTCTTGTCGGATCGGACTTATGACCTGATGATGTTTTCATTTCTCATTTCTCTGGATCTGCTTTTATTTGTGGCTCGGTTCATCCCCGATGCTGCCCTCTCTCTCTCTCTCTCCACTCCGACTTACATTCATATTCATCTTCATCTGGGTATCATTTTGGAGTTTTTGTTTCTTGAATTTGCACATTCGGCCTTACTCACGCCTGAGACGAACATTGTTTTATCATTTGGCCGTGGTGTTGATTGATTTTTCGGGTACATTTTCTCCCTTGTGTTATTATTCTTGCTTTGTTGTTATCCTTGCTTTGCTAGACTTTGTGACACATATTGGATACAGTACAGACTCGGACTTTAGACTTGTTAGATTGTCTTTGTCGTTAATATCAGGCATTGATTTTCTAGATGACAGGGTTTTTGTCTTCTTTTGTTAACATAGTCGGTAGCTGCAAGTGCAGAGATACACTAATGCAATGAGCTCACAGCCACACTATTAATGGCGTTGATATGCAAGGCTAGCCAGTAGTATCCTGCAGGTCGATAAAGACCGGAAGTGTGAATACTGGGGCCATGTTGCATGTCCAAAGGTCCGTCTCGAAGTGTACTTATGTAGAGCAGGTATGTCGAGCACTGTGATATGATTTTTGGAAGGCGTTGGGACCTTGCCTTTATTGGATCAGAATCATACTTGTAGGAAATCAAAAGATCCAAGAATGCCAGAGTTTGAGGCTGAAATTGAGTTGCATTAGTTTCTTGGCATTTATACTGGCCCAGTCAGGTCTGGGAGCCAACGTTTGAAAAGCATTACTCGGAAGAGCAAGTGAGATGGATAGAGCCAGCGGTGTGTCTACTTGATTCTAGAGGTCATGCCCTTGTATGTGCCTGTTTGAACCAGAAGGGAAGCAAATCAAGCAACGACTACTTTCAACTCGGAGCTACGTGGGGATATACGTTGGTGCTCTCATCCAGCCATGGGTTGGTAGGCTGGCTGGCAGAAGTACGCATGTCTCAGAGCCCTCGATGATACAGGTCTGTGTGAAAATTGATTAGATCTCAAAGATCAAGGATCTGTGTTGCTTGGGTGGCCTATTTGGGATTACGTGGCACTTTGGTGACGTTTTCCAATTATTGGGAGGGAGCAAAATTGTCAGCTGACATGAAAACGTCTCTCAGAGGTTCGACGACGCGCCTGAGAGATTGATAAGGATTTAAGGTTTGGGACTGGATGGCTGTCACATGTCCACATGAACCCTCAGAGCTACAGTGCCCAGGCTGTCAGCTGTCATATGATTCCTTGTGAACACAAATCAGGCAACCTTGCTCCATCATCTGATTCAGCTGATCTGCAGATTCCCAGGTCACTTTTCGGCTGGACTTGTGGACTACCATGAGATACAGCACGTTCTTCTGCAGAAGCTTCTTGATCCTACGCACACAGATCTCCGGCTTGCCCTCCTGGAATTTCTCAGAAGGGTGGCCTCGCACAAGATTTCGAATACCCACACGATGTTCTTTGAGGCCGGCAATTATTCGATCCCCGGCACAGGACCATGGCCACGAATTTGTGATAACGTATAAATAAATGTGTTTTATTTCGATGTTCTCTTGCTCGTAACTTCAACATATATACCCATCTTCGCGATGTCAAGCCCTAAAAAGCCCAAGAAAATAGTGTCAGTTATCAGTGGGCAATGAGGAGTGGCTTATATCCCAGAGCCCCAGATACTTATTTGGCGAGTCCTCGGGGATACGAACAAGCGGCTGGCCGAGGTTGAATGGGGCCAAAGTCAGGTCAAGCTTTCTGTGTTGCAGACTTGGCTTGTCCATTCGCTTGAAATTGGAGAAATTATTTCCACTCACAACCGAGTCATTGGTGTAACTCGTGGTGAGGAGCAACGAAGCTGAGCGGCGGAATCGCTCCAACGTGGGAAAGATCATATCATTCGGCAAATGAATAAAAACATCACGACAGATGACCAGATCCGCCGGTCTTGATTCATTTGCTGTGATATCGAGAACATCAAGGTGATAGCCTCGTTGTTGCAGTTCGGCCCAGTTCGCTCGCTCGTGTACATCGTAGCCCACATAGTCAATCCCTTCAAGATCTATCAGGCTCATCCATGCAAGGTCCCCACAGCCAGCATCGTTGAGTTTTCCCACATGATATGTCTTGAGTAGTTCAGCAAGTTTTGTCCGAACTAAGCGGGTATGCTGCTCGCTGGAGCCCCAGCCGCAAACTGTGTCGGAAGCCTGGTCAGGCCATCCCTGTGCAAATATCTCTGTGCTGCGCAGTTCTTCTCCGCGCTTAAATATTTGCGGGTTTGAAACATCATGGCGCTTGTCATCATCCTGAACCGCATGATTGGGGTCCTGGGCTTGCGAATTTGGAACAAAACAGTTCCAGCTGTCGGGCTGACTGGTCAGATCCCATGATGATGACAACCCTAGCAGTTGCGAGTCTAGTATGACTGGCTTTCCTAGTCCCAGATGTGTGACTTGCTCGGACCAGTTCTGTTGATGACAAGAATAATCAGCGGTCACTATTCCTGTGGGCCAAGCCGTGGCTATTGAGTCCCAGGTCAATTGATCATATTGAACAGCGGGAAAGACCTCATTGGCAAAAGAACTCATTGTCATCACGATTTCTGCTTATTGGTCTCTTAGAGCCAGAAATTGAAGGCTGAGATCTTATACTCAGATATTTCGAAATACAAATTATTGTGCTAGGATGGAAAGCATGAATAGAAAGGCTTGCAGGCCAATGTGACTTGTAGCATCTTGTGTATACTGACGGTACCGGAAATCCACGGATGCCTAGATCTACAATCGACAAACTCACAATTTCGGTTTAAAAATTTAAGAACAAATCAGAGTTATGGATCACATAGAATGGTATTGTGGTTCCGAAAACTCTCGGGCGTGTCCGTGATGTCGCCGTTTCCGTCGAGAGCCATAGTTAATCGCGGCAATCTGGCCCTCATACCCATGGTACATTTATTGTGCCCGTTCCTTGGTATGTATCATGGACAAAGATATTGGTGAGAACTCGTATAGCACAAACCTTCGCCGCAATAGTCAAATATGTAAAAGCTAGCACAGGTCTGCAAAGAATCTAGACAAAGCACTTGTATCAAGACATTTCGTCGCTGGAAAATTCTCAGGCAGTCATTGAGGCGCATAAGGATGTGTATACTTGAACGGATGGCCCTCAGTGTTACTAAACATCAAAATTCCGGTCGTTGGTCAGAATACTGTGCTCCAGTGGTGATATGAAAGACGTTATACTTACAAGACATACTCATCCAGACTGATGAACTTTGGATCCGAGAAAATGAGATAAAAGTATTTCAATGTCTCAGCAAGCCAGAAACTTTCCATGACATCCAGCCTGGCCGTCCGTATGTCCCGGGTATCATTAAGCGCAGCATATCCGTGTTTGACTTTAGTATGCTGCTCAATGTTTTGGAACATTCGCCATGCTGCGTCTTGTAGTGACCTCTCACCGGTAATTCTGTACATGATAAACATAGACTCTATTGCTTCAGGCCTGTGTGAAAGGTCAATATATTACTTTCTTGATCAACTCAGGGATTCAAACGTACCTGAGACGATATGCTGGAGTGGCGACTTCCAGTATTGGCGGCTGTAGATCATGCTGTTGAATAATCAGTCTTGTAGCCTCACGTATAGTGGTTGGCATCTGTTCTTCATCTGGCCATCCAACAATATCACGGAACCACTTTCCTTCATCCCATTCACAATCATCTGAAGTTCTGCAGCCACTGATGAACAAAGTCTCAGGCATAATTCCGGTAGGCATGAGATTGTATGTCCAAATACACCCATTCACCAATTTTTGCGCAATAGGCAAGTCGTCTGGGCGAGATAATGCCCGGGAGCCAAGTGCTATCATGCCTCCGAGGAAGCACTTCAGATGCTCGGTTTGATATTCAAATGTTTCTCGACCGGACTCTGGATCGAATCGGATGTTTCCAGCGAACAGAACGTCGTCCTTGTCTTTATTCATGCCATGGAAGAGCAAATGTTTCTTGATCCCTGTTATTGCAGAGATATACATATCACGATATTGATCGGATTGTGCCCCGAGGAGTAGATACTCTTTGACAAGATATTCGTAGGTAGAGTCGGCCATGCCCCCTACCGTGAAGTAGTTGTCTGAGAACTGTAGTGTATGGGCATCAAATGAAAGCGGCCACATACCCGGCAATCTCGTCTGATTCTGAGATTTCTGTAGATTATCTGTAATTCGCTGAATGGCGTCGAAATATTTGGGATCATTGGTAATCTGCGAAAGGCGGGTGAACTCTAGGCTCAATGAGCCTATCTCGGCCAGGAGAGTATTCGCACTGGGGTATGTTGAAGACTCAAACATGCTCCTATAAAGTCGTTAATCAGTTTCAACTCATGTTTCAATGATACAGGGATCTCGGTTTTTGAATCTGGAAAGATACTCATCACTTACCTGATCCATTGCCATCGCATCTGTGGCATCCGGTTTGGGGTATCAAACGCCCTATACAAAGTTTCACCCAGCTGCTGGGCTTTCTTCAAGAGAATAGGATATCTCCCTTTGGTGAGGTCATATGCACTGATTAAACCTCCAAGGTGTCGGATTGTTGTCTCAAAGACATGAACAGTTGCTAATTTGGGAATAGAGAAATCGATGTCATGGACGGCCTCAACTGCAGCTTCAAACTCTTCATCCAGTCCCATTATGAGTAGTGTATCCAAGGAGTCAATCAAAGTTGCTGCCCAGCCCCCAAGGGGATTTCGATGGCCGCCACTAATTGGCAATACTTCATCCCGCAACCAGGCGTGGGTTTTGTACCCATTCCAACTATGCTTCAACGCATTTCTGACTGTTTCTTGCCTTTTAATTCTTTCAATTCGATCGAATTGAGACTCGGAATTGAATTGATGTTGGATTTTTGGAATGGATCTTGACTTGCCCCTTGGAAGAGAGATCAAGTGGACTGGACAAGTTTGGGCAAATCGGATAGTATTTTCGCTTGCTTGCGACACAGTTGTGTACTTTTGTGGAGTTTCGTGAGTTATCTTTGAGCTCAATCCTGAGCCCAGAACAGTGAAATTGATCAGGAGAAAAAGGAGCAAGGCTGATGACATGTAGCCCTTTCGAATGAAAGCCATTGAATGCAATTCGATCGGAGTTAAGTCCTGTAGTGAAGAGCCATGAGGACTTAACAAGACCTCATCGAATTTCAATCCTCATATAGGCCTTTGAAAATTACTGAACGAGTATCAAGGTACAATGGATACTGAAGACCTACGCCGGATTGTCGATAACATACCATGGATGCTCTTCGTTTCGCCACATGTATTAAATTATACTGTTTTTGCCTACCATGGATTGAATGACCTTTGTTCAGTCTATTAATTTATTCGGATTTTCACGCGAAGTAGTCATTTCCGGCGTCCCGAATTCACTGGATTTCAACTCAAGATCAGGTCTAATTCATCTTGCGCCGAGTCCGACGCGCCGAAACTCGCAACAATAAAAGTAAAACCAAGGTACTTCCAACGAAGAAAATTGGGATAAGAGAAAGACGTGGAATCATGTAATCCACAGGCGGAAATGCTCCATTGGCCGCATGATAATCAACGGGCTTTGCTAATTCAAATGCTGAAGGCAGAGGCCACAGATCTTCGAGTAACTGCCTCAAAGCATGCCTCACTTCGATCGATGGATTCTTCATGTCGTCATTAAGACAAATAAATTTCGTTGGTCGATCTCTTGTCGATTGAAGCTGGTCCATGGTAGTCTGGTAGTCATCTCCCAACATGTGAAAGGTCACATCGGTTCCCATCTTCAGTTGATATCCTTTCTTCTGCTCGAAAGTTCGAACATGATCTCCTTCAATGCTGCAATTCCGATTGATATCAATCTCTTGGTCCAAAAATCCGTCCGTAGAAGACAAAAATTCGTGACGATTGACTAAATAATTGAAGTAGGCAAATCCAACCTGTAGGTCCTGGGGGTGCCGAAATCGGTGTGCTGAGTTGACCTGGAACTCTTCTGGGAACAGAATCTTGAGCTCAGTAAATATTTGCTTGTTCATCATATGAGGCATGTGAGATGGGACCCGACGGAGGTGCTTTGAAGATGGAAATCGTCCATTGAATGCTTTTATCACTGATCGGATTGCATTGGCAACCAAGTCATTGGCACTGGGGCATTGCGAGAATGCATCCAGCAGCGCAGCGAGTTTAATTCGGCCATTAGTGTTCAGCTCTGGCATCCCTTCTGTTGCGTTCGATGCCTTGACCTTCGAGATAATATCGAAGTGGTCATGTTGAAGAGAGAAATTCTGGCCCACAACTTGGGCAAGTAAGAACTGTGGGATCTCTGCTCCTTCTTTATCGCATGCTGTTGAGGCATGCACTTGTCCAATGAGCTGTTCAAACTCTGCCGCGTCCTGCCCATCATCTACAAACCCGTGGTCCTCAAGCTCGCGCTCCCCTGAAACTTGGGGCTTGGAAGCAGACTTTTCGGCTTGAGCCCGATACTCTGGATATGCATCAAACCCCAATGGAACTGGATGCGAGAGGTGGATGGTCTGTACACCGGTTGATGCAATAAAATCTTCTGGCCACACCGGCGCAGCAAGGAAAACATCGTCATTGAAGTAGAGTAACGTGTCACTGAGACCAGTAATTCTATCCAGGTTGCTCTCAATAGCAGAAGAAGAAAACACCGGCAAGTTTGAGCAATTCTCGAATATCTCCGAGTGTTTGACAATTGTAAGACGGGGATTGTCTGGCTTTAACCAAGAAGGCACCTGACCATTCGTTACGACGTATATACGACGAATCCAAGGTGCGTATACCTCCAACGAGCGGATTGAATATCGGAGCTCGTCGTTGTCTCGGAAATGATTCTCGGCGGAAGCACCGTCCTCATCATTAGAGCCATTGTTTTGGTTTCTGGGGATATCTCTGGCAGGTGTATCGGTATCCTGGATCCAGCGCTGATACCAAAAGTCCCTATCGCTCTTCCATTTGGGATCTGAGCCATTGACCCAGGTATAAACCGCATCGATAGGTCCAAGCCCCATGTTTTGTGTAAAGTCGTTTCGGTCAGTGCTATATGCGTCGACAACAAGGGTTTCTTTGCTTAAAATACCGGTCATGATGAGGATCAAGGAGAAAATGGCCATGTAAGGCCGAGGTCTGAAGATGAAAGGCATTTTCATGAGCCACCGCATTGATTCCAAGCAAATTCAATCACAGGCAGCTTCGGAATTTTCAGAACCTGGGATGTATCAAGACCAACCTCCTTTAGCTAGTCGATCACTGGTCTCGACCATATCCTACATGTCTGCAGAACCAAGAGTATATTCACAAGTTGGAGAGAAACTCAAAAATGTGAATCAAAAAGAAAAGGTGCTGTGTGAGCTAAGCTTCATCCGGTGAAAATCAAGAAGAAGCCTTTCCAAAGTTGAACGTCTCCAGATCTCGCCCAACCACGGGTCGGACACAAGCTTAGACCCAACTCTATCCAAAGCCAAATGAACCCGTGATCTAAGTTGTAGGATCCTGAAAAGGGACTCTAGTGGTTGAAAGGAGAGGCAATTTCCAATAGCGGCATGTTGCCTCTAGATTTAGAACGTCTTAATTTTGTCAAGATGGAATATAATTGTTACTTCCTCTACTATTCTGCTGCCAACAATTGACCTTCATCTTTTTTCTATTACAAATATACGTAGATCGGTAACTAAATCCATAATTAAGATTTGTCTTACTTGCTAACTGTCGAATTTCTTGTTTTTTGACCTTCGATAGCAAAAGTTACAATACGAGAAGCGAGTTGATCCTAGGCTGCTTTCAGCTGCAGTCCGTGGTTCTAATAACAAATAAACCACCCATGATGAAAGGGTTATTCCTATTCAGTCAATGCCTTGTTGTTTTAGATAATCCACCCATTACTCGCTCATATTCTAGACCTGGGTCTGGCTTATTTAAAGCCATTAGCGAGTCTTTGGATGGGCTGGTTGTTGCTATATCATATTTATCCAATCCACGAAACAACAAGCTAAACTATCATCACTCATCACATACTTACACTTACAAAGATGAAATTGAATATTCTTCTTGGTCTCTTCGCATTCTCGAGTTTCGTCACAGCTGATGATTTCTCCGAGGAATCTTTTGAAGACAGTGACTTGGACGCAAGAGCTAGTCCAGTTTGCTATTGTTGTTCCGGATTTGTTGTGCAGAAGACTGCTGGAACTCGGTGCGGCGCCGGTAAGCGACTAAGCAATCAGGCATTCAAGATCTTTGACTAACAGGCCAACTAGAATACGGTTACTGTGACAGCAGGGATATACTCTGTTGCAGCAAAGGTGCCATTGTTTGGCCTCCGATCGTGAGTATTGCAGTTCATTTTCTTCATGGGCCTTTCTCTGCGCGCCGAGAAGCTAACCAGAAGATTGTGCAGAGTTCTCAGAACAGTAGTGCCGTTGTCTGTAAAGGCTAAGTGACATAAGCCATTGCCAACACCAACTCTGGCGGCCAATGTAAGACGAAAGGAGGTGGTTTGTTGCCAAATGCCTCTCTGATCTAAAAGTACTTTTGAATTATTCAGACACTTTGCGTTGCTCCCATTTTTTCTCGGCTTTTTTTAATGAGCTGCTAGTTCTTGGTCTCCTTTTGGTACTCTTTTCATTGGTATCCTATAGTAATATTCTATGGCAATAACAGTCTACGCTATATTGTCTCGAGCGTGCGGGCCATGTAAGCGTAATTTCATTGAAATACAGCATAAGAGAAAGCCAAGTATGCCAGCTAGTTCACTTCAAATTATTCTTTGCTAAAGCCACAATCTCAGAGGCTGATTGGACTTCAAGCAAGGCCATTAAAGCTGACACTCAAAGGGTATATGCAGATCCGTGATCTCGGGTTGATAAGAAGCAAAAAAGTCCACTGAGCTGAAATCAGACCATGATAGACCTGCCAACACATTATCGATATCAAAATCTTCCAGGGGGTCGTCTTGCAACGCTGTGTCACACTCTAACTGGGGGATTTCCATAGTGTGCTCAGTGGATACAGAAGCACTTGCTGGAAATCCATGCAAAGGGAGAGCTTGTAGAATGTCCCATCTTTGCGCGAGATCTTGAAGAGAGAGAACGAATCTTCTTGCTTTGATCCATCTTTTCTGCATTGACATGAGAGCATTGAAACATGCGCGAAAATGTCTGATAGACTGACTCCTTAGAGTCGGCTGTGTCGAGGTTGCATTTAAAAGTGCAGTGACAGCGGCTGTCATGATACTATGTGCGACGTACGGCGGTGCTTTGTCTAATTTTGCCACCTTTTCGTAATCGCGAATCAGATTGACCATAGAAACTGAAGCAATAGACATGGCTCGCATGGAGAGACGAAATGTACTGCTCTCGGCGGGGTGCTTGAGAAAAGGCCGATGTATTAGGATTTGTGACATGTTGTATGTCATGTGAAGAATGATGACTGCAGGTGATGAGTTTTTCGAATTCAGGTGAACGCGCTCGGCCATATCTCGTTGGAATGAAAGTAGTTGCTCGCGGGCGCTTAGAAGAAGTCGATGTTGTTCTGAGTGATTCAAGCCATCAAAGTCGAACGAGTAGCTATATTCGCGTTAATTTTGAAAAGCGAAACTTTTTGGAGGAATTCTTCATTACATCTTATCCATCCACTGGTCATGAAGAAACCATAGTCGGCAATGTGAATCAAAAGCCAGGTCACATACACTCGGCGTGGCAATAGTTTGAATAAATGAAGGAGCTCGAACCCTTGCCCACGGTAGCATGCAATTTCGCCCGAGGAGTGATGTTGCAATTCTGTTTTCCTGTATCAGCTTTCGCGGAGGAGGTGATATTCTACAGGTTCGTATCTGACCTATCAATCAGTAGCGCGGACCAAGCAGCACCTATTCCAGCGCGGTCATCTCCATTCGTAGATTTCTGTAGCGCATGAAGAGAGCTGACTGGAAGCCCAAGATGTAGCGTCATGCTAGCGCACATGGCTAGGAAATGTGAGATACTGCCTGTGAGTTTGTGGGGGGAACGCACAGTTGTACATCCAGGCCATGTTATAGTTCTCCAAGCCAATCTCGCGCCAGCACATGATAGCCAGGACCTGAACGAGGGGTATACTGGGGTACTGTCGGCAAGCTTGCAACAGAACAGACTCAACTGCAGAAGCTGCATCATTTCCAAAGGCACGGCTTTCTTCATCGTCGGCTAAGATTGATGCGGCAGCCAATGCTGCGTGCTTGACCAAGCTCAACTCTGGATTCATATCCTCGCCTCTTAATTGATCGAGTGCGCTTTTATCCACGAATGAATGGAATGGATTGATGAATTCAACAAACAAGTTGATAAGATGATTTGTGATCCGCGCTTCATGGTTGCCTGGATCTGTCCGCACAACGGGACGTTTCAGGGTCGACGTTTCGATGTCAATGTTATTCCCAGGCGGGCTCCTTTGTGCTATAGGAAAACAAGAGTTCCCAGATGGACCGATGAAAGCCGGTTCCCCGGAGTCTTCAATACTCATGCGCCATATCATGGAACTCACGTCCTCGATAGGTGTAGGTTTCTTCGAACCATTTGAAAAAGTGGAAGAGGCTTCGTCTTGCTCCGTAGTAGAATCAAAGCGTGGTTCCTTGTGATGCTGCCCCGGATTTTCATTTTGCGAGTTCAGATCTTTAAGACGGCTCAACTCACTATTCAGGAGCTCAATTTGATCCTCTAGACCAATGACATATCCAGGATCCCGTTTTTGCCTGCTCATCAATCAGCTCTGTACAGAATGGAATGTTAGTTGCATAGACCTCGGTGGTTTACTCAAATTATAACGGCACTCAACATGTCGACTTCGGCAACCATGGCATACAGGCTGAATACCATCGCACTATGAGATTCGGGACAGTTAGGAAAGGATGCTAGGATCATTTGTCAGATCTCACCTTGCGCTTACGCTTGCGACACATTTCACAAGCCACACGAACTCTGGTGGATGAATCTAGTGCCTCCATATTAAATGGAGGAGAGCGGCTGGATCGGCTTGTTTAGAGGCAGTAGTCGCGCCTAATCAGGGTTAGTTCAAAATATGGAGTTCCTAGACCGGCACCATGAGCCAATGTCAGTAAATTCTTCCAAAGTGAAGTCAAGAAGTTGATCGAAAGCGTGATATCAGACCAGAGATCCGGCCTTATCGCTTATCGAGGCGGCTCTTGCAGTTCCGCCGGCCAACTCGTGGCTCAACCAATCAGAAAGCAGAGATCTACCAGCCCCAAAGAGTATACCGTTATGAGGGCGCAGACCCCCCTTTTGGAACACTTTTCTAGTATAGCACTACATACTTGCATGTAGATTCCATTTTCAGGAGATCAACGAGTGTCTGCCGGCTCACTTACCGGGGAATCAGCGGAGAGCGAGCTGCCGCCGTGATAAGGCGGGCAACAATGGGGCATACTTAATCCACAGTACATGCACGTTAAATATGAACCTTGTCAAAGGAAAATTCTAGTATCCCAGAGCTGCTTGCAATATGTCGATACCATGTGGTTCACGAGTTCGTGTTGCTGTCACCCAAGCTGAACCTGTCTGGCTCGACCTCGACGCCACGGTAGACAAAACATGCACTCTCATTGCAGAAGCTGCTGCAAACGGGGCACAACTAGTGACGTTCCCTGAGTGTTGGATACCTGGCTATCCCGCTTGGATTTGGTATGTTTGCTTTTTCTCTCTACAGAAAATTGAAACCGCCCCCGTGGTGGTGGATATCTCAGGTCTCCTGCTAACAGAGTCTATAAAACTTTACAGGACACGACCGGTAGATCAGCGCTTGACTACCTTATACATGCAGAATTCCTTAAAGCTCGACTCTCCGCAAATGACTCAGATTATAAATTGTGCAGAGAAGAACAGAATCACAGTCTGCATCAGCTTTTCTCTGAACATCCATCATTCCCTATACATCGCACAGGCCACTATTGGCAGCAATGGGAAAATCCTCAATATCCGAACAAAAATGAAGGCAACACATATGGAACGCACTATTTTCGGGGATTCCTTAGGCGACTGTCTTGACAGCGTGGTGGAAACACCCATCGGTCGTGTCGGTGCCTTGTCATGCTGGGAGCACGTTCAGCCACTTCTCAAGTACAACACGTACTTGCAGCGTGAGCAGATCCATGTTGCAGCTTGGCCGCCAGTATTCGGTCATGACGATGGGGATGGCCTCTACTCCATGTCATCTGAAGGTACAGTATCCCTGCAACTCATTTTGGTTCGTGCGATGGCGTAAATAAGCTAATTCGTGTGTTTCTCTGTGGTTTCAGGCACCGACGTCCTCGCCCGAACATATGCAATCGAGTCTCAGTCTTTCGTTCTTCATACAACGGCCGTATTAAGCCAGTCAGGTATTGAGCGTATGAATACCAAAACAGGAGCGATAATGAACACAGCAGGGGGTGGATTTTCGGCAGTTTACGGCCCTGATGGACGCAGGATCTCCACACCTCTCCCCGAGACTGAAGAGGGTATTGTCTATGCAGACCTGGACCTGGATGATATTTGCAAATCCCGATCATTCCTTGATGTCTGTGGCCACTATAGTCGTCCTGATCTATTGTGGCTGGGTATCGAAGGTGGCGTTAAGAATCATGCCAATATCCGAGGGAACGCAGGCTACCAGTCGCAGTCAGGCCTTTCAAGGGATTTAGAATCAGGCTTGACCATCCCCAAGGCTACTGGGGCCATGGAAAGTACGACTGGAGCGGGACATAGTGATTAAATTATACTTGTTTCCTTGTCAAATCCATCATTCTAAGCCAAATACAAAGCCAAATACAAAACCAAACCAAACTGTTAGTATAGAAGTCTCCCATCACATTTCCAATTTTTCATAGAAGCACAAATCATTTCGCAGAAAGTCTGAATTATGAAAAAGGTGGGCTTCCAATTCAATCCCACGCAATCCTATCAAAATCCATTTCCAGCCTTTCCATTGCCTGTTCGATGAAACAGATTATGCTGTTCCGACCAAGCACGAATTCTTTTTCCAAAGACATAGATTGGGATATGCGTCAGCATCACGCTTACAGTAAGAGCCCCGAAAGTGGAAAAGAATCTCAACGGTCCGACATGAACGAGGTATTGATTGAAGACAAAAGACAGACCGAACGCAAAGGCACTTTTGATGACCTATAATCATGTTAGAACCCTCGAGAGCCACCCTTACTATAAATCGATAGCTTGATAGCTTACCATTGCAAGTCCAAAAGCATCCCCCGCTCTCTCTGCGGCGACATCGTTGGTGTATGCTACAATAACAGTACAGCCCATACCGACGGCGAAGTTCAAGATTGCCAGAAATACTCCGCAAACAACTGGTGAAAGGCCCTGTTCAATAGCAGCACCCAAGCCAAACGTGCCAACAGCCATTGTCACAGTAGCTAGGGGCATAACCCAGAGGCGGAATTCCGGTTCGTATACACCCAAGTTGCGTTTGGACAGAGCTCTGCCACAGAAATCGCAGAGCCATCCACCTGTGAATGTTCCAATTGCCGATCCAATGAAAGGAGGAATCCCTGTAAGATTACCGACCGCGACAGTGCTCATATTGAAGGGGGCTGCTGTGAAGATTTGAGAGGCCACGGCTCCGACTAAAATAGTCCACGTGAAAACCACTGCCCACATCACACATTCCCAAGCCACAATCGGATGGATGAGCATATACCAAGGCTTGATGCAGGCCATGAGAATATTAGGTCGATCGGGGAACATGGTGGAGTCCAATCCGATGCCGTAGTAAGACCAAAGACGTGATCGCTCAGGAAGACTAGGGTTGATAGCCACTATGCGCTCCATTCCTTCTCCTTCCTTGAAAATATTCTCTGTTGCTGATTCATCACAGCTGTTGCGATTGAATGATGTCTCCGGGAAGAAGACCAGCACAACGACAAGAAGAATGCCGTACATGCATGCTTCAAGCCAAAAGCTCCAACGCCATGACATGTTGGAAATCACGTATCCACTGATGACAGGCGTGAGGTTCACAGAGGCGATGAGTCCGAGGTTCCATAGGCCAACTCGAAGTCCCCGTTCCTGGACAAAGAACACATCATTTATCGATGCTGTGCCTGCCAGAGCAAAAAAGCCGCCCATGCCCAACCCTGTGTTTATAGAAAGTGGTAAGCTAGTTGTCTCAATTTAGGGTTTTCTGGGTGAGCCCCCAAGGGAAATGGGATATTCTACCTTGAAACACACGAGATGCCAATAGTGAAACGTATGATTTGGAAGCACCGGCCCAGCAACAAGAGACCAACAGAAGGATAGTGGTAAACAGATAGACTGCTCGTTTGCCGAAGATCATGGAGAACGAGGCAGAAAGATAAGAGCTCACACCCAAGGCCATAACCAATGACCCATTCAGCAGCGTCACGTTGGTAAGACTAACGTCTAGGTCTCTGGCAACGATACCAAATCCAGGAACGAGGACGGGGCCTAATGATCCTGTAAAGCAAGAGCCAAGAATTATGGTAGCAAACAAAAGCTCTTTTCTTGGTCGAGACCAATTCAGAGGATCAAGATGCGAGGACGATGGGCGAGGAACTCGAACTTGGACCTTGGTTTCCGCATGATCGTCGCTTTCGACTTTGTAGGTGGAAGAGGGCTGAATCCCTGTTACCGGTTCCAGCACACCAAAAGCCATCATTCGGCTTTATGAGACAGGTAGATGATAGTATGTGAGATTGAAAGGACTCCAGGAATATTTTTTCCCTCTGAGTAATTCTGTATAAAAAGCATCACCAAATCGGAGATAGCAAGTGAACTATGTAGGAACATCTCCCAAGGTTATCTTGGAGGCGCATCTTATCCGGGCGGCTCATACAAGTCCGCAAGTCTATCAAAGAGATCCCGGAGGCTCTTGTTGCTCCAATCAGATGCCAAAGTTAGGGCGCAAACCACCATTGTTTAACAAACACACGATAAGCTGCTTTTGGCCTATTATGTGTCCCATAAGTCATTGGGTATATGATCAAAGTTTGAGATCCTAAATCCAAAGTTGTAGCTTACGGTAACAAGCTGTAACAAACTTCAGTTCGGCTTTGTCCTTCGTCTTGCTTTCGTGATAGTAGATCATGCATGAGTATTAAACTGTTCAAAATATAAATTGAAAACTAGTGCTTCTCATTCAGCAGAAAGTATTGCTGTGGGCCAGCCAACACACAGCGCACCAAGTTAAAGATTAATTACAATAAGTGAATGAGCTATATCAATCCAGCAGATAAATACTCGCATGTAAGGGACTCACATTCACCACCTGTAGAACCCAGTTAGTCAAATCCCTAATTTCAAGACCAGTACCAATGGAAACTTACACAAATGGTTCGGAGTGTAAATACAACTCCTCAACCTCACCACCAAACACACGGCCCTGTGCCACAGCTGCTGCATTTCGGGTATCATGCAGCATAGATGCAGGGCCACAAACCAAGACTCCAACTCGCTGTTTCTTCTCCATATGGGTCCCTTGAACATGAGCCATGGCCACCGTGCGCGCAACTAACCCGGGCAGATCAGGTCGTGCATTCCGGTGAACGTTCAAACTGAAACTTCCTGTAGTGGTTACCTCAGTAGGATGCATCTTATTGCCTGTCCCTTTAACATAATCCGATTCCGAAGACGAAGAGAACCCAGAGTTCCGTTGATCAGTGACGTGGACAGAGACTGAAGTTTCGAATCCGTTCTCCGGATTTGTGGATAGTAACGTCGATTGTGAGATCCGGGACTCGATTTCTTCAATATACCAGTCCGCCATGGTGTGATCCCTTGTAGAGAAGACAACTTGAAGATTTCGTCGGTGTCTTTTATCTTTTTCGCTGACCGATGGGGCCATGCCTGTGAGGCGAAGTGCTTCGTCTACCATGGCAAGGGAGAACCCGCCTCCTGAACCACCGGCAATGACTAGAATAGTGTCGAATTGGGCCATGTGAGGCTCACTGACGCCACCGTAAGGGCCTTCAATGAGTATCTTCTTTGTGGACCCTGGACTCTTTGCTGCTATCGCTCTCAGGCGTCCAGTAACCCCACCTCGGGGTTTAATATAGAAAACAAGCTCCGAGGGTTCGTCGGATTCATTTGGTGTGCGGCATGCGGAAGAGATGGTAAATGGGTGGGCTGTGAGTAAGTGTAGATCTAAAGTTAGGAAACGCACGAATACATGTTGACCGGGTGTCCATTTCATAGTTGATGGAACGGAGACTTTGACGAGACCACATGGTAAGAGTTCCAGACTGGCGTTATGGAGGCCGTTCTTCAAGTAGGTGCGGGCATGTCCTGCGATAAGGCTGGCCATGTAAATTGCACCGGAAGCAATGAAGTAGTCCCTGAGGTACGTCAGTATAATACAGTTCATGCTTTCTTCAGTTTGTCATACCAGGAGGAAAGTCGGAAATCACAGTGGATGAAAAAGAACACAACAAATACCACGGCCATGAAGATATGGGTGGCCTTGAAAAACTCATAGAATCGATTTCTGCCAGGTGTTAGAGTCTTCTTGCTCACAAAATATGGGACCCAATCTCACCGAATGAAAGGTAGCGACATCAGGGTTAGATATGTTTGCGAGAGGAGAGTAACAACTCCCGTCCAGTATGCTACACTTGTCTTCCAATTCATCACCATCTTCCCCTTTCCAATATCATAAATTATGAAAGGGAAAGTGTGAATCAAAGCCAAAACAAACATCGCATAACTAGTCCAATGGTGGAAAACTTGAAGTTTCTCATGCGGGATGCCAGTCAAAACCGAAATCATGTTGGCTTTTGTACTCAGAGCACTAGAACACAAGTTAGTAAGGAAATTTAAAAAGCTTGAAAATATAAACTTACAGCACGAAAGGTAGTAGTCCCAGGGCCATCCAGCCAGCTCGAGTTGCAAGGGGTGGACTACCTCCATAAGAGGCGTCTGTCGGCCAATAGTAGGGTTTCGGGCCAAGTGTCATGGCTTTTAACGTTAGTGAGCTTTCCCAGATATTCGATAGCTTGTATAAACCAACCGAAGAAGAAGACCGCGCCTAAAGCCCCCAAAATCACCACTCCAAGCGCCGGCGACCAATACCGCAACGCCCGGGCTCGAAATCCACGGTAAGAAAGATATCGCGAGACCGAAGTAAGCATGCGCCATGGTCTTGTCCGTTTCACACAATCCGGAGCAAACCTAACAAGTAGATTGGAAACCATAAATACACCAATCACAGCACACATGAAGTACACTGTGTTTAGCGCATAGACATGATCAGCTTCGTACCTAAAGATCTTCAATAAGCACATGCATATACACTAAATCCTGAGTGGCAAATGCGCATACCAGTAGCGCCAACTATAATTGCGATAGCGGCATTGAGCGTCTGTCAGCTTGCATTTGTCTGCACGAGATGAGTGCAGCATCACCGGCTGGTCCAGCCAGGGGGTCCCTGACATCTTCATGTCCATCATCTTGTGGCTGAGAGGAACAGACAGCCATTGAGAAAGTAAAATGAAATCTAAACATGAAAAGGGAACGTTATTAGTGAAGCGACCATCTCCATGGATGGTTGCGGAACCGAAAACGGGAAGTGTGTATCAAGGACTCAAGGGTTCATGTTTGGACATTCCCGTGTCTCACCGATCACCCCGGGGGATCTGCTCACAATTGAGCACATTTCCTGGAGAAATGGTGGCTGCAATCATCTTTTCGTTAGTTATTGGTCCCACTGTATGTTGAGCTAGAGCACATTTGCGAGATAATGCGGGCTTGCCGCACACGAAATCCACCGGCCTTCGGATTCGTGTCTTTACGCTGATCTTTCGCATATTAATTTGCATGCTAAGTCTACGATATCCTTTTTTTTCTTCTCTAATTCGAGATATTCAGCGCAAGTATGAGTTGCATTCGGAGACCCCGGACCTAAGCCACCAGGACTCTCTGACGTAGTGGAGGATATAGTTCAAACAAACAACTTTAATTGAAAGAGTCATAGGGTAGTATGCTCCATAGAATAAAGCGAGTCAATGAAACAATAGAAACATGGAAAATAGCCAAAGAAAAAAAAAAAAAAAAAAGAAAAGCAGGGGAAGCAAAGCTCGACCGGATCAGGACTAGCGGCTCACATGGCAGATCCAACCCTACATTCCGATTGCGTTGTCTGCTCAAGGGGCACTGATGTGACGGAAATAGTAGTCTCAGGCGGCATCTTGACAGGGATCGGACCCTCACTCCCGATGCCGTACATCTTCAGCGCACGGTGGCCTCCATGCACGCTGTCCGCTTCGATACCTTTCGCCCGAAGCACGCTGGTAGCCACGCGTGCCGAGTCTCCATCGTAGCAAACCACGAGAACATGATGCCTTCTCAGGTCTGAAACCAAGACTTCATCTGTGAAAACCTTCTCCAGCTCCACCCATTGCGCCTCCAGCACCCCCGGATCTGAAAACGGCGATGGGTCGTGAGGCTTCACGCTGAACAATGGAAGATTCATCGAACCGGGAAGGTGCCACGCGTAGAAGTCAAGAGGCTTTCTTAGGTCTAGAACGCGATTCTGGGTCTTCAATGCTATCTCGCTCAGCTCGCATTGGGCGAGGGTTCGTGGTGATCCATAGAATTGCGGTAGGACCTCCAGTGCGTCACGCTCCCAACTCTCATCGTAACGGTGCAGATCGACCTTTGTCAAGCGCTAAATATCGATTTAGTATTCTGTGGGTACAAAAACGCCAACACGTCATGGATATGGTATTTACCTCATTTCGGATTGGGTGGAACTGTTCATCGCCAAGCTTTTCAAAGTACTCGCCGATATACTGATATGGCAAGTCGCAGCAGAGGAAGACGCAGTGGGTTTTGCCATCCGGACCTGAAAGCTCAGAAAGGGTTCCCTCGGCTTTGCGCTTCTCCAGGGTCTGAAACAGTCCCTGTAGATTAAAACCGGATGATGGGCCACAGACCAGTCCCTCTCGGCAAAGATTCAGGGACAAAGTGTATGACTCCAGGGAACCAACTTCTTCAATGATATCCACAGCTTCTTTCCAGGGAAACTCGACAGGGCGCATCAGGGCGTATGACCTGGGACCAGGTACCCGATCTCCAGGGGCTGTGCAGACCCCAAGTCTGTAAACCGACGGCTTGACTCCTTTGAAATATGTACCCAGTCCGGTCATAGTACCTGAAGTACCCATGCCACCACATAGAACATTAATCTCAGGTAGCTGCTTAAAAATCTGAGGACCGGTCCACCGGATATGCGACTGCCAGTTTTTACTGTTCTCATACTGGTTCGGGTTGACAATCTTGTCAGACTCCGTGGCCTGTCTCCGGGCATTTTGAATACCACCTCTCTCGTCAATTGGCTCTGGTTGAGATGGACCGCCAAATAGTGTGATATCCAAGCCAAAAAACTGCATCAGTTTCAATTTTGCATCACTTGTTTTGTTGCTCAAGAATGCCCGAGTATCATTCACTCCGTGCATGACACGGGCAACCATCGACATTGAGATGACCGTTGATCCAGAACTATACTCAACGATTCGTTCTGTCTCGCCAGGTACAACACTAGTTTCAAGCATGTTCATTGCTGGTCGCGTGTCAACAAATGTTATGTGAAAGGTCATTATAGTTCATACCGGGCATTGCTTTGACATTATTTGCTGGATGCATTGTCATCATCTTGGCATATATCCGCACCCCATCTTCATAGTAGGGGTTCAGATGAGGTGGTAGCTCCACAAGAGGTAAGGGAGGCTGGGAGTCAGGGTCGAAGTACTTTTTCAAAGAGTCAGGTCCAAAATAGGTATTGCACTCATTGATGTTGGTCATATTGGCGGATGAAATGATCAAGTAGCTGCAACTTTCAATTTTTATGATATGAACAAATAAAGAAGTAAAACTATGGGCCTCCTGGGGAAGTTATAGTCCTACAATGGCTATCATTTGCCCCTCTTCCTGTTGCGTTTACCTTGGCGTCCGAGAGGTAGATGGAGATTGATCGCTCCACAGCCCGTGTACAGTATGTCCTGCCACACGACTCTCACATGAGTGGTCTGGCCTTTGGAGCCAGTCGAATGTACCGTAGCAGCTGCCTGTGCCAAAAATATGAGCTAGGAACAAGGAACCCGCGTGGAGTAAGCTCGGGAATATCAATGCAGCCAATTGTAAATCGGATCCTTTTTCTTCTGTCTCAATGGGAATTGGACTATAAGATTGAAAACGGAAGGATCACCAGAGCTGCGTCAAATATTTCTTTTGGTATTTGGGAGGTCTTACTCGGCAATGTTCCAGAAACCTTGATTATTTGTCCCCTGTATGTATAGATCAGCATTTGACAAGGTCCTCAGAAGTACGAGAATTCATTCTTGCAGCTACTTTACTTGGCATCAATAATTATTAGCTGATTGAAAATACCCGATTCGATATCCTGGCGAGTACAGAAAGGGGCGGGTACCTTGAGAGTGTTTGAGAAGATTTGCCAACCCTAACTGCTGCAGATCTTCTGTCAAGGTGCTCGGCCGCCTTGTCGATCGGTCGGACTGAACCGATTCGGGAATTACGACATTATGTTTATCAAGTTGCGTTGATTTAGATCCCTTTCTCCTGGCTCGGTTTTGGTTTTGTCCTGCGTTCCTCAGGTGGTTTCTCATCATCCCTTCACATTCTACCCGCCATGACAGGGGTACTTGCAAACGACCCAGGGCATCTCACGCCCGAGGCGGATACCGCGGTTGAGAAGAATGGGACTCATGTTGAGTTCAACGAGCAAACTAATTATGTGCCTAAGCGCACCATCATCACGGTAAGTGCCCGGCAAGAAGCAATACGACCAAGCTAATGCTGCCCTTAGATCTTCCTGGCATGTTCCACCGTCGATTTACTGGCTTTGATGGACCAGACAACTCTGGCTGCCAGTTTGTCTATCATTGGAAATGCATTGGGAGCCAGTGATCAAACTTCGTGGATATCCGGCGGTTACTTCGTGTATGATTCCCACAGTTTGTTAATGCTCGTCAATACTGACACGCCTGCAGAACGTCAACATGTTTCCAGTTGCTATATGGCAGACTTTCTGATATCTGGTCTCGGAAGTTGGTTCTTTTCGTCGGTCTTGCCATCTTCTTTTTTGGATCATTGGCCGCCTCCCTTGCTCAGACTGCAACCCAGTTAATCGTCTTTCGTGCGTTCACTGGTGTAGGCGGCGGTGGTCTCATGACTGTCGCGCAGATGATTGTCAGTGATGTTGTTCCGCTTCGTGAGCGAGGAAAATATCAAGGTATCCTAGGTGCCGTGGTTGCTATTGCCAATGGCATCGGCCCAGTCATTGGTGGTGCACTAGCCTCAATATCGGAAGACTCATGGCGGTGGATTTTCCGTCTCAATCTTCCCTTGACAGCTCTCACCACCCTAGCAGTTCTGTTCTTTATGCCTCTTCGTAAGGTCACTGGTGATTGGAAAGTCAAGCTCAAAGCGATCGATTTCTTTGGTGCGCTTTTGGCTCTGGCAGGTGCCTCAGTTCTGCTGCTTGGTTTGACTTGGGGTGGTGGTGAATACTCGTGGGACTCAGCACATGTTATATCAACTTTGGTCGTTGGGTTCGCCGTCTCTGTTGCATTTGTTGTGTGGCAGTGGAAGGGAACCTCAACGCCGCTGGTTCCAATGCATATATTCAAGGGCAAGATTGTTAACGGCGCTTGTTTGACTATGTTCATCAATGGGTGGAACTTTTTGGTTCAAGTCTACTATATCCCCACCTTCTATCAGTTGGTCTTTGGATATTCAACAGTGAAGGCTGCGGCAATGTTGCTACCTATCACACTCATGCAGAGTATGGACCTCTCTCTGTCATTCAATTTACTTGCTAATGCTGTATGCAGCTGTCAGCAGTACGGCCTCTGGTCTCATTGTCCATTGGGTAGGCCGCTATCGAGAATGTATCCTCTTTGGATGGGTGATGTGGGCTGCTGGACTTGGACTTTTCTCGACTCTCGATCAAAATTCGGGACTAGGAAAGCAGATTGGATATGGCATACTCACAGGTGTCGGAGTTGGAAATACTTTGCAACCGTATGTTTTCTTCGATTAACTAGTTGACGCAGGCTGATCGCTATAGTGCTCTGATTGCCGTTCAAGCTGGAGTTGAAAGGCGAGATATGGCTGTAGTCACCTCTTTCAGGAAGTACGTATATCCAAAATGTTAGTATGGCATCGCTAACAAGAAAAAGCTTTGTACGCAATCTTGGTGGTACGCTTGGCCTTGCCATAGCTGGAACTATCATGTAAGTCTCCTGACAAGACTGCATTACTACTTGCTAACTAGTATAGCAACAATATTGTCTCGTCGTCAATATCAGTCCTGGATCTTGACGAGACTCAATCTCGCTCTCTTCTATCTAGCCCACAGAATTATCTTTCAAAGCTATCGGTGGAGGATGCGCGTCACGTCCGTGACGTCCTTACGCCCGCATATCAAAAAGGCTTCCGTATTATCTTTATCATCGGTGCATCACTTGCAGCGCTTGCTTTCTTCTTGTCTTTTTGGCTGATGCCTCAGCTTGGCTTAAAGCGAGCAGATGATGAGAAATTGAAAGAAGAGGGAAAGAAGCGAATCGAAGGCGAATTGGACGAAGAGAAGAGATAGCTATGCTTGGTATGAGACAAACGGTTCATCTCAAAATAACACTTGTATATTTACCAAGACATCTTGTAGATTTACAAAAGAGCTACAAGAATCCCACGAGACACTACATTGCACAAGGACATCATGTCGAGTTGCCGACTAAGTGAATACTTCATACTGTGATCAGGTAAAGCAGAAATCACCAATATGTCTTTCAATAAACCAACTTCAATTCATTGCAAGTAAAGGGTGAAAAACATCCAACCCCCCGGGATCAAAGCCCTAAATCGCAAGATCGAAGGAGAGAAAGAGGCCAAGCCTAAACACACGGGGCGTCTTATGTAACAATCCTTCATTCTCCAGGCTTCCAGGTTCTCCCATCTCACCACCTTCATTTCTCTCTAACCATGTAGACACGTCTGCATCTGCCAATATGGTGCTCTCGCTGCCGGTCCCAAGCTTCTACAGATCGTCGGCCTCACCTCCACACCCCGCTGACGGCTCACCCGCACAGTCCCGACACCGAAGTTCAGCCTCATCCTCGAGCTCCACCAGTCGCTGGAAGCCTGCTGCTCTCAGCATCTCTTCTCCAAATCATTCCATCACTCTCGAAGCCCTACGCAATAATCCTTTCGGCAATTCACGGTCGCGCGGCTCCGCTCAGTTCTCACTCAGCGAGACTGAGGAACAAAGGCGGGAGCAGGAGGAACTCAACGCGGCACTAGAGACTTTAGTACGCGTATTTCCTGACGTGAAGGTTGAGGTGTTCCGGGAGCTACTCGTGCACTTTGACGGTCAGAGCCGGGTGCAGGTGTGCGTTGAGGAGCTACTCAGGAACAAAAAGAAATGGGTGTCGGGGCGGTGGAACATCCTAGAGGGAAACGGTGAAGCCGATGCAGAGGCACAGGCTCATGCAGGTCCTGATGGTTATTCCAACGACGATTTTGCTCAAAATGACGCCGAACAGCGTGGTCTTGTTCCACCCGAGGAGCGGTTTCGCTCTGATGAATACAAGGCCACCGTGAGGATCGCCTTGGGCAAGGAATTCAACAGTCTCAGCAGGAGTATTGTCGAAGCGGTGCTAGCCGAAGCGAATTACAGTTATGCTCGGGCACGGCCGACGCTACAGGATCTATCGCGTCGGACCTGGCGCGCGACTATCAACAGTCTTTTGCCGTTCCGACGAAAGAAAGACCGTGATGAGCATCCTTTCATGGTCTGGCATCGTCGAGCAGATGGAGAGATAGTCCCCAGTCTGAGAGAAACAGGCTGCAGTGAGCTGGATGACGAGCTCGATGAGTTGCTACTTACACCCTTGATACGACAGAAGCGCGAAGAGCAGGAAGACAAAGACTTTAGATTTGCATCGGACTTGAATGAAAAAGAAGCTCAAGATGTCGATGCGCTATATGAATGCGAGTGTTGTTTTGCGGATGTGACATTCGAGCAGATCGCGACATGTTCGGCCAACACTCACATTATTTGCTATCACTGCATCCAAAGAACGGCCCATGAAGCACTGTTTGGACAAGGTTGGAGCAAATCTGTGGACTTGGAACGCTCTACTCTAAAGTGTCTCGCTCCGCTCTCGGTTGGATCCTGCGATGGATGTCTTCATCCCCAGATCGTCCGGCAAGCTATACTTCTCGATACAGCTGGCGTAGAAACATACCGCAAATTCGAGGACCGGCTCTCCTCCGAGGTGCTTTTAAAGTCACAGTTGAAGCTCGTCCGATGCCCATTCTGCTCCTATGCTGAAATCGATCCTCTTTATCACCCTTCATCCCGCGGTGTCTGCTGGCGCATCCGCCGTGATGGCGGCATCATCCCTACAATTTTAATGACCCTCCTTCTTCTTGATATTGTCTCTTTTCTCCTGATACCCGTCCTCGTTCTTCACATTCTGGACCCCGCTGCCATCACAACATTGTTCGCCAGTTCTATACGCAACCTCTGCCTCAAAATGCGCCCTAAACGATTCACGTGTGCCAACCCCTCTTGTCTACGCCTTAGCTGTATGACCTGTCAAAAACCATGGAGAGACCCGCATGTCTGCCACGAACCTCTCCTTCTAGATCTACGCGCCACAGTCGAAGCTGCTCGCACCGCAGCTGTAAAACGCACATGTCCCCGCTGCTGCCTCTCCTTTGTCAAATCCTCAGGCTGCAACAAACTAACCTGCGTCTGTGGCTATTCCATGTGCTACCTCTGCCGCAAAGCCTTGGGCCCACCGATTCGACAATCCACAGGGCGTGGACAAGCACGTGAAAACGTTCAACCACCCCGTGGCCTCGGCGTCTACGACGGACCAGGCGATGAACCCAATCCCTTCGATGAAGGCGGCAACATCTTAGACGACGACGAATTCGAAGAACCAGAAGGCTACCAGCACTTCTGCGAACACTTCCGAATCAATCCCGGGTCCCGCTGTACCGAATGCACGAAATGTAATCTTTACCAGGCGGAAGACGAAGAAGCCGTTGCCCGCCGCGCAGGCGAGAAAGCTGAGCGCGAATGGCGCATTCGTCAGGGTGTCAGCACTGACAATGCTACGGCGTCTGCTGTTGGATTCCGGAATATCAATCAGGATCTCTCGGCTGGAACTGATGGTTTTGCTAACCGTCGTGCGTCGACTTCGATGTGGGATATGCAATTCGGACCATCTGGGAAGCCTTGGGATTATTGGGTCTTTGACGTTTGGTCTCATGGGAGGTGGAAGCTTGAAGGTCAGGCTTTCGTGGATTGGGTTGTGGAATGCATCGTCGTGATCGATGAAGTATGATGGTTCTTGTTTTTTTGTTCCCCTTTTTCTTTTTCTTTTCTCCCTTTTCTTCTCTTGTTCTCGTGGTTTTCGGGGTTGCTTTCTCAGTGGGGATTTTAAATTTACGCTTTGGCGCTGTTGCGTTTTCACCCTTGCAAGAGAGGCGGCTGGCGTCTTGGTTTTGTTTCTTGGGGGATTTGGAATGACTTGATGATTGATGACATTCTCTTCGCTTCTTTTTTCGGCTTTTGCGATAACTTATAGCGCAGACCTACTTTCTTTAATGCATGATTTTTTTAAAAAGACCTCTCCTTGGAGATAACCTTGCAAGATACTGAGAAGCTAATGAGATTGACACGAGTAAGAGGACTTGTACAGAATGGGAAGTCACTTCCAGTATACGAATATTAGTAGGCTTCTAGGTATTTCTTCAGTGGTCAATGGTTACTGATGAACATGGTCGATACTAGGGACTAATTTAAGACCGGAAAATGAAGATGAAAATAGATCTCATTGATCTCATTATGAAATAAAACAAGAAAATGAAACAAGTAGTATATACAAACAAGAAGCGGCAATCTGTTTTCCAAGAACCGGCTCGCACGCCAACAGGGGATATCGCTCCAAGCAAAGATTTTGTACTCTACAGCTTAGCCTTAGCGCCCTCCAAGAGCTCGGCACCAGCGCCGGTGATGGCAGGCTTGCCAGTCTCAACGACGGTAGCCTGGAAGAGAACAGTGTTGCCCTCCTTCCACATCTCAGTCTTGAGGGTCTGGCCGGGCAGGACGACACCAGCGAAGCGGACCTTGAGGTTCTTGTAGGCGCCGAACTTGGAGAAGACGTGCTTGGCGGAGACACCGAGAGAGCACAGACCGTGCAGGATGGGAGTCTTGAAGCCGCCGACCTTGCTGAACTCGGGGTCGATGTGGAGGGGGTTGCGGTCGCCGTTCAGGCGGTAGAGAGCAGCCTGGTCCTCGGAGGTCTTCTCCTCGATGACGGCATCGGGCTGGCGCTGAGGAGCCTTGTAGGCAGCGGTGGCGGCCTTGGCGCGGGGAACGGTGGGCTTGGGAGAGCCGCCGAAGCCACCGCTGCCGCGGATGAAGACAGTGGACTCGTTGTAGAACAGGTCTTCGCCGGTCTTGGCATCCTTGGTGGTGAAGCCGGCCACGACGAGGGCGGCGTTGCCCTTGTCGACGACGTCGATGAGCTTGGGGTAGGTCAGGGTGTTGGCGGTGGTGGGGATGGGGAACTTGCGGACCTCCATGTACTGCTCACCGTGCAGCAGCATCATAGGGGAGAAGTCCTTGACAATGTCGTCCATGTTCCAGGGAGTAGCAGTGTTGAACCAAGGGACAACACCGTAGGAAGGAAGGGCCTGGAAGTGATCGCTGTTCTCGTAAACCAGGGGCAAATCAGTGCGCTTGGCACCCAAGCTGAGGTTGTAGAGGATGACATCGCGGTCCTCGTAGTTGAAGGCAGTGCCCTCAGTGGAGAGAGCCTTGGCCTTCTCAATGTTCTTGAGAATGTCGCTCTCGCCAGCATCGCCGTGGACACGGTTAGACATGTTAGCCATGATCTTCTCGGTGCCAGCTTGGCCGTCCTCGGGGTGGTCAGCACGACCATCCTCGAAGTTGGTGATCTGCTTCCAGTTGCGGCGGACCTCCTCGGGGGTGAGCTTGACGTCCACGGGGAATCCGTGACCGCCGGAGCGCTGCCAGCGAGTACGGCCGAACCAACCGCTACCACACTCGAACAGACCCTTGGTTGAGGGCTCAGGGGCCATGTCAGAGCAGAGCAGAACAACAAGAGGAGCAACGTAGTCAGGCTTGAAGGCCTGAACCATCTCCTCGGGCATGATAGTACGGGTCATGTTGGTGCCAGCGTTAGGAGCAATGGTGTTAACCTTGATGTTGTACTTAGCACCCTCCATGGCGAGAGTGCGGGAGAGACCGAGGATTCCAAGCTTGGCCGCAGCGTAGTTGGCCTGGCCGAAGTTGCCGTAGATGCCGCTGGTGCTAGCAGTGTTGACAACACGACCGTACTTCTGCTTGAGGAAGTAAGGCCAGGCGGCCTTGGTCACCTTGTAGGTACCACGGAGGTGAACATTGACAACAGAGTTCCACAGGTTGTCGTCCATGTTGGTGAAAGCCTTGTCGCGCAGAATACCAGCGTTGTTAACCAGAATATCAATACGGCCAAAGGCATCGATGGCACTCTTGACAACAGCGTCACCATCCTCGCAGTTGGCCTTGTTGCCAACGGCCTTACCGCCGAGAGCCTTGATCTCCTGGACGACAGGCTCAGGGTCAACAAGATCGTTGACAACGACAGATGCGCCAAGCTTGGCGAACTGCAAACAGTATGCGCGGCCAAGACCGGCACCACCACCGGTGACCAGGGCAACACGGCCCTTGAAGTCGGGCTCCTCTCCAGCGGCGGCGCTGGGCATCTTGAGGCCATCCTCCAAGAAGCCCATAAAGTCGGCAGGGCCAGTGGGATAGTCTGGCTTAGAGAAATCGTTGACATCGTTCCACTTGCGGGCAAGGGCACCGGGAGTCAGGGAGTCATCGGTCTTGAGCAGAGCACCCTTGGCTCGCTCCCAGCGGAGCTTGGCAACGTGACCACCGCCGACTTCGTAGATACCACCAGTCTCGGTGGTGTTGGAAGAGTGCACAAGAGAAGCGACCAGAGGGACAACCCAGTCGGGCTTCAGGTTCGCAAGGACATCGGGGGGCATCACAGTTTCGGTCATACGGCTGGCAGCTAGTTTCAAGTTAGCATTCTAGTCCCTGGCAGGGATTTCAGAAATCAACTTACCGATGGGAGCAATAACATTGGCAATAATGTTGTACTTGGCACCCTCCTTGGCCAGAGTCTCTGTGAAACCAACCTGTCCGAGCTTGGCAGCGGAGTAGTTGGCCTGGCCGAAGCTACCGAAGAGACCAGCAGCCGAGGCAGTGTTGATGACACGACCGAACTTCTGCTTGCGGAAGTGAGGCCATGCGGCTCTTGCGCACTACTCAAGAATCAGTCTCCGTCACATGCGATGTTTTTCATATCCACGCCTTCTCACCTTGTATGCACCGTAGGTGTGAACTCGGTTGATCAGATCCCAGTCGGCATCCTTCATGTTCTTGAAGCTGATATCGCGCAGGATACCGGCGTTATTCAGGAGGATATCGATACGGCCGAAGTTCTTAATGGCGGTCTCGATAATAGCTTCACCGTTCTCGACGCTGTCATAGTTGGCAACCGCCTTGCCGCCGGCGGCCCGGATCTCTTCGACGACATCATCCGCGGCCTATATGCGGTCAGTCTCTGCAGTTGTCGCTGACGGGGAGTTATGCCTACCTTTCCTGACTTGCCCTCACCCTTGTGAGAGCCGCCGAGGTCGTTGACGACGACATTTGCACCGCGTGAGGCGAAGAAGACAGCATATGCCTTCCCCAGACCACCACCAGCACCGGTGACGACCACCGTTTGGTTATCAAATCGTAATTCGGACATGATGTGTGTGTTGTCCGAAGAGGGAGAATATGGAACCAAGAAAGGAAGGGAAAAAGCTGGAGAAGAGGAGGTTAAAAGCGCAAGCTCGGCTGGTTTGAACCTCGGCCCATACCGTCATGGGAGGTGTATCGTTACATGGCAGATTACCACCTTCACATGCCGATGGAGGTATTTTATTACGTGTAATTTATATGCCGATACTGTTGCATGCTTCAGATGCAAGCCAGAAACTACTATATACTGCCTAGGTCTACTGACAGGAGTTTATAAGAGACTATCGTTGACTATAGCAACAGACCATACACTGTATCCCGGCGAACGATACAGCAACAATACTTGACTAAGCATTGTTCACCGAAGTAGGAAAATAGGGGGATCTACATGGAGTGGATGAGATCTAAGTGAACTGAACTAGCTAGTTAACTATGTCTGATTTAATGAAAGAATCAGTTACAGTATATCTGACTATACGTAACTATACTGGACACCAGACACCGGACACCACTGGACTGTATACTCGTCAGTCCGACACATGTGACGACCGACGTCATTTCCATGTGCATAGCTGTCGATGATAGTCTCACCAAAGCTCAAGTCTGAACTTCCCAGGGTTGAATCCCTGGCGAAATTCCAGCCTTATATCTATTTCCAACATCCATCGACATTCATGGATCAAAGTAGCGGCTGAACTGTACCCCGCGTCAAGCCCCAGATTCCTCACTCGGCCGATCGGGGGAGAGTTCCCACCGTAGCCGATACAAAGACAGCCATGACCAACCCCTCCGGTAGTTCCAACAATTCAAAATGCCCGAAATGTCCATCATAGACGACAAATCACAGCACTGTATCCCCTTCCTACTCGACCGTCTACGCGTCCACACCGAACGGCACCGCGGCACAGCTACCCCGCCATTCTTCATAGGTCTCAATGGCGTACAGGGAGCCGGCAAAACAGTCCTAGTAAGTCGGTCCGGACCCGTTCTGATGCCTCGGGACTCTGGTCTTCCTCGGTCAACCCAGTCCTGGTGTATACCTCGTCGGTGCTAGGTTAACATCATCTACAGGTGTCCGCGCTCAATGACACGCTCCGCTCAGCGCCATACTCGCTCGCTGTCGTGACGTTGTCACTGGACGACATCTACCTCACACACGCCGACCAGGTTGCTCTTGCGCAGGCGCATCCGTCGAACCCGCTTTTGCAGCATCGGGGTCAGCCCTCAACACACGACCTGGGGTTGGGCGAGGAGGTCTTTGCGTCGTTGGCGGCGGAGAAGTCCACGGCGATCCCGGCGTACGACAAGTCTGCGTTTGAAGGTCAGGGAGATCGCGTTCCCAAGGAACAATGGAAAGTGGTCAATGAAGAAGGCCAGGAGAAGGTAAAGGTCGTCATTTTCGAGGGTTGGTGTGTTGGATTCCGGGCGTGGGATGATCAAACCTTGCGCGCAAAATGGGAGGACGCTGTGCGGCAGAGGGAGTCGGGCCATTATGATGGGAGACTGGGTCATGTCCAATTTGAGGATGTGAAGGCTGTCAACGATGCCTTGAAAAGATATGATATCTTGACCGAGTAGGTGTTCTTCATTGGTGGTTTACTTAACTTATGAGTGAATTGCTAACATGTTTCTTCTACAGCAAATTGGATGCATTGATCCATATGTATGTGCTATTCCCATTTGTGAACTCGGTCCTGGATACTGACATGATTTAGTGATGCTGAAAGCCCCCATTTCGTGTACGAGTGGCGCCAGGAACAGGAGCGCACTCTCCGTGCTGCCAAGGGCACTGGGATGACTGAGGAGCAAGTCAACCACTTTGTGGACGGTTGTATGTTGCAATTCTTGGACTCGGCAGAGCATTCTTACAGTCATACTAATAAACATAGATTATCCATCATATGAACTCTTCACTGAGACTCTCCGTGAGGGCGCGTTCAAGCCTGCATCGCCTACTTCTGCTTCAAACTCTGATTGGAAAGGTAGACAGCTTCGTCTTGTTGTTGACCGGAATAGGAGAGTGCAAGAGGTTATCAAGATCTGATCTAGAATCTATTTAGAAGACAAAGGTCTCGGTTGAAATGGTTTGAGTCTACGAATGAAGTTATGTATATATACTTCGTGAAGCGACAAAATATGTTTTTGGGGGGGTTGTCTTTTCTTCATCAACCCCTGGAGTATTCAGATCGAACAAATAGCTGGCTTAATCCAGTACAGATGTAGAATAAAAGCACGAACCTAATTCCTGAAATGCATAGGTACGGAGGCACTGCGTGGAGAAGAGTCCAGCGGAACTCGGACCTCGGGACGAATTTCGGCCTCGAAAAAGACAATAGAAGAACACAGCTGCGGCACTAGGAACCTTGCCTAAGCCGGTTACTCTTGACTAAATCTTATCATGGGGGGGGGGTTTTTCGACAAATTTACGATCTACAAAGGGAAAGGTCGTCGACCATGAAATTGGGTTGCTTGAAGCATTAAATTGATCGGAAAACCCAGACCATCGTATCGCTAAAATTGACCAGAGGATATTAAACAGCCCGTGCAAGAAACAACCCAAGACAGTAAAGTCGTAAAATTTTGTAATAGTTTTAGTGGCGGTGCACTCAGAGAATGCCCATACCATGACCCCTCATGAGAAGAATCAATCTAGTTCATCTGGCGGATGAGACCGTTGATGTTGTCCTCACGGTTACCGGTGTCACCACCCTCAATGTAGTGCTTGAACTTGCGGGTACGGAAACCACCGTTGGGGTTGGACAGCTTGAAGGGCCAGAGGAAGTTGTTGGCCTGCTTGAAGTTGGGGCCAACGGTGTAGATCTCGTGGATCAGATCCTCCATACAGACAATGCCGTACTTGCCGAGGTGCTCCTCGATGATCTGGTTGTCGGTGAGGGGAGTGCGCTGCTTGTCGACCTTTCCGTAACCACGCTTGTAGAGGAGCTCACGGACGGACTTCAGGTTGGGGTAACCGTAGGCAATGTAGGGGTTGACGATGGTCAACATCTCCTGGGTAGCCTTGGTGAGACGGATGAAGGTACCGCTGTTGATCTGGATCAAACGGAGCAACTGGAGGATCTTGCGGGGCTTGGGAGCGATCTTGTTGATACCCTTGATACGGACAACGAAGACGAGCTTGGGCTCACCCTCAACGAAGTAGTTACCCTCCTGGCGGGCAACGCGGTTGAGGCGGATCTTCTCACGCTCAGCATTGCGGTACTCCTGGACGTAGGACTCGGCACGCTTGAAGATGACACCACGCTTCTCCTTGTTGGCCTATGAAAATCTCAGTTAGTTTTGAGTTTTCAAAAATCATGAGTGAAAAAATTTTCAAGTGTCATGAACGTGTCAGACCCGAAAGATGGTTAACAATCGACAGCATTGACCGCCTGGTAGGATGGTCTAGTCGGTTGAATGGTGTTATGCATCATAATGAACAAGAGGGAGATGGTGTGAAGTAACTGGGGAGGATAAACAAACCTTCTTGACCTTCTCGACCTCAGCGCGGCGCTCAGCGCGGGCAGCCTCCTGGGACTTGCGCTTCTTCAGAAGGGTCTCGGGAACGAGGACCTGGTTCTGGGTGGGGACGGAGCTGTAATGCATGTTAGAACAGTCTGTTCAGAAAGAAACAAGACTGAGACAATTCGCCGAGTGAAAGAATTGCAGCATATAGCGCCACATTCTCAACTGAAGACATAAAAAAACTCGACGAAATGTCTTTGATCAGTGAGGGCCAGTACAGTGGGGTTGGTTGTCAGTAGCTAGGTACTAATTGCACATTCTTCAGCGCAAGGTTCTCTCAGCCCAACCACCCTCATCTGCACGTGATGCCTTCATCCGACAAAACCCCGACCGAAGCCAGGAAAAAATGTTGACGCTCTTCGAATCAGAATTCAGATGCTGTTACCGCATCATGAACATCTGAGACGATAGCTCACAACAATATTTTTGGAAGAGAAGGTGCAGCGCACTTTCAACCTCAAGACTCCATCACCCTCTTTCTCCTTCCATGGAGTGTTCTGCGACAGAAGACTGTATACGCGGGCCACTATAGTGGAGAGAGAGGGCAGGAAGGATCGAGCTGGTGCCTGACAACCAAAATCCAGTAAGATAATGGTTGCAGCATCTCCAGCGAGAAGTGTGACTATAGCTGAAACCATTCAATCTCGACGAGATTGAAGCAGTCCAGAAGTCAAGGGGAGTCATACGTAGTGGCGACCATCTTGAAGGTTGTTGTCGGAGGTTGTCGAAGGGAAAGAAAAAGTTCGCAGACAAGAAGGAAAAGGGAATTCGCTTGTGCGGGTGGAGTAGCCGCTAGCCAAACAAGGCTAGACCACAAAACAATTCTGATCTAACCTAATATGGCTGAAGCCCTTATCATCCTACGATAAGGGCTCCCCAGCTGATCCGTATTGATGCCTGATGATGTCTGAGGCTGCCTGAATTGGGGTAACCCCGTGGTCGGCATCTACTGTAAGATCTAGATCTGTCAACAGGACCTCACCTTCACAACCCCACATCATGTCACGTCGCGGAGTGGGCCTCGGGGCCTTCACAAACCGCACTCAAACAAGCCAGTCATATGCTACTCATGGCGCAAACCTACGCTCTACTCATACGGCCTCCCTCCAGACCCAGCTCTCGGTCTTCCAGTCGCTGCTCCATACATTTGCCCTAGAACACAGTTCAACCATAAAATCAGATCCAACCTTTCGAGCCGAGTTCGCGCGCATGTGTAATACCATTGGAGTTGATCCACTCGCTGCAAGCAACATCAAAGGAAAGAATGGCCGCCGCGGACTGGGCGAAGGGGGTAGCTTTTGGACCCAGATACTGGGAGGCGATATGAATGATTTCTACTTCGAAGTTGCCACCCGAGTTGTGGAGCTGTGCAGGGAGACAAGGAGTGAAAACGGCGGGTTGATTGGTGTTGAAGAGTGTCGCAAACGAGTGGGGAAGGGAAAGGCGATCGGAAGCGGGCTTGAAGTTTCAGAGTATGAGCTCTATACATGATGGTTATGCACACCGCTGGCTAACACAAGTGCTTGATTGATAGTGATGACATCTTACGTGCAGTCCGGTCACTCGAGCCTTTAGGCTCTGGGTTCTCCATTGTCAATGTTGGCAAGAAGCAATATATTCGATCCGTTCCGAAAGAGCTCAATACGGACCAAGCAACTGTCTTAGAAGCTATCCAAGTTCTGGGATTTGTCAGTGTCTCTATGTTGCGATTGAATTTGAAGTGGGAAAAGGCTCGAGCGCAAACAGTAATCGATGACCTGCTCGCTGATGGTTTAGTCTGGGTGGATGCTCAGGGCCCTGAAAAGGAGTACTGGTCTCCTCAAAATTTGCTCGATGATAGCGGATGAAGCATTGGACGCTTTATCTTATCTCAATCATCTCAGTCACATCCAGACTTGAACTGGGGTCCATACGCTCCCCGGACGCACCTCAAGGCCCAAATGGAGGCTTGCGTTTCATAATCTCGCCATCAAAGAGAGAAACAATATATTGTCAAATCGTGCATGTCAAATCCGCTTTGTCAATTACAGCGGCTCAAGATACTACCTGTGCAGAGTTCAAAACGAGCCCTGGAATCTACAGATACCATAAATATGGCGCTGAAGCACTTGAAAAGACCCTAGGAATTCGGGATAGAACAATGCACGCTGAGGTCTCTTGTGTGTGTGGATATTGTTTTCGGTAGCACTTGTTGATATTCTATTTCGCCTGATGAATATATATTGTGTCATAGCCTTCGAGAAACTTGAATTTTAATTCCTTCACGATATGCTACATTTCCCCAAGACAAAGTCCCGGAAATCTAATCGAGGCTGACTGGGTCTTAATCGCCTTGTTATATCCTTTTATTGCTTCCAAAGTTGCTGGCATATAACATGTAAGCAGAAAGTCTCCAGCTGTAGTGATCGTATTATCCATAGTACGATTCCTTCATCAAGAGACATCCAAGTTGTACATGTCTAGATCTAAAGTACTCTCAAATAGCTACAACGTTTACAGCAAGTAGCACGGGAAACAATGGTAAACCCATGCCAGCCCACTCGACTCTCTCCATTGAATGAGTCAAATCGAGGGACAACAAGAGACCGCCTTTTTATTTTGGCATTTATCTAGCCTGCTCAGATGAAAGAAAGGATCAAGCCGGTTTTCTCGATTGAGTTATCTGAGTTGCGGACCAAGGTTGGCGAATAGCGACTGATTTAAACGGTCTTGGTGCCGACCTTGAGGAGCTCAACCTCACTGTGGATAGTTAACAAGTATGTTCCCATGTGAAAGGAAAACGGTATGACTTACAACACGAGGCGGGAGTTCTCGGGAATCAGACCGGGGAAGCCACTGAGTATTCGTTAGTATTCAGCACATACTGTGTACCTCGGGAACACGGGATAAAGTGTATGAAATAAGCTTGTACGTACCGGGCACCGTAGCCGAAGTCACTGGAAACTGTTAGCAATGTGTCTATCATAGCTTCAACGGGATATCTCACGGGCTGATGGTCAGGATGGCCTTCTCGCCAAGGCTCATCTGGGGGACACCCTCATCCCAGCCTATATAGAAAGCCGATCAGTACACCATACTCTGTCACCACTGTGAATGGACTTGGTCCACAGGTAGAATGCCATGGAGGATATGTTGAGATAAGAAGACGCACCGCGGATGAGACGACCGACACCGATGGGGGTGGCAAGGGGACCACGGCCGGGCTTGTGGGAGCTATCGAAGCTGTTGGGAAAGGGATCGGTCAGCTAAAGGATCGCATTGAGGTGGAGAGGTTATAGCATACGTGGTGCCCATGTAGTGCTGGTCGGCCTTGCTCTCGTCATAGAGGCAGCCAGTGTAGTGGATGGCGACGTGCTCACCCTTCTTAGGGTAGTCAACGCCGTTGCCCTCCTTCAAAGTCAATTTCTCGACGCCCATTTTGAATGATGTAGACGAGAATGGAGATGAGTAAGATGGAGAGAAAATGTGTTGACGAGAACGGAGGGGCGACAGACTATCCACTTTGCTCCGGAGCGGAACACCTCTTGTCAATCCGCTACATAGCGATACCATTGGTCTGATTGAATTCATCGTGAACGGAGAGAGCTTTATATTCAAGGCTCGAGCTTTACCAAAACAAAGATTTCTTTTCCCCACTTGAGGAATTGTATCCGTCAAATGCCAGCTGAGGTAATGATATAGAGCTCCAAATGCGGCTTAGTGGTGTCCTATTTAGGACTAGCCAGCATCAACCTATTTCGACTCATCTATAGCCCGTCATGACTAGAACAGACTGCAAACCAACACTGTGATGCCGGTTTTGATGGAGGAGAAATCATAAGTATTCAGCTTTCAGCTGTTCTCACTCATGTGAAATCGAACCGAAGATGCCGGGACAACATATCAGTCCTGGCCTGTGACTAGCCTGTCATGCTAGGTAGGGTCCATATTGCCACCCAGAAGCAATCCAAAAGAAGCAAGGTTAAATGTCGGTTAGTTAGCACTACCCGAGTGCCCAGTGCCGCTGGGTTCCACGTCACAATGCTTTCGATATGAGATTTGGAATTGTCTCGGGAAAAGGGATCGTTGTGAAGAGTGGATTTGGGTCGAGATCAAGTGCAGCAAGAGTCCATAACATCATTATAGCCAACGTTAGTAAGTGATGTCCAAAAGCCGATATCAGTGGATGTAATCTCCTAGCAGGATTTCTCACCCATCGCACATTCTACTTGTTGACACAGTGGAACCCCGTTTACCCGCTACCAATGCCGTTAAAGAACCAAGCAACACCAGACAAGGGCCCGTTTTGACCCGGCAGAATGAGACATTAAAAGCTTTCACTCTGATACTGTATGGCAAGGGTCAAGATAAGAACGAATGGTTGAGTGGACCGTTCCATAGATCGACACCTCCATTACACAGACCGAGCCTGCGCCGACCGATCGCCGAGAGCCTGCATGCAGCAATAAAATTGAAATAAGCGTTGAAAAACACTGTAATTCGCTAGACCCAGACTCGAGCGAACGTCAGCATCGAGATCGCTTAATTTCGATCGGCTTGTTAGGCAGGAAAAAGAACCGGCAATCACTCGGTGCAAACTCGGCTGAGGCATTAAACGGTTTCAGCCCTGCGCATATTTCGTTTTTTATTGTTCAATCGAATATTTTTCACCGTTGACTCCATTGACTCCATAGATATATAATAAGCCTAATCTCGCATCTCAAAATTGAGTACATCAATCCAATCCACTCTTCCACTAGCGCTTTCCCATGTCATTTTACAAGCCCTCATACACCATGAGCGCCTCCACATCTATCACCATGAGCTCTGATGCTCTGAGCAACATTTCAGACACCTTGAACCAGTCCTCTCCAACTTCCTCCTCCTCCTCATCCCAACATACTCGTTTCTCTCGCTTCAAGAAGCACTTCAGCGACTTCAAAAAGGATTGGGCTCCTCTGATGGCCGCCAAGGAACACTGGGAAGACGAGTACACCTTCCCACCTGGAAGATATGCTGGTCAAGGATACCAACAGGCAAATTAAATGGGTGAGTTACAGCATACGCGATGAAATGAGATGGTGTTCTGACTTTTACAGCCATTTAGATGATAATAATGGCTTAGATGGGATTGGGAAAATTGGGCGCTATTGGGTATAATGAGATAGAACGAGATTGATTTAATGACTGCAAATAGCTTTAATGAATGACGATATTATACCCTGCTATTATGATGCGTACTCTATTCGGAACCAATTACTCATTTCGTTGGAATACTTCAGTTCTACCCAATATCTAATCCTTGATGTCTTGGATACCGAGCGAACTGTCTTTCCCATAGAGAACTTTTCCACATGTTGCATACAAGGAGTTATAGATTGCGATTTTCTTGATTTGGGAGACAATTAAGCCGGACAATCTCGATGTAAATTGTTATTTGGTATTATTCAAAATCGACTATTGACTGGTTGGTTGTCACAGGATTTGCGGTCCATCACTTCGGCGGCTAGGCTATAGATATTGCTACTAGTAAACGGGATCCCTAGAAACATCTAATTTCCATTTAATTAATAGTAGCCAGACAAGAATCGTTTTTTCATACGGTTCCCGAACAAAGGATCTCTGTCAAATACCTTCTCTTCAACGCTTCGTTCTCAATTGGATCCGTCGTCTACCTACCCAAATTTAATGACTTAAAACGTATTCTGATCCATTATCCAATTATTTCCTGTGCATTTGTCTAGAATTGGAACAGAAGCATTCCGTGGCGAATGTCTTCGATTCGCTACCAGTTTACTCGGCCTGGATCGAGTGACATATTACCTTGATGAAACCAATTAAAATTCCCTTTTAATTCATACCACGTCAAAAGTAATTCAAAAGGATGGAGAAAGTAATTTCTGTATGTACCTGATGGGTTTGCACCTCCATCCATATCGTACTGTGCACGGGTTAGGGACACAACATAACCAATGTGTGCTGGAACTCAAAACAGCGATAGCAGAGTGTTAGATAAAGGATTCAAATGGCAATATTTGCACATCTATGTCTCTACTTTCTAACCCTGCTTGCTCTCTTTCACTTTTATATTGTCCGTTGATGGCCCAGACTATCCATGCTTAGTCATCACATCTCAACCGCCGATAAGAAAAAAAAAACCTTCCAAGGTCCCATCAATCTCATTCATATCAACATATCAGCTTAACGTCACAATGGGTGTCCAAAGAAAGACCAGAAAGTTTGCCCTGGCCAAAAGGGCCATCACTATGAAGGATAACCGCCTGTTTGTTCCCCCAATTCCCCTTGCGCCCTCTATTCTCAACCGCTAACACTGACCAGGAAGTCAAACCAAGACAAGAAAGAAGAGGAAAAGCCCAAGGATGATCTGATCAGAGAAGCGTGAGTAAACTAATTCAATTCGAAAAACACAGAAATCTAACAAACCCCCAGTCCCCAGGCTCCTTCGTCCATGTTCTTCCAATACAACACAGCTCTCGCTCCCCCGTACTCCGTCCTGGTCGATACCAACTTCATCTCCCACACCATTCAACACAAGCTCGAGGTCATCCCAAGCATGATGGACTGTTTATACGCAAAGTGTATCCCAATCGTCACAGACTGCGTTCTAGCCGAGTTGGAAAAGCTGGGCCCGAAATACCGTCTTGCTCTGCGTGTGGCCAAGGACACTCGTTTTGAGAGAGTCAAGTGTGACCACAAGGGTACCTATGCCGATGACTGTCTCGTCGACCGTGTGATCAAGCACCGTGTCTACATCATCGCCACCAACGATCGCGACCTCAAGAGACGTATTCGGTATGTTCTGCGACGGAGAGAAAATTGCCATGACCATTCTGACTCTTATAGTAAAATCCCTGGTGCTCCTATCATGAGCGTTGCTCGCGGAAAATACGTTATCGAGCGCCTCCCCGATGCCCCCGAGAAGTGAGCGCTTTCACACGACCTTTTATTGCGTTCGGCCTGGCGTCTTGTTCACCAGTCTATGTTACCATTGCGATACCCACGAATTTCTTTTTTTATATCAAAAGTTACATCGAATCAAAGATTTTGTCTCTTTAGTGGCAGGCAAATTTCACATCAACTGGGACACCGATTGACGGCAAATTGGGTTGTCGCATGAAGCGCATCGCACCAGTACGGCTCTGGATATCAATCAACATCCGATACTATCAAAAGGGCTCTTCAAGGACAGCTGCCAATTGACCTAGCCGCTAAGACTTTCAAGTTGAATTCTACGATGACCATCGCACATCTTCTCTGGTGGAAATCCGACGAGTTGAGGTCCTTCTTGAAGTAGGACCAGTGATTGCCAATAGGCCATTTGCTTCCAGCCCCGTCATTCTGGCGGACTGAGTTGCAGCATGTATTATATTTGTTAAGAAAATGTTGTGAACAATTTACGCACCGCATCCTTAGCGACTCGATTGTCCGCAAAGCTTTCCATCATCCTCCGCCGCGACATCATGATGTATAGCGGTGGTAATTCTGCAAGTAGCGACTTGGAGTCAACCGAGTCATCATCCGGAGCAGCGATATCAAGAAGCTGCTTCAGTATCCGTAGAGAATACAACGTAGCCTGGATCTGACCGAGGAGCTGAACATCCACCCAATCAGTCCGTTGACCCATGTATCCCTTTGCAAGGAACTTTTCTACTTGCTTTCCCGTTGGAGTCGCACTCGCATCACGGTAGACCTCAGCAAGGGCGAACAGGAACCAGAACCTCTCCGTCGCTAGACTATGCCTGAACATATCCCGTGCAGATTCAAGTCGACTGCGAAATAGCCCTAAGTCCGACTTCACGTACTGTTCCTCACTGAGCGCCACCTCATCGGCAACAATCCTTCCACCTCGACGAACATACTCACGCACAACCGAGTACCGATTATCAGCAGCCCTCGAAAGATTGAAAAACGAATACCCAAGAGCACGATAATCGCGCCCATGCCTCCAAGCACACTGCCTAGCATGATCTTCACTCAAAACCCCGAGATAAACATGCGGCATGCCATCCGAGCAATAGACCCCAGGAAGCTGATACTGCCAAAACAACTCAGAAATCCGAGGATCCAGATCCTGGACCAACCCCCAGCCCCAAGAGCAGGCTGCAAATGCGTATCCTCATCTTCATATTCCTTCAAAAACTCCCGATATTCATCCAAAGCCTCCGTCACCCCGCCATCATGCTTAGCCGCCTGCACAATCTGCGCAAACCTCAAATGCGGATCCTGCATCAAGCGAAACGCAAACCGCCGAAGACTAGCGACCCCCAACTTCCGCGCAAGCCCAGCCGGACAAATCCTCAACCCCCGAATATCCCCCTCAACAGGATCCCACACGCCCGACGGCGTCTGCACAGAATCCAGAAACACAACCCCACCTTCCAACCCAAGATCATGAACCATCAAATCCGAATCCCCGGATAAAACCACCGACCCCGTCGCTTTTGCGACGCGCGCGCATTCCACATCTGCCTCGCCGGGGACCATAACCGTCCTCTCCGCAAAGGGGTATTCATGTTTATTGCGGAGCGAGCTGACATCCTCATCGATATCCTTTCGAATAGACTCTGTCGTCCAGCGACCTTTGAGGTCCTCGTATACGCAGGAAACCATGAATGGGTTTTCGGGTAGGTTCTTCCTTCGACTGGGTAGACCGCGACTGCACCAGATTTGGCCTGCTTTGGGGTTAATTGGGGGCCGGGATTTGGGCGCTGAGTGGAGGGGTAGGTCGCGGCGGGCAAGCTCGAGTCTTTTGCGCGATTTTTCGTTTCTTGATAGGCGTGTTTCGCGTTTTGAGGTTGGGAGGGCGCCGTCGAAGCATATTTGGTGGCTGTAGTTTTGGTGTTAGTGGTTTGTACTGTTGATGCTGCTGTAGGTGTAGGTATATGCGAGTGTATGGGTGATGGCGGCGGGGTGGAATGGTGGGGGTTGTGGAATGCTCACATTTCAACGCCTAGTTTGTTCAATTGGAAGAGGAAGCTGCATACCCCGCGACTGACTTCGTCGCAGCTTGGTTGGACATCCAGGATGTCGCAGCTTGGGTCTATCCATGACAGTAGGCGGTGGTGGACATGGTATACTAGACTTGGGCCGTCGATGACGACTCCTCGCACGCGCGGGGGGTCTTCTGGGCCTGGGAGTTGGCCATTGAGTTGGATGCTCTCGGCATATGGGAGGAGGTGTTTGGTGAGGTATTGAATTCCCATCGTGTGTAGAAATGAAATTGCTGGCTTGCGGTTTTTTTTTCTGGTTGTATTAGTCAGGGTTGGTCCGCGGGAACTAAAGCGAAGTATGGAGATGGCTTGGATGTTTACTTCAACCCTAAGTCCAACCATTTTTAAATAGATGATATACGGAGACGAAGAAATGCAGATTCTGTGGGATGGTTCATATATCCCGAAAGCATGGACAATGCATCTATGAAAGCAACAAATTAGACAGCTCATTTACATACGCCAGACCCATACAATGACTCTAATCTTTTAGCGGGCAGACCGCAAGAACCCAACAACACCACGACAGTATCCAACCAACTCAGCCAAACGCTTTCCTTCCCGCTCCTGCTCCTGAGCCCAAGAAGCCAAAGCATTCTGCAAGAGACGGTACTCAGGTCCATCTCTCTGAGAGCTGAGAGAGACAGTATCCGAGTGAATCTTCAAGAATACCGCCATCCAAGCATTGACCATTTCGAAATCCCTCTTGGACTTCAAGCGGTGAGTGAGAGCAATGACAAAGTCAGACAATTCAGAATGTCCAGCGCGAACGCGAGGATCCAATGATCGGATCTCGAGATCGGCCTTGGCAGGAGGGAGGGTTTTGAGGTGGTCGACGAAGGAGTCGTAGTTGCCGGATTTGTGAGCGGCTTCCAAGGACCGAGTGAAGATTGTCTGGGCGGAGGGGCCAGTTTCGCCGTTTTGCAACTTGGCGATGCGAAGACGTTCGGCCTCGGCAGTTTGTGCGAGGAATCCGGCTTCAGCGGCTTCGTTGTTAGAGGCGGCTGGCTCGGGTCCGCTGGAGCTGAGCATGGAGGGCAGGAAGAAAGGCGCCTTCTCGGGGGCCTTGGGTGCTTCCTTGGGCTTGTTGCGTTCCTATTTAGTTGTGAGCATTTGAATATCTTATGATGCAAATAGTGAAGTTTTCTTACCCGAATAGTATCAAGATGGACCAATGACTGCCATCTGCTCTTGGGAACCAAACTGAGAGTCATCATATCAGTTTGTAGCTGCTCAGTCGTCAAAACAGGGCCATCGTCCTCATCGTCTTCAGCAACATCCATGAAGGCAGCCTCAACGAGACCAGCACCACTCTCGCCTGATGTGGCCGGAACGCCAACATTTTCAATAACACTCTCGTCCAGGTTCTTGGTCGAAATAGGCATGAAAAGACTGCGGTTGCTCCAGAGGCTGATACCAATACCACCGGCGTGGGCTGTAGCAAGGAATTCGCCAGTAGATGACATGGACAGGGCGACACATGTGCTGGATACTCGGAAGATATCGATCAGATGTCCCGTGGGCAGATCCCAAACACGAACCACAGAGTCCAAAGACGCCGCAATAACCCATCGTCCATCATTCGAGAAGATGAAGTCATTGATCTGACCCACGCATCCCCAGAACTCACGAACGAGTTTCCTGGTCTCGAGGTCGATCACGCGGATTGAGAGGTCGTCACAGCTGAAGGCAACCAACTCACTGGCCTTGTTGTAGCGAAGTCCAGTAATGGCAGCCATTGGGTGCCAGTCAAGTTCGTCGATGAAGGATCCAGAAAGAAGATCCCAGAACTTGACTTTGCCGTCCAAGCCACAGCTGACGACGGTTCGGTTCAGACTGTCAATCATCAACCCGGTGACAGCCTTGGTGTGCTTTGTCGAGGGGGAAATGTTGAGCTTGCTGACGCGAGACTTTTGTAGACGGGCTGGGAAGCTTTGTCGGTGTTGGCCAGATTGCATGTTATACATGTCAATAGCACCTCCAGCTGAACCAATGACAGCGAAAGTTCCACATTGCGAGATCGCCACGCTCTGTTACATACTTGTTAGACGCAGAAATCAAATCTTCTCGAGGAGGTACATACCTTGACTTCTGTTGAGTCGCTAGTCACAAATGCCCAGCGACCTGCCTTCTTCTTACCCCAGAACCAGGTACGAGCGTATTTGTCGCCCCGATGACCGGTGACCACACTTTCCCAGCCGGTTGCATTAGAAGCATCGGCGTTGGTAGCCTTGGGGTTCGACCAAATGGGTCCAGTGGTAGTGATACCCATACCACCATCACGGTTCAGACTGCAAGCGATACAGGATATCTCGGGAGCCTTGAGGTCATCCACTGACGATTTGCTCGAGTTACTCTGGCCCGACTTCTTGGCCTTGCTTTCCACGTTGCCCTGAGAGATCTCAGTATGCTGGCTATCCTTGCGCAAACTGAGTCCCCAGAGACTGCAGTCCTTACTAGCACTCATAAGCCATTTGCCGCCAGAATCGGATCCATCCGAGGAGGCTGGCAAGAAGTCAATGGCGCTGACGGCAGCCGAGTGGCCGTTTCTTGCGTGAAGAGGTCTGGGAATAGGCGAGAAGGGGGTTGCGTCAAAGATCCAAGTCTTCAGCGCGTTGTCATCACCGGAGGACACCAGCACGGGCTGACCATCCAGGAACTCGACATTGTTCGCTCCCATGGACTTCTCGCCACTGAGAACCTTGTGAGCACCACGGAGGATGCCAGCAACACGGCCTCCCTCGTTCAAATCCCAGAGTGTGATATCACCGCTGCCACTAGAGGCAGTGGCCATGACACCTGGGGTGCGGCCTTCGGGACCAGCACCAAGACCATCACTTCGGAAAGAGATCGAAGTCACGGGAAGACCCCGAGACGAGGCAGCCCGCAGAGCCAAAACTGTCTGACCAGAGTTGACATTTTGAATCGACAATGCGCCGCTCTTGTACGCGATGGCAACAAGAGACAGAGCGGGGGTAGAGCTAATAGCAGTCACAGGTCCAGCCTCGGCAGACAGAGCAGGCAGAGTGAACAGGAGCTTTCCGCTGCGGAGGTTCCAAATATCAACCGCTCCATCGGTGCGGCCCACGAAGACCTTGTTCAGGTAAGTTGGCATGTTGCACATGACTCCGGTGTAGATCTGATCCGAGCCCTGAACAGGCTGTGCACGCAGACTAGCATAGTGCTCGTATGTTCCGGTCTTCCACACCTCAACACCACCCGCCCAGCAACCAACGACCCACGAACCGAACACAACCAACCGCTGGATGGGGCCCGCTAGATCGGAGGGGCTGTCGAGAGCTGCGATCTTCTTTCCACGCTTGAAAACCCAAACACCGCCGGGGGACCGCGGCCGGAGATGACCCCATGATGCAAATATCTTATCCTGCCATGCGCAAGTTGCGGTGATAATCTCGGGGGTTTGAGGCCGACTCAGGAAGATCAGGTTCAGTCCTCGGCGCAAGTCGTATGTCTGCAGAGAATGTCCGACTGAGGTGGTAATCTGGAAGGTTGATTTGCCCAGGCGTACTGAAGTGAAAGGGACTGGTGTGGGTGACACTAATCCTAATGTCTTCACGAGACAGCGTCAGCTGGAGCACGGAGATGAAAGTCTGACCTTTCCACATACCCGGAAGGGAGCAAAGATTTTGGAGCCTCGCGATTGACCTTTGGTCAGTTGCGATGTGCGCTTCTGCCTCTTGACCAGAGGCGCATCGTGCTTGTCGCTAGCAGCAGACATGCTGATATAGAGATGAAGTCTGGATATCGACTTGAGATAGGTGCTGGCAAAGACAGCGGGATAGTCAAGATATTCAGAAAAACACACAATGTAATTCTTCTACCATTGGCATCCAGATATCCCCGACAAACAGCACTTGCAGTCCAGTATGTGTTTGAAGTCGCCCGTCTGAGCTTCTTTTTTTCCCGCGGTTTTTTTCTGCCCCGCCTAATCCTGCAGGACCCAGACCGCCTGCCCATATGGGAAAAAGTCCAAGATCAGTGTTGAATATAGACCTGCAGCAGGCTCAATTCTGTGGATAGATTGATTGGAGTTGATTATTGGGAAGAGTGATGGACGGCCTATGATTTGCATACATGAACCCTGTCAGGCGTGTCTCGCTGTCATCAACATTTGCCTCCAGGACGATCACCTTGTGATGCATGCGTATTGAGCACCTTCGCCTCAAGTCCCTGATTAGTTGTCCCAAGTACTACAAAGTACTCGAAACTCCAGAAACGCGGCATAGGTTCCGTAGAATCCATAGAGCGCAGTAACACTACTAAATTCGACCTCATCATCAGAGAATATAAAGTTGGTGAACCGCTTCACCGTCTCTCCGCCTGCGGGCCCATTCTTTGGTAATACAGTCTTTCTCCGAATGTGACGTTGGTTCTTCTCTTCTCCTCCCTCCTCTCTCTTCTCTCTCTTGAAACACATCTCCTTGTCGGAGTTTCTGTTATTATCTTCCACCCCCCCACTTTGCCCCTCCTATCAGCGGGACATTCCCAGTGTCCGCTATGGATCCCGGGGGCTCTCTCAATGCCGACTCTTCGACTCCTGCGCAACCGATCATGACGGCCTCCCCTCCCTCGCCGATGGACACCGAGAACGAGCAGACGCCCACAGGGCTGATCCCAGAACCGACGGGATTGTCACCAACCAAGTCCGTCCACCCCAAGACCGCAGGAAAATCCGATCCGGTATCCGAACCTCGACCGGGTGGTGTAATTGGACACTCTACACGCTCCTCGAGCCGGGCACCCAGGAGATTCAGTGGAAGCACAGCTGCGAGTACAGCTGCAAGCTCTATCAGTGAGATGGAATCCAGCTCTCTCAAGCCATGGAGGATTGGAGTATGTGCTTTGGATGTCAAGGCCCGCAGCAAGCCGAGCCAGAATATTTTGACGCGGCTTCAATCAAAGGGTGACTTCGAGGTGATTGTCTTTGGAGACAAGGTGATTCTCGACGAGGCTGTGGAAAATTGGCCAGTGTGTGATTTCTTGGTGGCCTTCTTCTCCGACGGATTTCCCTTGGATAAGGCGATTGCGTATGCTAAGCTGCGCAAACCGCTATGCGTCAATGATCTGCCTATGCAAAAGGTCCTGTGGGATCGGCGGTTGTGTCTGCAAATTCTGGATCATATGGGTGTCCCCACCCCGAAGCGGTTGGAAGTCAACCGTGACGGCGGTCCAGTTCTGGAGTCGCCCGAGCTAGGCCAGCATATCTATAGCCTGACCGGTGTGAAGCTTCCAGGCCCCGAAGATGGCACTGGTGGTGGTGCCCCCAGAACCCAGAGCGTTTCCATGTCCGAGGACGGCGAGTCGTTGATTGTAGATGGCAAGGTCTTTAGAAAGCCTTTTGTCGAGAAGCCAGTCAATGGCGAAGACCACAACATTCACATCTACTTCCCCAAAGACTCGCAGTATGGTGGTGGTGGAAGACGGCTCTTCCGAAAGGTTGGCAACAAGAGCTCAGAATATGATCCCAATATGTCTGTGCCACGATCTGTCACAGAGAGTGATACGAGTTATCTGTACGAGCAATTCCTCAGAGTCGACAATGCCGAGGATGTCAAGGCCTATACAGTCGGACCCGACTTCTGTCACGCAGAGACCCGCAAGTCTCCTGTCGTGGATGGCCTTGTCCGGCGAAACACTCACGGAAAGGAGATCCGTTATATCACCAAACTTGGCAAAGAAGAAGCAGCAATTGCTTCCAAGATTTCTAATGGTTTTGGCCAGAGAATTTGCGGCTTTGACATGCTTCGCGTTGGAGATAAAAGCTACGTCATTGATGTTAATGGCTGGAGTTTCGTCAAGGACAACAACGACTATTACGACAAGTGTGCCAACATTCTGCGAGATATTTTCCTGAATGAGAGACGCAAATGTGAAGGACCAATTGATGCTTCCGAGCCCCCCTCTCCAGACATCGGACCATCCAGGAGGAGCACTGCTGGGTCCCATCGCCAGGCTTTGAAGACATTGCTGAAGTCTCCCAGTCATTCCAGACTTTACGGCACCCAAGGGTCTCAAAAGCCTCAGGATAACCCTCCCTCGGAGGTATCAACTGCCACTCCATCGGTGGCATCTTCATCTGGAGTCGAGAGCGCTGATATTGGCGCCGCTCTTAGCAAGCTAAACTCTCGCGAGGGGCACTCTGCTTCTCGTGCATACAGTCCCTCCAATACGAAGTCACCGGCTCTCTCAGTGCAACATGCCAACGATGAAGCGCTTCCTCCCCTTCCAGCTTCCAAGCACTCTTGGAAATTGAAAGGCATGGTCGCAGTGATACGCCATGCAGACCGAACTCCGAAGCAAAAGTTCAAATTCACATTCCACAGTCAACCTTTTGTGAACCTACTCAAGGGGCACCAGGAAGAGATAGTGATCAAGGGCGCGGCTGCCTTGAGCAGCGTATCCGATGCAGTCAAAATAGCCATGGAAAAGGGCCTGGAAGATATGGAGAAGCTGAAGCTGCTCCGCACGTCTCTGGAAAAGAAGGGCGGCTGGCCCGGGACTAAAGTTCAAATCAAACCCATGTTTAGAAAGCGGACTCCAGAGGAAATGGGTGATTCGACACCTGTTGTTTCCACCCCAGGAGCTTCCACAGGCGAAACAGTTCTTACTCCTGTGCCTGAGGATCCTGAACATCCGGAAACTGAAGAGCTGCGCCAGGCACGAAGCGATTCTATCTCTGGTGCAACCTTCTCACGCTTCTCTGCCGCCGAGAATGACTTGATTTTGGACAAATTGCAGCTCGTGATCAAGTGGGGAGGAGAGCCTACTCATGCTGCCCGTTACCAATCGCAGGATCTTGGGCTGAATATGCGCGACGATCTCAAGTTGTTGAACAAGGAGGCACTCAACAATGTTCGTATATTTACCAGCTCGGAGCGCAGAGTGAGCACTAGTGGTGAGTTAAATCCCGCCCATCCTCTCGGAATGGGAGCTTCCCAGATTGAATATCATACTAACCAACTTCCTAATTAGCACAAATTTGGGCTTGTTCATTCTTAGACCAGAAGGACATTCCCGATGACTTGATCCAGGTTCGTAAGGACTTGCTGGACGACTCTAATGCCGCCAAGGATGTTATGGACAAGGTCAAGAAGAAGCTCAAATTGCTTTTGAGGGAAGGATCTGCGCCTTCGCAATTTGCTTGGCCCAAGGATAGCAACATCCCAGAGCCTTCGGTTGTGCTGGCCACGGTAGTTGAACTAATGAAGTTCCACCGTAGCGTGATGCGACATAACTTCGAGAAGTTTGCTGGTTCCCCGCAACTGACAGGGTCTACATCGAATGGCCTTGATGCTGCTCAGGCAGATGAAGTTCCAACTGATCAACCTAATATTGAAGACATTCAGGGTCGCTGGTGCGCTGGTGAAGACCCCCGACTCTTCAAGGAGCGATGGGAGAAGCTCTTCGCAGAATTCTGTGACACTGAAAAGGTCGACCCCAGCAAGCTTTCTGAGCTGTACGATAGCATGAAATTCGACGCGCTCCACAACCGCCAATTCCTGGAATGGGTCTTCATGCCTCCTGACATGGCTGCTGATGAAGATGACAAGGCTAGTCTGAAGGGTAAAAGCACAAAGTCGGAAGTTGGTGAATCCAAGCATGCACAGCAGGAACCTGGCAGCGAAAAGCCCGAAGAGGGCCATACATTCGCTCATCGCTTTGGGTTGAAGAAGCGCAGCGTGCTCGAGTCACTTCCTCATCTCCGGGCACTGGATGATTCATACGATCACTACTTCAAGCTTTTCCCTGGCTCTAATACTACCAAGTGCAAGATGGACAAGCGACTTTCCAAGCTCCGGGACCTGTACAAGCTGGCCAAGGTCCTGTTTGACTACGTGACACCCCAAGAATACGGTATCACCGACAGTGAGAAATTGGAGATTGGTCTCCTTACATCTCTTCCTCTTCTGCAAGAGATTGTCCGAGATCTGGAAGAAGTGCAAGCATCCCAGGATGCCAAGTCTTTCTTCTACTTTACCAAAGAATCTCACATCTACACTCTTTTGAACTGCATCCTGGAAGGTGGAATTCAAACCAAGATTGCCAGGAGCGCCATACCCGAGCTGGACTATCTCTCCCAGATCTGTTTCGAGCTCTACGAGGCTCGGGATCATGAGTCAGACTCCTACTCCTACTCCATCCGAATCTCCGTCAGCCCCGGTTGTCACGCATTCGATCCTCTTGACGTGCAACTCGACTCGAGGCACGCCATTGGCTGCGCCCCACGACGAAGCTTAACAGCTCACCAAGACTGGAAGGAGGTGATTGAAACATTGAAGGCGAAGTTCAATACGTGAGTTACCTCGATCCTTATGTGATACTTGTTGCTAATTGTGACCAGGGTGGAACTTCCCAAAACTTTCATCGCGGTCAACCTGAGTGAGAAGCATACCGCTCATCCCGAAGAAGACGACTCACCAGAGGCCTCGGCGGAGGTCTCTGGCCAATGATTCCTAGAAATTGCCCTATTTGAATTTTGGATCGCGAATTGCGTCTGTACTCTAGTGACTGTACTATCTAGAAAAACAATTTAGAAAGGGGAAGGGCTTTATAAATCACATGAAGAATCAACCTGAAGTAGCGTAAGCGGCCCCGCGGCTTATCAAAGCCCCCGAGTTGACCGAATTGTTGAATGTTGTTCGCTTTCTTTCCCACTCCAAAATGGCTGGATCAGCTTTAGATGTCGAAATAGCTGGCAACACGCTGGAATACACCGATGGCAAGATTGACCTGAATGACATCCTGTGTATACTGCCAGGCCAGGCACCCAACGAGCATCGCGCACTGTTCTTCCAGGCCAAAAAAGACAGCGACGAGTCAGAAGAGCGCACATATCTAAAGGAGCTCGACATAAAGAACCTACCGGCAGAGCTATCTAGCTTCATAACGACCGTTCCAAGCCATCTTCAAAACACAGACAAGCCACCGGTGATCCAAGTGGTGATATCCACAGGCTCAGGAACAGGCAAAGCCCAAATCGTCTTCCAAGATGCCATACAGCCTCTATTTAACTATATTGGACTAGAAGGCATCGAGATCTACGAAACAGAATCTGCCCAAACAATCACCGAACTGACTCGAACCAAATTCATCAAATATGCCGCCGAAGGCGTGCCCCAAACCATTATCCTCCTCTCAGGCGATGGCGGCCTAATTGACATCCTTGACATTTTCTACAAATCAAAACAAACGCTGAAAGTCCCGCCTAATATCGTTCTCATCCCATGCGGGACCGGCAACGCCATGGCGAGCTCAATAGGGTTACGATCTGGGCCCGTACCCGGTTTGTCTACATTACTCCGGGGCACACCATCTCCCATCCCAGTCTTCGGCGCTAGATTCTCGCCTGGGAGCCAGTTTGTCATGGATGAGGGTCGTCAGCGGGCGCCGATAGACGGCGACGATGCGGATGCAGATGCAAATGCTCCGTACCGAACGGTCCACTGTGCCGTCGTTGCCAGCTGGGGTCTGCATGCCGCGCTCGTGGCAGATAGTGATACATTTGAATACCGCAAGTTTGGTATTGATCGGTTTAAAATGGCTGCTAATGAGCTGCTTTACCCGTCGGATGGGTCTCCGTGTCATCGGTTCAAGGGGAGGATCACCATGTCGCTACGGGATGATGGGGCAGAGGGGGATGTTCGTCGGGAGATTATGGAAAGTGATGAGCATATGTATGCGCTTGCTGCTATGGTTCCGCGTCTCGAGAAGGAGTTTTTGATTTCTCCTGAGTCTGTGCCGCTTAGTGGTGAGATGAGGTTTCTTCGGTTTGGACCTATGTTGCCGGAGGATGCGTTGCGGTTGATGGCTCTTGCTTATCAAGGTGGTCAGCATGTCACGGAGGAGACAGTGACGTATGTCGATATTGAAGGGTTGAGGATTGATTTCTTGGAAGACGAGGAGAGATGGAGGCGGGTATGTATTGATGGGAAGATTGTTGCAGTTGACAAGGGTGGGTGGATGGAGTTGTATAAAGAGCCTGCGCGGTTACTTCGAGTGATTCAGTAGACTCAGCAGAGAATAAGAGCAGCTCAAGAGAATCTGACCATCAACCCTAAAACCCTGAAGCCCTGAAGTATAGAATGCCTAGTCAGCGCCGATCCCAGGAATCATGTGTCTCTCCCGCCATCTCCGATAAACACAGCCCCAACCCTTCAGGGCTTCAATTTCTTTTCTCTTTTATGATGGAATTGTCCGTCCGATTCGATGTTGATAACTGCGCGCACCTATTCTGCCTCTCAATCCCTGGACCGAACCTTCACCTCTGAAGGCTCCCGATACCACACCCTTTCTGGGTGGCGTAAAAGCCCCAACGCCAAACAAGCAGCAGAGATGTTGATGATTCACCAAGTAGGCAGTGTACGAGTAGGGGAAGTGGTTAGGTGAGTCTGCCAAGGAAGAAGCGCAACTCGAGCCTGGAGCATGGAATTTGGAACACTCTCCTCATGGGGATGACAACCAACTGTCGCGTGCGCTTGAGTCTCACAGACTCGCGAAACACACTCCGTATACTAACTCGTCCTGATTCAGATATACCATCACCTACACGCCCGCAGCTGACCCAATCCTCCCCATCCCCTCCGAGCTCTACGTCCGGGTGAAGAACACCTCCGCGCTTCCGCTGCGCGCCGCATACCTTCATGGCCCCTACACACTCTACGCCGCCTGCTACCCGGCGAAATTCGACCCGAATATCAAGTATGAGCGACAAGATCTAGAAGGCGCTCCGCAGTATGAGCCGTATCTCAAGGCCGGAGGTGGTTGGGACGCCGTCATCAAGGTCCCGTCCCACGTCCAGGATGCGCAGAATTTCGGATTATCCGGGAATGACGGATCGAATGGGGATCAAAGTGTTACGTGGATTGTTGAGATACAGTCGCAGGTGATCTTCTCCTCTAGTGCGGCGGTACATTTCGAATTGCTGGTTGGCCGCGATGAGAGATCGCTGGAATACTTCTCTGGCGGGAGTTGGAGTGGTGGCCATGGCCCTCCTGGTAAATTACTGGATCATTGGTCGCCTGATGCTAGGGGGAAACAGGCACTTGCTGCTAAGGGTGTTTATTCGAAGGCGATTGCCTTGCAGGTCGATGATACGAATAGTTTGTGGAACAGTCCGCCTTTTCCTACTGCCGATGAGTCGAAGGAGGATGCAGAGGGCGAGAGTCATGATTTGACAACTCCTACGGAAGAACATCCGGACCCGCAGAGCGGATCTGAAGTACCTGCAGATGCCAAGAAGACGAAGAAGAAGAAGAAGATTCATCTTGTGCTACTGACGCATGGGCTACACAGCAACCTGGGCACGGACATGCTCTATATGAAGGAAAGCATCGACGCGGCTACAAAGAAGTCCAGGAGGAGAGCAAGCCATGCCAAATCTGCCGATGGGAGTCAAGTTGATACCGACGAAGAGGACGAAGAGGAAATAATTGTCCGAGGATTCTCTGGTAACGCTGTCCGTACTGAGCGCGGTATTCAATATCTCGGAAAGCGTCTGGCTAAATATGTCTTGCTCTTGACATATCCCGATCAACCCTATTTTCCTCTCAAAGGCTCCAAGCCGAATCCACTCATTCGACCTTTTACTGCTCGCAAGCAGCATAGTCACCCATCGAATTCTCATCATGTGGCCACCGAGAACAGCGACAACACCATTGGGAGTGAGGATCACCCTTACCAGATCACTAGTATCAGTTTCATCGGGCATTCCCTCGGAGGATTGATTCAGACATATGCAATTGCATACATTCAGAAGCACTCCCCCGAGTTCTTTGACAAGATTGAGCCTGTCAACTTTATCGCTCTCGCAACTCCTTTCCTCGGTCTCAGCAATGAAAACCCAATGTATGTCCGTTTTGCGCTGGACTTAGGTCTGGTTGGTCGTACTGGGCAGGATCTCGGGTTGAGCTGGACAGCACCGAAAGTCCGAAGTGGGTGGGGAGCCATCATTGCTGGAAGAGGAGATTCAGCAAAGGACCAAACTCAACCGGATCCTGGTTCCAAGCCACTTCTCCGGATCCTTCCCTGTGGCCCGGCGCATGAGGTTCTCAGCAAGTTCCAGCATCGTACTGTGTACTCGAACGTGGTGAATGACGGAATTGTTCCTCTGCGCACCTCTTGTCTCTTGTTCCTGGACTGGAAAGGTCTGGACCGGGTTGAGAAGGCGAGAAGGGACAATGGACTTGTCGGAACCATGGCTGAATGGGGATGGGCAGAGTTGACTGGAGCTCATTCGAAATCACCGCGACTGGGTCGCTCTGGTGATGAATCGCCTCTGACTGAATCAGCCGAGACCGGTCAGCATTCACATCCCACCATTGAAGTTCCGCAAGGACAGAATGGCGACGAAGGGAACGACGCCGTCTCTCCGAGCCCCGGCCATTTCCTCACAAGTCCTGCTCATCGTTTGTCTCACATGAGCATCCCAGAAGAGAATACCGCGAAAGAGAATGCCTCAGCAAATGCGTCTCTTGGCCCCCTGGACACCTTTATGTCATTATTCCGTCCCAAGGAGAACAAGACTCCCCATAGCGGCAAGAATTCCCGCATCTACAAACGCAGCCAAACGCTCAGCTCTTTCGAAACTGACGGTCCATCGCCTGTGGCCCACGGCCAAACACACGAGAACGACGGTGTCCACACACCCCCGAAAACAACATTCTTTGAATCTGCCGGAGATTTACTGATGCCACCACTTCCACCACCAGAGTTCATCTTGGACCCTGCCTCGCGGCCGAGAACCATATTCCACGACCGCATTTACCACCCAGAAGATATACCCCCTCCCATGCCCGTCAAGCGACGCACTCTCGCATTCGGCTCCCTGCAGAACAAGCAATCCAAGTCCGCACCCCATACGGCGACCCAATTACCCCCAAGCTCAAGCTCCAGCGCCAACAGCGCCGAGAGCGGCCTCAAGGTTGAAGAGAAAATTGCCAGAGCCTATCACCGCGATCTATCATGGCGCAAGGTCCTCGTCCGACTCGAGCCGGATGCGCATAACAATATTATTGTGCGACGGATGTTCACCAATGCCCACGGGTGGCCTGTTGTGAAACACCTGGTTGATACGCACTTCGCGCATACGCCCGTGGTGGCCATTGAAGATTCGCAGAAGCGCAGTGTGGACCGAGCACGGTCTCCTAATATCGGACCGACTAGCTCGGGTGATGAGGTCGACGATCAAACTAAGACGCCTGAATTGGAGACGGGTGCAGATACGGATGATCTGCCTGATGTTGCTGGATTAGATGTGTCTGATCCGTTGCAGGCTCATGATCATGCTCATCGGAGTGAAACTTTCTCCGGTGAGAATGAGTCCCAGCGGACCAAGAGTCCAACTGAACGGACTTGCGTGTCGAGGCAGGATTCGGCTCGATGGACGGATCGAGAAATCGATGAAGACGACTGTGAGTCTGGGTTTGAGGAGGAGGTAGGTTCTGGTTTCCGATGGGCTCGATAGACGACTGAAGGACCCTTTTGCACATACTCTTTTTATATTTTGGATATACCCTGGCAGTCAGTGATGGATACGAATTGGATTTTGCAATACAGATTTGATCTCAGGTAACTTATATAGTAACCCCATAGAATGATCCTCAATAGACCATCTCGCCCTGAATATACCCCCAAAACTCCTTGACAAGCTCCTCCTGACCCCCGGGCGAACCCCGAACAGCAAGATATTTCCTCCCATCCAGCGTAGCCTCCCACTCCCCTTGATTTCCACCCACCATGCGCCCCCCAGCCTCATTCAAAATCACCCAACCAGCACAAACATCCCACGCCCAACAGCCCCCCTCCCAATACAAATCCACCGTCCCCTCCGCAACAGCACACAGATTCAAAGCCGCCGACCCCAAGCTCCTAAACGACCGCACCATAGCCCCGCCATCGGCCTTGGCCCGTCCCAGCATCTCAAACGTCCTCACCTTCGTCTCAAAGTTCCGCCCACTCCGATCCGACCCCCACTCAATCGCCACCAGCGCATTCGACAGCCCCGACAGGGGCTCAACATTCTCCCCACGCAGCGGCAACCTCGTCGAACGGTTCACGAACGCTCCCTGCCCCTTGATGGCCGAGTAGAGCGTCTTCGTGGAGGGGTTATACACGACGCCCACGACGGGGACGCGGTTCACGGCGAAGCCGAGAGAGACGCAGGCAAAGGGGAAGCTGTGGATGAAGTTGATTGTGCCGTCTATTGGGTCTACGATGAAGGTTGGGGCGTCTGTGAGGGGTTTGGCTGGGTCGTAGGTTTCTTCGCCGTGGAAGAGGTACTCGGGGAATTTGGCGCGGAGGGAGGTTGAGATCATTGTTTCGACTGCGCGGTCATATTCGGTTACGAGGTCTGCACCTGGGGGGTATGTGTTAGGGTGGTTTTGTATGGGGGGAGTTGGGGATCCAGGACGGACTGTTCTTTTTGGCTCCTGTGCTGCTGGTTTCTGGGAGGGCATTGTTGATTATGTCGCCGGCTTTGAAGGCGAGCTCGATGAGATAGTCGTGGATTTCGGTGAGGTTGGGCTCCATTGTGTAGACTATAGGGTGTAGGGGGAGAGTGTAAAGAGTAGAGTATAGAGGAAGTATGGAGGATCTCTCCCCGGACAGCGCTAGAGGCGGGGCAGCCGGAGATTAGAGCAATTGACTACGACTTGGAGAGGGACTATTTGGCTATTCTGAAGTAAGTAATGTACCAGGAGGAAATCTATATCCACCAACATTAGCAGAAGTGCCCATATCAACATCTATAGATCTGCTTGGTCAGAGAATCTCCGCGTTTCTAGTGACGTCGAAACACCCCCACTTCCGAAAAAAATCTTAGGGCACACTTCTTGACACTTACTTGAACGACACATTTACACAGGCTTGTCATTTGAGTACAACATGCCTACCGAACTTGAAGAGGTAAGACTGCGCAACCCATGGTGTGAACCGAGGCTCACCAATTCTATAGCTGGTGGAATTCCTCCACCACGGAAACACCCAGATCAGACAAATCGGTAGGAACGACCCTCGCAAATCCGCGGCGCATAGACTGACAGGACATATTTAGCCTGCGAAAACCTCGTCGGATTCTCTACCGCGCAGCCCGACCTGTTCAAGAGCGATCAACTACTCCCCGTTCGCGACCTGAAGCTTCTCGCCCGGGATTACACGGTGCGTGGAGATCGATTTGGTGGGGGGGATATACCAACTGACGTGCTATAGCCAATTGCCAAAAATGCATTGACAATGCTGGTCAATTTGTCCAGCGACGAGGAAGTGCTGAAGGTTCTCGCCGAGGATGACCAATTCATTGAGACCCTGCTCTTGAAGTTGACCGTGAGTGAATCCGAGTGGGATGCGCAAGATCCATGCTAATACAGGTACATCAGAGTGTCAAGGATCCCAACGTCGACGAAGTCGCCATGCTGTTGGCCAATCTGGTCAAGTCCGACGTCCTACAAAAACTGTTCGAGCTCAAGCGCAAGGTCCCCGAGGCTGTATCGACCTCAGAGAACGCCATTGACCAGATCATGGACTGCTTCGTCAAGGGCGCTGAAGGTGGTCTCAACAAGCACGCCAACTACGATTACCTGTCATACGTTTTCGCCGATCTATCGCAGACCGAGAAGGGTCGGAAGTATTTCACCGAGCGCCAGGAGTACGACGGCGTCGTGCCCATCACCAAGCTCACCGTCTTCACCGAGCACAAGAGCAACATCCGCCGCAAGGGTGTAGCATCCACAATCAAGAACGTGGCTTTCGACATCGCCTCGCACCCCATGCTCTTCGACGAGGACGCTGTGAACCTCCTGCCTTACCTGCTTCTCCCCCTTGCCGGACCTGAAGAATTCTCCGACGAGGACAGCATGGACATGCTCCCCGATCTCCAGCTACTGCCCCCTGACAAACAGCGGGACAGCGACAACACCATCGTCGCGACCCACCTGGAAACATTGCTCCTCATGACTACCACTCGGGAAGGCCGAGAGAAGATGCGTGCGGTCAAGGTCTACCCTCTGATCCGTGAGACACATTTGCATGCTGGCGACGAGAATGTGGAAGAGGCTTGCGATCGATTGGTGCAGGTCCTCATGCGTGACGAGGAGGGTGAGGGCCAAGAGCCCGAGCAGGCTCAATTGGAGCCTGCCCAAAACGAGGACGATCAGGTAGTAGAACTGTTTTAGCGTAGATACCTCAATTGTATATAGAACACCACGTTGACTGTGATATCCAAATATTCAAGTCGAGCAAGTACAGTAGTAGACGACGTAAGAGAGATCCAAAGCCCGTGCCGATGTCGGGTGGGTCTGCCTGACCACACTACGACTCTAGTCCTGACTAGCTCTGCTCTCTTCCACCTCTGATTCCTCCAATGCACCACCAAAATTTGAAGCTACTGCAGGCCATATAGTAAACCGGAAATACGTACAGTATTTCATCATCCCCCATCACGACGACCGATATTCCACTGCGGACGCGGAAGCTGTCTTGCCCCTCGGCCCCGAGGCGCAAGTGGCTTCCCGCTCAAAATCAAGATCCTGTCGACTCGGATTCTTGCAACAATGAGTACAGTGACTGTGACTCGGACATCGATCTACCGCCCGACGTGAACCCAGACACAGGCACAGGCACAGACCCAGGCTCAGGCTCGGAGACAATTGCCCAGCGCGTGCGGGCCTTTATGTCTCGCGCCCCTCTTCTTTCGTCGCCCGCGCTGGGTGCCGCGACGTACGGAGCCGTGCGCATTCCAGATGGAGACGAAGATGGGTCCGACGAGGTAGAGACTGGGGCTGAGACTGCGACCGGGACGACCAGGTCGTCCGGCTCTCGGCGTAAAGGTCGGTTGCAGCGTGCTAGCTTTGAAAATGGGGCGAGCTCAAGTGCTGCGCCGCGACGGTCTCATTCCTTTGTTAGACGACGAAATAGCATGTATGCCGAGAGACGCAATCGAAGGCCGTCTTCTGCTGCGTCTGATGTAGGCATGGGTGCTGATTCTAAGTTCTCCTTTGCAACGGGTCTGGCTGTACCGGGTAACCCGGTCATGCAGGAGACGCCCGCTTCGTCACTTTATATGACTAGTGATGAAGAAGATGTCTCAGATATTGATGATGATGATTCAAAGTCCTCTGAGGAGGATCCGCCGGATAATTCGCCGTGAGTTGGACAGCGTGTCTGTCTGTATGTTGAGGTTCATTGCTGATATAGTTGGTCTCTTAGGTATGCTCAAGTACGAGCTTCGGTGCCGGCCACTGACGATGTGACTCTTTCTATTAACAGTATGTTCGGCAATCTTGAGTCTTGTCCTTTGTCTGATGTTTGATGTATAGCACCACGAATGTGGATCCTGTCATTGGTCTTTTCTCTAACAGGTTCTGCTGCCAATCTTTTCTTTTCACTGCGCTATCCCAGCGTGGCCATCACCCCAATTATTGCTCTCGTTTTGGTTCATCCACTCGGCAAGTTTTGGGACGTGCTTTGTAAACATACAGGTGATCCTGTCGAAGTATTCGAGAACGGAACCCTTCATCATCGAGAATCACTCAACGGCGACATTGATCCACTTCCTACTTCATTAGGGACTCGAATTAGACTCTGGTTTGGCCAGGGCCGTTGGAACGAGAAAGAACATGCTTGCGTCTACATCAGCAGTAATGTTTCTTTTGGATTTGCTTTCGCCACTGATGTAAGTGTCCCTCGAATTTTGAACACTACCAAATCTAAATCATAGCAGGTTCTTGTTGAGCAACACAAATTTTACAACCAAGAGGTTCCAATCATGTACCAACTCTTGCTCATTATCTCAACCCAAGTCTTGGGTTATGCATTCGCCGGACTGACCCGACGATTCTTGGTCCGGCCTTCAGCCATGATCTGGCCGGGGACGCTGATGTCTACAGCTATGTTTTCTACCATGCACAAGTCTGTCAACAAAAAGGCCAATGGCTGGAGTATCTCTCGATACAAGTTCTTCATCATTGTTTGGGCCGGAGCATTTCTATGGTACTTTGTTCCAGGGCTGTTGATGCCTGCTCTCAGTTACTTCAATGTGATCACCTGGCTGGCGCCTAAAAATGTTGTGGTTTCCAACTTGGTACGTCTCTAGCATTCGTCTTCAAGTGCTCCAGACTGACTTGCTCTAGTTTGGTGTTGCTTCAGGCCTTGGGATGTTTCCTTTGACTTTTGATTGGGCTCAGATTGCCTACATTGGCTCTCCATTACTAACGCCTTGGTGGGCCGCTGCCAATATTGTGACAGGCCTAGTGATCGTCATTTGGGCACTTGCTCCAATCCTTTGTAAGATTTTCTACACCACAGTCGCCTATCCCATTCTAACTCGAAACAGATTACAAAAACGTTCTTTTCTCCTCATACATGCCTATACTTTCAACGGCCGTCTTTGATAATACTGGAAAACCTTACAACGTCAGTCGAATCCTGACCGGGGAGTTCTTGTTTGACGAACAAGCCTACAAAGACTACTCTCCAGTATACCTCCCAATTACCTACGTGTTGTCATATGGAGTACAGTTCGCTGCTTTGACGTCTCTTGTCACCCACACTATTTGCTGGTATGGAAAAGACATCTGGCAACAGACCAGAAAGGCTTTTGATGAGAGACAAGATGTCCCAGCAATGGAGACATATCAGCCACTTCGAGGCGATAACAATGGCAGCCAGCAAAGTTTTAATATTTCAAGGAGTGGCTCAGACCCTCGTCTGGAAAGCCAACTTGGAATGGAAGATGTCCACTGCCGCTTGATGAGACGCTACAAAGATGCTCCTCTCACGTGGTACATACTTGTGTTCATTTCCATGTTGGCTATCGCAACTTTTACAGTGGAATAGTACGTGGTTCTACCCTGTTTCAAATTATCCAAACTAACTATTCTCAAGCTATCCCACCCATCTTCCCTGGTACGGACTACTTCTAGCCCTGGCCATTACCAGTATCTTCTTCATTCCAGTGGGCATCATTATGGCAGTCACAAATCAACACAGCAGCCTCTACCTAATTTGCCAACTCATCTGTGGCATAGTCTTTCCAGGAAGACCAGTGGCGAACATGATTTTCGTGACATATTCATACATCAGCTCTGCGCAAGGCATCAAGTTCTCCTCTGACCTAAAACTCGGCCACTACATGAAAATCCCACCCCGAATCCTGTTCGGCGTGCAAATGATGGCAACGCTAGTCTCAAGTCTAACCCAGATAGGGGTACTAAATTGGATGTTCACTTTCATCCCGAAATTGTGCACGCCCGAAGCCATCAACGGCTTTAACTGCCCCATCGCCCGAGTCCATTTCAACGGCAGCATTCTCTGGGGAGTCGTTGGGCCCCAGCGCTTCTTCGGTCCAGGAGGTCTCTACAGACCACTTGTATGGGCCTTCTTGATAGGTGCTGTGGCACCGCTGGGAACTTGGCTTCTAGGCCGACACAGCAAGAAAAGTTTCTGGCGGAAGGTCAACTTCCCTATTCTATTCGGCAGTCTAAGTTGGATTCCACCTGCCACCGGACTCAACTTCTCCATCTGGGCTCTTGTCTGTTTCATATTTAATTATGTGATTCGGAGACGGAGGACTGCTTGGTGGGAGAAATATGCCATGACTTTGTCAGCTGCCTTGGATTCGGGGCTGGCGTTTGCTGTTGTGGTTGTATTCTTCGCGTTCATTTATCCTGGCTGGGTTGATGGATTCAAGTGGTGGGGAACGGAGATTTACAAACAGGTGAGTTCTTCTTTGTGTTTTTATTACCTTTTGATGCTCGGGTCTTTGTGCTAACCTGGTCATTTTTAGGGTTGTGACTGGATTGCTTGTCCGTATAAACAATTAGAACCTGGTCAAAAGTTTGGTCAGTAGAGCTGAGATCAAAGAATCTCAGCTCAAAGTACAAAGTACAAAGTATAAAGAACTTATGAAAGAATGTCAATAATGAATGAAGTGAACTTTGCATAGCAGAGGTCAAATGTCGTTTCAAATCAGGACCTTTATCTGATCTAGATTATTAGCTCGAGGTGCTCGAAGACGAGCAAAAGATGGCCATGGAAAGGTCAAAACACACATTTCAGGACTCGTACCTAGAACCCGTCCAATGCTTCATAGCATTATCTACACAGAGTAAAGGCCTTTGTTGTCTTTGAAGTATAAACTTCCAAGGTTCAAACCCGGCCAGGCTGACTAAGCCTGCCGTCATACGTCGCGAGCACAACTCCTCATCCTTGCTTTTCCCATCTCCTCCCTCCTCCACCACCTTCCTCTATCGCAAATACCCGACTGGCTCTTCGTTGAGTCATTCACTGCGGTATTCTTTCATGGTCATCTGATCACTAGGTTGTGTCATCTTCTGCAGCGACCAACAGCTCTCCCGGAAAGATGTCGACTCCAACAAACCCCTCGAATGCCCGAACTCCAACAGGCCCAAATGGCGGGCCACCCATGAGAATGCGCCGACCGAAGGCTGCAGATCCATTGGTCCGACCAAAAAGAAGACCAGCTCCCAAGCCAGCCGGAGCTGCTCCGGGCGGTCGGATAGCTACCAAGACTCTTCCAACGCGCCCTCCAGTATCGAACATCCCACCAGCTCCTATTGAGAGGCCTTCACTCGGCGTGACGAGCAACAATGCCCCCGTCAATGGATTCAGTGGTCCGCTACTCACTGATAAATACTTCGATTACCCGGTCGTCACGACAAAGCGAGCTCTCATGGAAGGATTGAAGCACCACATTGCGCGCTTCGCATCAAAGAAGAATGTCGACCCCCGCGATGAAACACAGTTTACCCGACCAGTCCGACTGCACCGTCGTGATCCACGGCGCGGCCAGGAACCCTCCCCACATATTTCACGATTTGAAGATCCAGATGCTCCGCCTATGGATGAGGCCGAGCGCGAAGCTTTCGATGCGCGCCGAGCGGCACGTGAGAAGGAGCGCGCCCAGAACATGGCTCAGATCGCGCCTGCTTTGGGAGCTACATCCAAACGGCCTAATGCCCCGAAACAAAAGACCCAGCAGGTCTTCAAATCTGATATGACACCCGAGGAAGTCGCGAAGATGCGCATCAAGTACGAAGAGGCGTTGCATTGGCATCTGGAGGATTTCGATAACAAGCACACTTGGGTTGGAAACTACGAGGCTGCACTGTCTGGAACCCATGCGGTGTTCGTTCTGGATGGTGGGAAGATGCGTATGATCCCGGCTGAGAAGTGGTACAAGTTTAGTGCCAAAAGTAACTTCAAGGCTTTGACTATTGAGGAAGCTGAGAAGTTCATGGCTAAGAAGGTCAAGGATCCCAGATGGTTCATGGAGAAGCAGCAAGAATTGGAGCAGAAGAGGGAACTGGACACATATGCTAAACAGCGGAAGGTCTACGCTGGCAAGCAAGGCTTACCAGGCACTGGAGCTGCGGGGCTCGAGGCTGGTGAGATGGACTTCGAAGAGGATCGTTTCGCTGACGATGAAGAGCATGATGATGGCCTCTTCAACGATGACGAAGATGCCAAGGATGCCGAGAAGAGAATCAAAGAAGATCAGCTCAAGGCTAATGTCTTCGATCTCAAGGACGAGAAAGACTACGAAGCAGAAGAGAAGCGAGAGCTGCGTGAACGAGAGGCTCGCCACGTTTTGGGCAAGAGTGTGCGCAAGGCTTTGAAGAAGAGAGAGAAGAACTTTGACTACAGCAGTGGATCTGAAAACAACCCATACTCGGAGGACGAGGTAAGTCACGCCCTGTATCTGCTGCCAGTCCGTGTTGGACTATCGACAGTGGAACGATATTGACCTTCCAACAGAGTTCGGACGACACCGAGACCGAGAAAGCAAAGGAAGAGGAGCGCAAGAAGGCCGAAGGCGAGGCCGAGAAGGAAGGCTCCTCCAAGGGAACCAACACACCCTCCGGCCGACCCAAGCACACAGACGCCCTCAAGAAATCAGCCGCAGGCCGCAAGAGACTCGGCTCTCCCACCTCGGACGCCAGCGGCACCGATACGTCTCGCAAGAAGCCTAAGAAGACCAACCCAACATCGCAGCCCCCATCGCGTCCAATGTCCCCATCCGCCATGCAGGTATGTCCCCCAACGGCATCCCACCCCAATCCCCAACCCCCAATCCCTAAAACCATACTAACAAGAATTCCAAGACGGGCACCAAACGCCTCCGCATCCCAGGCAACGGCGCCAACTCCGGCAGCGACGTCGAAACCGGCGCAATCTCCTCGAACGAAACCAACGAAACAACCAAAAAGAAACTCAAACTCAACCCACCCAATATCTCTTCCCGCAGCGGAACCCCCGTCGGATCCCGCGCCGGATCCCCAATCAACCGGCTCCCCGGCAGCCGCGCCAGCAGCCCCGAAGGCGCGCGCGGAAACCGCGTCTCGACGCCCCTTTCTGCCTCTGGCTCTGGCTCTGGCTCGTTCCCGACGCCCGCGGAGATCCATGCAGCTATTCCTGCGTCTGGTATTTCCAGTAGTGAACTGTTGAAGGTTTTCAGACCTCGGATTGGAGAGAATCATCGCAAGTTTATTGCTATTGTTAAGGATGTCAGTGTTTATGGGAAGGAGGATCGGATGTTGAGGCCTGGTCCCTGGAAGGGGAATTAAATCCAGAGGGGTTGGTTTTGAGGGGTTGAGATGATTGCTTGAAGGGGGTGGATGTGGATGTGGAGGATGGATATTATGTGTTGCAAATGCAGATTGCAGAGATGGTTGCTGCTTTCTTTGGAAATACTTTAACTTCGACTACAAGGTTCATGGTTCTAATATTCTGGATGAATCCAGGTTCATCTGAAAAATCAATACTTTCGTGCTGGTAATCGTTTGATTTACTTGATTGCTGAACAGAGCCTCCGTATTTGTCTAGTTGTAAGCAAGTCAATCCACTGCAACTGATTTACTAGGGAAGAAGTTATTGTATAGTACTACATTTTACAATGAACATGAAGATATTTGAAGAAAATTAACATAAATTAAACAATGGTAATGAAATTCATTTATATGCACATAAACTCCAAGGCTTTGAGACATACCACATAATGACCCAATGTAAACAGGTCTCTATCAAAAGCACAGCATTATAACAACTCGGGGAATCAAATTCACAAGATTAGACTGCAGAAGCCGGGTCTTTGTTTCATCTCACACTCCTTCCAGTTGGCGAGAAAGAAAGGAATGCGAGTGGAATCAAATCAACAAGCTTGGCTTAAGCAGCACGAGCAGCGTTCTCGGTACCCTCCTCGTACTTCTCCCAGTTGGCGAGAATGGAAGCAATGCGAGGGGAGTTGGTGAGACGGTAGACGTCCTCGAAGTACTCCTTGGTGATCTCGAAGGGACGGGCAGTGACGTTGGGGATGTACTTGCCGACCAGCTTGCTGGGGTCGATGGTGGTCTTGTTGATCTTCTTCAGCAAGAAGGAACGGAAGGGCTTGACACCGGAGCGCAGGAAGGTACTGTGGAAGGGAACGTCGATACCCTTGAGAGGAATGGTGGCGAAGCCACGCTCCAGGTTGATGGGGCTGGGCTTGGCTTCGGTTTGCTTGACGCACTCCTGGATGATGCCGACGAGATGCTCCTTGACGTCTTCCAGAGACATGCTCTGCATGAGAGCGGGGATGTCAATGTTCTGGGCCTTGAGGAAGTTGAGCAGGTTGGTCAGGCAGTCCAGGGCGCGGAGGTCACCAGCGGCAACGTATTGCATGTTGGCGACGTTGTAGTTGACGATCTCCAAAAGCCAGCCGGTGGTCTCGGCGATGTTCTCAACAACGTACTGAAGAGCCTGCTCGTTGAAGGTCTTGGAGATACGGCTGGGGTTGACAGCGCACATGGAGTAGTTGGAGCGACCCTGCTCGTCACGCTCGACGGCAACTTGCATGGTCAGACCACGGTAGAACACGACAGACACCAAGCTCTCAATGGGCATGACATCAGCCAGGGCGGCGAGGGCAGAGTATTCACCGAGCGAGTGACCGGCGAAGCTGCTGTCACGCTGGACCAAGCCCTTGGAGCGCATGTCCTCGAAGCTGGCCTTCTCCATCAGGGTCAGGGCAGGCTGAGTGAACTGGGTGGCCGAAAGGAGACCAGTGGGGGAGCGGTAGGTGTAAGAAGCGCTGTTCTCATCAACCTCCTTGAAGATCTTCTCAGACTTGATGGAACCGTCGGCGTTGACGGACTCGAAAGTCATCGACATGTAGTTATGGCGGATAGCCTTACCACGGGGACCACCGAAGTGAACGGTGAGCTCCTTGGGGTTGTTCTTGACAATGTCGATGATGGAAAGACCGTAGTTCTCCATGAAGTGGCGATCAGCACGGTCCCAGACCTCCTGGGCAACGGGGCTGCTAGCGTAGAGCTCCATACCCATGCCCTGCTCCTGGGAACCTTGACCGGTGAAGACGTAGGAGGTAACGGGCTGCTCAACCTCGGCCTCACCCTCGAGAACCTTGTCCTCGGTCTCCTTGTTGAAAGCCTCGACCTTGATGATCTTACGACCAGCAATCATACCGACGTGCTGGAGCTTGACGGTGATCATGTCGTTGGGCAGAACCATGCCAACCAGGGAAACCTGGAAGCCACGAACACGACCGATGTTGTTCTCAGCAGCCCAGGTCTCAACAAGGCTGCGGACAGCGGCACTGCTGTACATGCCGTGGGTGATAGTTCCAGGCAGGTTGGCGTAGCTGGAGAAGACACGAGAAACGTGAATAGGGTTGTAGTCACCAGAGACGCGAGCGTAGGTCTCGTTGGATGCGGGAGCACGCAGTTCCAAAGCAGTCTTACCACTGAGAGGAATGGGGTTCTCGAAGTAAACGGGCTGCTCAATGGAAGTACCGTTACGCTGCAGGTAGTCGATGACGGGGTTACCGTGGGAGTCACCGGCCTCGTACTCAACGGAAGCGACCTGGATGACCTCCTTGGTGGGAAGCTCGAGGAGAGCCTGACCAATGGTCTGGACGTTGCTGAAGACAGTGTGGTTCTTGAAGCGAATCAAACTCTGCAGACGGAAGGTCAGGGTGGCACCAAGAAGTTCAGTCTCGGAGTCGTCCACGCGGAACCACTCCTTGGAGCGCAGGATGGCGACATCCCGGCTGGTGGCCAAGTGAACCTGCATGGGGACCTCATCCTTGCGCTGGAAGGTGTTCTCAAAGTCGGTGTAGGCACCCCGGTAAAGGAACTGGCTGGTGACGTGCATGATGGGCTTGCCCTCGCGGGTGATGGTACCGCAGACCTCAACCATCTTACCAGACTCCTGGTTGATGACGGCGTTGATCTGGGCGGTGGTGTCCAGGACATCGCCAACCTTGAGGGGCTCAGCGCCGGGAACCATCTTGAAACCGTTGGACAAGTGAACCAGCTTCAGGAGATCACCATCAATGGTGCGGGGGAAGATGGGCTTGGTAATAGCCTTCCATCCGGCGACGATGGCAAAGTCCATGGGCGCGAAGACCTCCTTACCGGGACGGTCAACGAAGGCCTCACCGGTGTTGCCAACGGCGTGGACAAAGTCTGCAACAGCCTGGGAAGTGATGGTCTCACGGCCACCGCTGAAAGTGGCGGTAGTGGGAGTGTCGAAGGGCACGTCCTTGTTGCCGAACCAGATGCGGTAGTAGAACTCCTTGATACGGTCGTTGCGGTCACCCATGACCTCGCGGATGGGAGCGTAACCAGTCTCGGGGTGGTAGGTGAACAGGAAGGACAGGGTAGTGACACCACTCTCGGCAGTGCGGCCCTCGAACAAGGTCAGGCTGATCTGACCGTTCTCGTTCACCTTGGCCTCGACGGTCTTGACAAGCTTGCCAGACTGGTAAGGCTCACGGACGCTGATCACAGTCTTGGCAGGGTCATTGGGGTAGGCAACCTCAACAAACATGCCTGCTGTGGGCGCAACAATGCGCTTCATGGGGTTGGTCTGGAAACGGTGGCCCTGGACGAAAACATCGGCCAAGAACAGAGCGTGTCTCCAGGAGTAGACCTTGCCAGCCAAAAGGCTCAGCCAGCGGTCGGCGTCAGGCAGGACAGCAGAGGGAGAGGAAGAGAGACGGAAGCTAATCTTGTTGGGCTCCTCCGAGACAGTGAGGCCGTCGAGCTCGGACTCAGCGTCGGTGTTCAGGAGCTGACTGCCGAAGTACTCAATGGTGGGGACCTTGGACTTGTCGTTGCCGTAGGAATCACGCAGAAGGCTGGCAATGTGTCCCTCGTGAACGCCATCAAGGATGGCCTGGACGGGCTCGTCAATGATGTTTGAGAAGCGAACGGCCATGGGACCCTGAAGGATACAGGTACGGCCGACATCCTGGTCAACAACGGCCTCGAGGTCCTCACTCTGCCACAGAGAATCCTTCTTGAAGAAGAACTCAAAGGTCTCGTCCAGGACGGGAACGAAAGGAACAGGCTTCTGGCCACGACGCTGGCAAAGCAGCAGGAAGTGCTGCACATCCTGAGCGTTAATCAGCTGGCTAGCAGCCTCGGGGTAGGCAGCCAGGATGTCATTGACGGCAGGGTAGGGAATGTCGAGGTCAGAGTAGCTCTGCAACAGAGAAGCCTGGCCCTCGGCAGTGGTGAAACGCTCCTCAACACGGCGAATGAAGTCACCGGTCAACTTCTTCAGGGAAGGGTCGATCCAGCGGGCCTCGTGCTTGACGTACATGAGATCCACCATACGGTGAATAACCTCGGTGTAGGTCATATCCTCGAGGTCAACGGTCTCGCCAGCAGCGTTGCGACCGAACCACACCTTGTGGAAGTCATCGTTGAGCTTCTTGATGATGTAGTTGCGCTGCTTCTTCAGCTCGGGGACGCGCTTGGCCTTGTCGAGCTTGAAGATCTTCTGGTCCATCTCCTGCCAGAACAGCACACCACGGGTGGCCAGCTTGTGAATGGGCTCACCCATCTCGGAGAGAACGGTGATCACACCGCCGGTGGCACCCTTGTAGGTCTTCTCCCACTCGACATCGTCGACACCAGGGGCATCAGCAATGGCCTTCTTGGCGTTGTAAGAAGTGTGGGCCTCCTTGGCGATCATCATACGAGAACCGAAGAGACAACCATCGAAGGGCATGGGAGGGTAGCCATACTTGTGAGACCACTCACCAGAGAGGTAAGGGTAGGTGTCCTCGGAACCACCGAAACCACTGCCAGCAACAAGGATGATGTTATCATGCTTGCGAATGCGGCCGTACATCTGAAGCACGGGCTGGTGGAAGTCTTCGAACGAGTGGTGACCACCACCACGGCCACCGGTCCACTGAAGGATGATGGGGAACTTGGGGTTGGCCTTGGCAACGTTGATGACCTGCTGAATGGCGTCGACTGAACCGGGCTTGAAAGCGATGTGCTTGATACCAAGAGTCTCAATGTACTCTTTGGCGACCTCGATGGAGGGCACACCGGCACCGATGGTCAGACCCTCAATGGGGACACCATCAGCGCGCAAGCGACCGATGAGAGGGATCTGCCAGGCCATAGCACGGGGGTTGATGTAGATCAAGTTGATGGTGATACCACGTCCAGGAGGAATGGCCTTCTCGATCTTGGTAATGGCCTCGGTCATAGTCTTGGCGTTGTAGTAACCACCACCGGCCAACTCGATGTGGTAGCCAGCGTTCATA